GGACACTTTCAAGAGTGGCAAGGATGGCCCATTGGTATCCTTGATCTTCTCCATCTACTCGGTCGGCAACATGATCGGCTCGCCCTTCGCCGCTATGCTGTCTGACAAGTTTGGACGCCGTAAAGCCATGTTCTGCGGAGGCTGTGTCATTATTCTCGGCATGATCATCATTTCAACCTCCAGCCACCTCGCCCAGTTTGTCGTTGGACGCTTTGTTCTTGGTTTCGGTATTGCTATCATGGTGCGCTTCTCTGGGTGGCTGCAGTTCTGATCAACGTCTAAACCGCAAACACCACCATTCTCCCTGCAAGACCGCCCTCTCTGACTCTCAATAGACTGTCGCGGCACCCGCCTACTCCATCGAAATCGCACCACCACACTGGCGTGGCCGATGCACAGGTAATTCCGCACGCCATACATAATCCTCGGGTTGGATCATTGCTAAAAGTCGCGTAGGATTTTACAATTGCGGATGGTTCGGCGGTTCCATCCCCGCGGCCGCCGTGACGTTCGGTACCAACAACATCGACAGCAATATCTCCTGGAGGCTTCCTCTCATCTTGCAGGTTAGATTCCACATTCCGGTTTCTCTAGTGGTTTATTCACCCAATCACTAACGTCGGCTCAACTCCAGGCCTTTGCTTGTATCGTCGTGATGATTGGTGTCTTCTTCATTCCAGAATCCCCGCGATATTTGCTCGCCAACGGTCGCGACCAGGAAGCTTTGGACTTCCTTATCAAGTACCATGGCAATGGAAACAGCGATTCCAAGCTTGTGGCTCTCGAGATCCAGGAAATGAGAGAGAACATCGCCCTTGATGGTATTGACAAGCGTCCTTTGGACTGTAAGTGCAACCAGTTCCTCATCAAATCACCGACCAATGGGCTAATTTGTTTGGAAATCCAGATCGCCCCCTGTTCCTCACCCACAACGGACGCTGGAGAATGACCCAGGTGCTCATGATTTCCATCTTTGGGCAGTGGTCTGGCAACGGTCTTGGATACTTCAACACCGTCATCTTTGAGCAGCTCGGCGTCAAGAGCGTTTCCCAGCAACTGGGTTACAACCTTCTCACCTCGGTTCTCTCGGCTGTCGGAGCGCTCACGGCTGTCTCTCAGACTGACAGGATGCCGCGTCGCCCTGTCCTCGTTTTTGGTACCCTTGGTATGTTCCTCCCAACCATACGCTCCTCCCTGAAGAAGTTTGCAGCTAATTGAATGTCTTCACAGCATGCGCCGCTGCCTTGGCCGCCAACGCCGGTCTCTCCTCGGCCCTCGACGCTCAGCAAAGCCGAGGCAACATCCAAGAATCGTACGCAAAGGGAGCACTCGCCTCATACTTCCTCTTCAACATTATTTTCTCCTTTACCTACACACCTCTGCAGGGTGTCATCCCCGCTGAAGCTCTTGAGACCACCATGCGAGCCAAGGGTCTGGCCGCTTCCGCCTTCATTGTGTCTGCCATGGGTTTCCTGAGCCAGTTTGCTCTGCCCATCGGCTTCCAGAACATTCAGTACAAGGTCGTCTACATCTTCGTCGCTTGGGATGTCATCGAGGCTATTGCTTGGTATCTCTTTGCTGTCGAGTCCCAGGGGCGTACGCTGGAGCAGCTCGAATGGATCTACAACCAGAAGAGCCCGGTCAAGGCATCCAAGAAGGTCGACAAGGTTGTTGTGCAGGCAGACGGAGCTGTCACCGAGAAGATCGTGTCGCATGTCGATGGCTAAAATGCATGCTGGTGCCTGGCTCGGGATATTCATGGCGGAGGGTGCAATTGCATGGCTACCAGTACAAGGTGTCTATTGCTGATTGTTCTCTCAAGGAATTCATAATTTCTACTCTGATTGATTTGTCTTTGGCTTTCGATAGTATCCTGAATCTAGTCCACAATCTCCCAAAAGTACATATGGGATTATGCTCCATCTCGCTCCTGCACGTGGTTCGCCCTATTTACTTGATCAGGTCAATATTCGTATATAACGCTCGCGCCAGTGAGGACATCAGTAGGCCAGTGATGGAGGTAAGCTCTACTTTTTTTTAGAGGCCATTATTCAACGACTAGAGCAGTAGAAGTAGACATGGAAAGACGTGGAGGGAGCATATGTATTCCATGATACTTCGTGAATGACAGCATCTAGCTTCAATGCCCCTCCCAACATCCCATCCAGCTCAACCACTTGGAAACAATGTTCTCATTTACCCGACTCAACATCTTGTTTGATCGCCCTTCCTTGTATCACGCACGGCATCGAAGACACGTTAAACGACCCTGACTCCTCACGGTCACTTCGTTGTCTCGCTGCCAACGTAGGCGACAGACCAGGTTCGGAAAGTCGACTTGTTGCTGTCAAGAAGAGGTGCAGGCCTGCACTCTTATGCTTTTGCGGCAAGAAGATTCAAAGTTCTCGGCGCATGAAATCAACTGCCCCTGCCATCTCGTGTGGAATGATATATGTATATATAGATCTTGAAAAGTGCTTTGGGAGAACTGCCTTCCTCATGGGGCTCGGTTTATTTTGACCCACAACGGGGATCCAACTCGTCCAGAGGGCCCTAGAGGAGATGTTTTTGAAGAGGGTATAACGGGAAACTCTCTCACTGAGTGGGTAGGTGACTGATGGGATAATCCTGGGTCTCTGGATGCATCAAAAGGACTGTCACTGCCCCCAACATACCGAGTATATGCTGAGCCTCCATACCCTAGCATCTGAGTTCTAGGCAACCCCTTCTATTCGGGTTTGCAACCTTTACATTGGCTTATACAGTGATGATGTATAACAGGAGGTGGCGGGTCTGCCGAAGATTGGCCCTGACGAGATCCGTCTGCTCTATGACTTGTGATCCAACATCCTCCGACTTGAGCCATAAAACTGGCTTACGATAATAGAGCTTGGACGCTTTATTGGATTAGGAATGTTAACGAATATTGCGAGTTCATCTCATTTGGTGAAAGAACAAAGCACGGGGATTAGAGAAATCAAAAGGGATGCGGTAAACAAAGGATTCACGGCTACTGCTACTCTTCAGGATGACTAGACCTCCACAGTGTTGTGGAAATCTTATGAGTTTTGGGGCAGTCCATTTAGGCAATTCCCTCCTTTTGTGTTCACACCAGTAGCCTCGGCGGCTCGTAGGTGAGGAGGACCGTGAATCTCTACCACAGGCCTTTAGTACTCACACAAGTCGAGGATGCCCTTTGTCCTCGGACATCTAGAGATACGTTAAGCCCCTGCAAGTCAGTTTATTACGTGTGTTATTCTCCAATGGATTTCATGTAAAGCGGTTGCAAGATTGCGTGTGGCTCAAGGAGCCAACCACGGATGACTGGAACAATCAATGAGAGGTCGCACCGCAATGACATTCCAGGGCTACTCTAACCGAATAAAACTACTCTCGCCATTTTATTGGATTTTCTGTATTTTATTGGACTTTCTGTCGTGGGCCTTGCTTTTACATTACAAATACTCCCAAAGGTTCCAGATGACTGATCCCTCGTCAGCTTGGCATAGAGGAGAAGCAGTATCAGGCATATTAGGAGAGTTAACCGACGTAACATCCGTATATATCTATTTATTCAGATGCTGGTGTGAGGCTGTTGCAATTTATAGAAGCAAAAAGCCATTTCAGGTTCCATACAGGCCCCTCCTGCTTTCCACGGCGCTCACCATAAGGTGGTGTTGTGGCAACATACTCCCTACTCCTTGTCACTGACTTGCTTCATTGTCAACTGGGCTGAGATGAGCACGTTGGTCTAGATTGCTACCTCAGTCCTATCTAAATATGTAAAAGTCCTAGATTGGGCATGTTTGCTCAGAGAACCCACCCGTGATGTGATGAACCGAGGATTCGCGGCCGTTGCCACCCTTCAGGTTGGGTACAACGTCTCAGAATGAGGAGACCCATCGTAAGCCCCTGATGAGTCTCATTAGTTATGGATTGTCTCGAAATCGCATCTTGTCGCTTGTGACCCAACAAGCAGCTTTGGTGTGTCCAAAGTAAGAGAGTATCGACCCAGGATGCAATTTGAGGATGCCCTTTGTCTTTGGGAATCCTGCGATGGGCTTTGAGGCAGCTCGTAACCAGTTCTGATTCATTTTGGTTTCTGTTCAGCTTCATCTATGATCAGATTCTCTTATGGCTTCCTTTGATCAATTGTGTTGGTCGCAAGGATCAAGCCGTGCCACGGGCCCCCTACATAGTTGAGAATCCTCCTATACAGACCAACAAACAACTCGACTGCAACACCTCGGCTTCCGTGTAAGTCACGCAATCATCCTCGAGAATCCGGAAGTGAATGGTCAGCCGGTCAACGCTGACAGGAAGAACTTTTTTTGTGGTTGGGCTCATCGCTTTGGTGATAGCCTCATCTTGATGTGTTGAGCAATCCGGCTCCTCAGTGGAGATTCCCAAAGGCCCGGATCAGTGCCACAGTGATCGCTTATGAGAAACTGATTGGGAAATATTGGCCCCTTGCAGAGTTACCGCCGCCCCCATCAACACATTAACTCGACGTCAATGCGACCCTATTCACACACGGATTGCCTCTTTTCTGACATGCCCGCCAAAAGTGCGGCAACCAGCTCGGGTCAGCGGATTGCCGGATGAGGCGAACAGAGTCGAGTCACATTCTGTAGGGCTGCCTCCAGGACACGTAGGATCAGTGGCTCCTTTCTGCATCTCAAAGTCCTCCTTTCCGTAGTCGAGAGGATGCGGATAGCGAAGGTATTCAGGTATACGCGATTTTTAACCACGAAGGAAGGAAAAGTATAAAAGAACACCATCCGGCCGTCGAAATGGGAGAGATCAATCAATCCAAAAGCATCAAAAAACAATATACACACTCAAGAGCTGGTCTCTGTCCCCTATTCTCTTCTGATTCACCTTACTTTTCTACAAAACTTTTCCTGTTGCCGGACAATTTGAAATCTTCTTCTTCCCCTTTGTTTATACCCCTTTTAAAAATCAACCCAATAACTCTTTATTTCTTCAAATCATTCAAAATGGTCGCCGTCAGAAACATCCCCGTCATCTCAGCCATGATGCTCAGCATCGCTGACCAGGCCCTCGCTGCCCCCGTGGCCGGCGCCGTCGTCCTCATGTCCGAGACTGAGGCCGCCGTGCCCGCCATTGAAGCCCGCGGCATCGACGAGCGCAGCCCAAAGAACGGACAGTGGAGGGGCCTTCTGCACCACGCTGTCAACGTGGTCGGCGGACACGTGGCCAACAAAAAGGGCCGCCGCGACCTCGAAGTGGACGACCTGATTGAGCGCGAGCTGGAGGCCCTCGACGAGCGGGAGGTCGACGAGCTCGAGGAGCGCGATCTTGCCGAACGCAGCCCCAAGAACGGACAATGGAGGGGTCTTCTGCACCATGCCGTCAATGTGGCCGGTGGACACATGGCCAACAAAAAGGGCCGTCATGACCTTGAGTATCTCGACGAGCGCGACCTTGACCAGCTTCTTGATGAGCGCGGACTTGATGCGCGCAGCCCCAAGAACGGTGCCTGGAGGGGTTTGGCACACCACGCGATCAAGGTTGTTGGGGGGAGCGTGGCTCGTCACAAGGGTCGCCGCGACTTGGAGTTCCTGGATGAGCGAGACGCTGAAGACCTCGAGGAGCGCGATCTCGACGAGCGTAGCCCCAAGAACGGACAATGGAGAGGTCTCCTACACCACGCTGTCAAGGTTGTCGGGGGACACATGGCCAACAAGGGGCGACGTGACGTCGAGGCGGAGGAGCTGCTCGTCCGTGCATTGGAGTCCCTTGACGAGCGTGGTCTTGATGAGCGCAGCCCCAAGAATGGTCAGTGGAGAAAGCTTGCTCACCATGCCATCAACGTCGTCGGAGGCCACATGGCTCGCAAGGGTCGACGTGATCTTGAGATGGAGGACCTGGTTGCGCGTGAGCTGGAGTCCCTCAATGAGCGCGATCTCGACGAGCGCAGCCCCAAGAACGGCCAGTGGAGGAAGCTTGCGCACCATGCCATCAACGTTGTGGGAGGAAGCCTGGCGCGCAACAAGGGCCGACGTGATCTAGGAATGGAGGATCTGGTCGCTCGTGAGCTGCAGGTCCTGGATGAGCGAGACCTTGAGTACATTTACTCTCGCTACATCCAGGATATGGAGAACAGCCAGGAGTAAAGGCTCTTTGATCGTGTGAGAGCGGCCATCCAGATATCCAGACAACTTCAAGTACCTCGGTTGGTTTTGTTTTGGGCTGTCATTTGGTTGCTTGGCGTCTGTCTTTTTGTCTGTAGAAGTAACAGCACGGCTGGCACAAATGGAGAGTGTAATCTGTCGAACATTTTCATAGAAATAAAGATGTTATCAAAAGGATCTCGCACGCCGTTGTAGACAAGTGGTTTAAGCATGTGCCGCGACATATTTGTTAGAGCGCGTACTCGGCTGTAGTTGTGATGGCGCAGATCTCCTCTGGTGTACACTGAAGAAAGCATGGTCAAGGTCGTGGCTTCTCTGCCCGTGTTTTGTGTCACGCATCCACGGTCGCACAAGGGCGCTCTCGGCAACAGCACAGGACTGGGACGGTGTCTGTTACAAATTCGCGTTGCCAGATCCATGAAAAAAATGAAATAAAAAATAGAACTTCCTTGCTAAGAGATGAGATAGAAAATACTCAAGTGCTTCTAGCATCTGCAATCTATGCTGTGCGAACGTGTGGTGCTAACCTCACGGCAATGAAGGCCTCGTGCATGCACGGCAATTACCTGTCGAGACACCTTCGAGGCACCTGTCCAGTGCAAGACTGCCCGCTGCATTTGGTCAATTGGCACTTTCGCCAAGGATCATTCGAGGGGTGCTCCACCTTTACCCGAACTTCCAGCCAATCATATGTAGCACCCCCGAGTGATCCCGCGAACAAAAGGCACGTCCGCTCCCAATCAAAGACAGAAAGAACTAAGGAGGAGAGATAGAGAAAGCATCCCTCAATCAATCTGTAAATTGAATTGAGTATCTGGATGCAATGTATCTCTTGCATGATGCACCTCTAGCAGCGTCTCTAGATTCCAACTCCCCCCTCGAGTTTGACCGGCGCCGAGTTTGTGGTTATTTATAGATCACCTTAGTAAGGCTACTTACGATGTTTTGGGGCTTCAGCTCCTCTCTAAGCCATGACAAGGCCCGACGCAGCAATAGCCTGATCACGACAACTCTAGCCTCCGAATCTGTTGCCGAGAACAGAAATCCTCAAGGATAATGTCACTGCCATGGTACGAAGGAGAGCTGAAAGTAACAGCTACCCCGCCAGCGAACAGTCGAGACCGTATTCGAAGCGACGCAAACATTATGACGATGACCCGAGCGATGGCATCTTGACTCCCGAGGTCGACGAGTCAACCCTGAAAAGAAGTACCTACACGATCGCATGGATCTGCGCACTGCACATCGAGCTGGCCGCAGCCCAGGCAATGCTCGACGCCGAGCACGACGAGCTACCGGGCCTCGCTGACGATGATAATACATATATCCTGGGCAACGTGGGCAAGCATAATGTGGTCATTGCATGTCTCCCGACCTCTCAATACGGGACAAACAACGCGGCCAGCATCGTCACCGACATGAAACGAACCTTCCCGGCGATTAGGGTCGGCTTGATGGTGGGCATTGGGGGAGCAGCCCCTGCCATGGCCGACATACGCTTGGGAGATGTCGTGGTGGGAACGAGGGTCATGCAATATGACCTGGGCAAGATACTCAGTGACGACGAGTTTGAATACACGGCGATTCCCAAGATCCCCCAGAGACTGCTCGGAACCGTTGTCTCGACACTGCGATCGAAGCACGAACTACGACCATCAAACATTCCAGCCATTTTGGATGACAAGTTGGAGGATAACAAGCGATACAGTCGCCCACAATCGCCAGACTGGCTCTTCCACGCTTCCTACTGCCACGAAGACTCACGAGCCTTTTGTGAGACCTGTGACCAAACCAAATTGGTCCTTCGTCCCGCACGATCGAACACTGATCCTGAGATACACTATGGTGCCATTGCGTCCGGAAACCAGGTCATGAGAGACGCCATAAAGAGAGACAAGATTGCTCGGGACTTGAACATCATCTGTTTCGAGATGGAGGCTGCTGGCCTCATGGACAGCCTGCCATGTCTGCCAATTCGTGGTATCTGCGATTATTCAGACTCCCACAAGAACAAAAAGTGGCAGAGATATGCTGCGGCAACCGCGGCTGCATATGCCAAAGAGTTACTTGATGTCATGCCGTCAGCAGGCAGCGAAAAGACCACAGCCATCCGCACACCCAAGCCAGGTAAGCCAGCTCTGAGATCGTCCAGTCGTTACCTATAACAATGCTGATCTCACATTAGATGGGAATTCGCTCTTGGAGGGTTTGTTGTCCAAAGAAGATGAGGTGTCACCTCTACAAAGGCGACGGCGTCTGATAAAAGCGTTGGAGTTTGAACAGATCCATTCGCGCAAAGCCGCAATCATGGAAACACACTCCGACACTTGCCGGTGGTTTCTTGAACATGAAGCGTATCAGAGCTGGAGCGATCCGTCCCAAGTATCCAAACACCACGGCTTCCTGTGGATCAACGGTAAGCCTGGGGCTGGTAAATCGACCTTGATGAAGTTCCTGTACACGGAATCAAGGAAGCTGTCTCAGAAGAATTTATCTGCGACAAGCTCATTCTTCTTCAATGCTCGAGGCGAGAAGTTGGAGAAGTCAATCGCTGGCATGTATCGGTCGTTGTTGGCACAATTGCTCAACTCGTTTGAAGATATCCAGGAGGTTTTGGACGAGATGGACCTCGAACCGGATCATCTCATTGATTGGCCACTGGGGACACTGAAGGACCTGTTGCGAAACGCTATATTTCGCCTCAACGAGCGCCAGTTGACATGCTTCATTGACGCGCTCGACGAGTGCGATGAACAGCAGATTGTGGAGATGGTTCACTACTTTGAAACCCTTGCAGAACACTGTGCAGGTGCCGCCATACCTCTCAAGATCTGCTTCTCTAGTCGCCATTACCCTTATATCCACATTGAGAAAGGTATGAAGCTCACCCTTGAGGATCAAGAAGGTCACAGTGAGGATCTCGCAGCCTATGTTGAGGGCCGACTACGTGTCAAAGGTGATGCTCTAGGGGAGCTGCAGTCACAGATTCTGAACAAAGCGGCTGGCGTCTTCTTGTGGGTAGTTTTGGTCGTCGACATCCTGAATAAAGAAGAGAGGCGAGGGAGGCTAGCAATGAAGAGGCGACTAACGGAGCTGCCAAGTCGTTTGACGGACTTGTTTCGGGACATGGTCGCCCGTGACCAAGAGTACATGGAGGATCTCCTACTGTCCATTCTTTGGATTCTTTATGCAAAAAGGCCTTTGACGCCGGCCGAGTATTACCATGCCTTGTGGATCGGACTACAAGAGAAGTGTCATGCTGATCCTGAGCTTCCCGGAGTTGACGATTTGGATTCTATACAGAGATATGTTGTGAGCTCTTCCAAGGGTCTTGCAGAGACCACCAAAGTAGAACCGCAAAGAGTACAGTTCATTCACGAATCCGTGCGAGATTTTCTCTTGAAGGATAAAGGAATCGCAGAAATATGGCCAGAACTGGGCCATGACTGGGAGACATTGGCCCACGAACGACTCAAAGACTGCTGCTATCGATATATGAGCAACCCCAGGTCTTACAGAGTCGGTATCCCTGCTGGGGTCTTTTTCGGCTACGCCCGCGATTACGTGCTGGCTCATGCCAATGGAGCAGCAAAATCTGTGCCTCAACACCGGTTTCTCTCCCGGTTTCCATTGCTCATATATTGTCGGGGCTATCGTTACCACCACGACACAGATTTGCTTTATATCCTGGCAGATCAAGGACTGTCCCACTTGATCACACATAGACTTGAAGATTTCCCCCGGATAGAGACTCGCGGAAATTCCTACCGATTTCCGCTGTTTGCAGCGATAAAAAATCACCACCCGGACACTGTTGTTGCGCTTCTTGCGTCGGGAATGGACCCCAGTGAGGCGACTGACATTTCCAAGAATTTAATCTACGGCCAGGACTATTCCAAGAACTTCACAATGCTGACTTGGGCCATCGACGCGGGTCACATTGCCATCATCTCCTTGTGCCTCTCCAAGGGTTCCTTCGCCAATGAGGAGGACCCCAGAGGTTATAGCCCCCTCGGCATGGCAGTGCGCAGAAACAATCTGGAAATTGTCCAACTACTGCTCGATAATGGGGCCAAGCCTCAGAACTGCGGACCTCAAGTGCTCATCGACGCAGTTCAAAGTCAGAATATAGAGATTGTACGCGCACTTCTTGACCATGGGTGTGACCCCAACAAGTCCGATGGGTATTATAGGCCGCTGAAGGTGGCACACAACAGACAAAACGATGAGATGGTACAGTTGCTGGTCGCATACGGCGCAAACCCTTGGTTCACCTAGCATACTACTTGCCTAGTGACCTCTTCATTCTCCTCAAATACATGACCAATATTAGGCGAGTGAGGTTTTTCTCTAGGCAGTAGCTGTTTTCAATGTATTTAGCGAGATACCCCCTATCCTAGATGGGAAATTGGTTGGTTTATTGATTGATTGATTGACATGACCAAGATAAAACTTTGGGGTTGGTTGTATGAAAAGACGAGAGTACTCGGCTGTGGTTGCGATGGCGCTACCTCCTCTGCTGTAAATTGAAGTATCATGCCTCTAATCAACGGACGCACTATCGTTATTCCGGCCATACCACGGTTAAGTGCTGTGCTTAGTCATTTCGCAGGGAATGCCAACCTACTTTGCCCGGGGTCTCCAGCACCAAGACGCTATGAAACAGGTGTACCTACGTTTCGACTGATCATGGCTGTCACAATCACTTCTCCGAGAAAACCACATGTGCATGCACGAGGGAGCTACTTTAAACGAAGCCTATTGATGAAGATTCACCAGGCAAGAGCTCGATACTTTCCGGGCATCTTTCACTTCAATGCTACCTAATGTTCATTGTCGAGCACCTTCGTCGAGTACCGTTTCTGGCCACATTATGGCATTCCACTATCGCACGATGCGCTGGCTTATGGAATCTTATCTCAAGACTCCTTGAACGAAAGCTATGGCTGTCACTTGAGACCCATACCGAGAAAGACACGGTATGAGCTCGCGTGTCAATTTGTAGCCTGTTCTGGTTTAACTTTATCAGAAGCCTCCGACGCCTCCGGCGCCTCCCCGTCACATCACATACTGGCCTATTCCGGGGTCATGGCAACGAAGGGAACACCCCAACTGGCCTGACTCCAGTTTCCAGATTCCCGAAAACGTACCATATGGCACGATCTACTATATCACGAAAGGGAAGCAAGTCGGCCACGGGGCAACAGCGCACGTTGAGCAGCTCCCGTCAGGGCACGTCGTGAAGTACCCAATACCGAACCCATACTCGCCTAAGGAAGAGGAAGATCATCGCAGGGACATGAGGATAGAGGCTGAGATCTACCAAAAACTGGGGGACTGCCCATATATTCCTGGGTTGATCGACTGGGACCCCGAGTCTTGCTGCCTAACTCTAGAGTACCTTGAGAAGGGAGACCTAGCGATGTACATCAAGGAGACGGCATACATTCCCGCTGAGACTCGACAGTGTTGGACCCTCCAGGAAGCTGCGGCGCTGCTCGCGCTCCACGCGGCAGAGGTCATCCACTGCGATGTCACGCCACGTAACTTCATGCTAAACTCGGCCCTCGATCTCCACATCGCCGACTTTGCTGGCAGTTCAGTCGCTGGATCAATCCCTACTATTGCGGCCGGGCCGAGATTTCGGCCGCCAGGTTGGAGCTGGCACCTTCCAGCAAAAAAGGCTGATGACATCTTCGCCCTCGGCTCAGCCATGTACTTTATCATGGTTGGCGAGGAGCCCTATGCTCATATATTGGAGGAAGATGTTGAGAACCTGTTTAGGGAAGCAGTTTTCCCTGACGTATCCCATCTGATCTGCGGAGCTGTGATTCGGGGTTGCTGGGATGGGACTTTGGATACTGCGGAACATGTTGTCAATTCTTTAACTGCCTTGTATACTACGACAGCAAAATCGGCTCAAGCTGATTGACGTGTGCAGACCAGGGCTGCAATTTCCTGTCACATGATGCTGGCAGAGTTCGACTCTGCAAGCAATAGATGCAAGGCGGCTGTGATGCCTGACGCTCATGCGACGTGACCGTTCTTCCCAAGCCCAACTAATATTGGCAGAAAGGAGATGCTTCATACTTCTACCAACTCCATAGCTTCACGCCTATGTGCTTGAAGGGGCAATTTTGCGCTGTTAGCTGAACACGTCCTTTGGCCGTTGGTTTGGAAACGCCCCGTCAAGCGGACGAAGTAGATGAATATGTAGGTAAGGCGGCTTCTGTTCTTGCCTGTGGGCAGACCCGCAAGGGAATGAAGAGTATGCGTAGCTTTGCTCCCCGCGCTTTCCTCACCTAGAGGATGTACAGTCTATCAGCTTGGTGGTTCCCCTTGGCGCTTACGAAGTATCAAGCCTTCTTGTAGGATATCAGCCCCCCACCCAATAACCTAAACTCCCATTACTCTACCTCTATTCTTTCAAGCTCGCCGCTCCTACGCCTTGAGCGGCCTCTTGGGAAGCAGCACGCAATCATATTCCAGTGTTCTCAAGTGGCTTCGATACTGCCTGGTCAAAAAGTTAGCCTTACTCCGCGCCGCAAAGGCGAAATCATCCTGGGACAGGTCCATATACACCCTCTCCAGGTCCACCATCATGATCTTGTCCTTGCCTTCCTCGGTTACGAGGTGCAAGTTGCCCAGCTTCGAGTCGTCGTGCAAAACGCCTAGGTCGGTGAGACTCGCCGTAGCCTCGTACAGCAGCTGGTGAAAGTCCTTCTCGTCAAGCACCACACCCTCCGGGCTTGCCACGCAGGCTCCGCCAATGTCGGAAAGAACCATCGCTCGGCTGTCATTGTACGCGATGGCGCCATAGAACCGTGATGCTTTGGATGGGACGCAGTTTCGCGTATGCCGCCTTCTCCTAGTCAAACTCTTCATCCCAGCCTTCTTTCTACTTCTTTGATAAAAACATCATCTACCTCTTCAATTTCCCATTCTTAATGGAGGCAACAGCAGCGTCAATACCACTGACAGTGGCTTGAAACCCCGTCCTCGCTTCAAATCTCCGTTTCATCTGAGCTTGCTCAATAAAAAGGCCTGTGGAGAATAAACCGATCACAGGCTCCATTACCCCGCCCCCGCCTTCTCGTCAATACAAGGCCACCTCTCCTTGGCCGTCGTCAGGGGCAACCACAACAATTATCCTCGACAAGAACTCCCACGTCTCGCGACACCAGTAATCGCCACTAGCTATCAACTCCCATCAGCACACTCACCATGAGCACCTTGGATTCCTTTCCGTAATGCACCCTGATGCGATTCACGCGTGGATCCAGACCATTGTGTTCGCGAGCCCGTCCCACGATCTTGCTTTCACAGCCGATGAGCAGAGCCGAATCCCTGCCGACATCGACGACGCGTCGCTGAACAAAGCAAGGTCGAGATCCATCATATACTCTATATCGAGTCCGTCAAAGCGCCAACAACTTGGAGATGTTCCTGGCGGCGTCGCCACCGATCCCGAGACGACGCCTTGGCGACCACGACGAGCGAACACAGTCCATGCTACCGACGAGAGCCCAGCATCCTCTTTCGCTCATGGCGAAATGCCTCCGTGGCAATCTGGTTCTTGTGGCCCCCCTTCGATGGCGCAGACGTCTGTTTTCACGGGCGTCCTTGCCCCGCCCCATGTCGCAACGCTGACGATGGACCAGCGACACCAATCGACTGGGTCGTCAGCATCTTCAGTCCAACGACCAGGCAGCAAGTCACCGTCAAAGCAGCACAGGAGGGTGGCTGACTTGATGACCCTTGATCGGCCCGTGCGGTTTAAAATGGAGATGAACATGAGAGACGCGCTTTCATCCGATGCCCAGGGTCTCTATAATGCACTAGTCAGGGCAGAACGCGGTGAGGGGATCCTGCCGCCGACTCTTACCGATATCCCGGGCATGGATCCCATGGATATTAGCCCATACATGTGGCAGCAAGCGATTGCCGGAACAGATGCCCAGTCCTCCGACAGCTCTGTCGCTGATAAGCATCGTCGTATCCTCGATATTGTCAAGGTCTCCCATAAGTCATCCGAGTTGCACCGTTCCGAGGCGTCCTGGAATACAATGGTCCATTATCCTCTCCTCTATGAACTCACGTCGTCGTCCTCCGTGAGAGTTGAGCCGATAATGTCGGCCCAAATCGTCCCGGCCTTCCGTCCCTCCTTCTATAATCAGTCTTATGACGAGGTCTCATCGCCGAGCACAGGCTTCAGCTTCTCCAACACGGATAGCATATCTAGTTACGAGTCCAACGCTTCGCCGTCTCGTATGAATGCGACCAAGTCAGTCCATAAGATGGTTGACTTTGCGCTCACCCTGACCCCCGACAAGGATCTCGAGGCCCTCATCGAAACGTTCACCAAGTCCTCCCCCACAGCGACGATCAACCAAACAGCATACTATCCTCTCAAATCTCGCCCAGCGCCAGTATTCATCGGAACAAAAACCTCCGCCGGCAATGTCGAAGCGGCAAACATCCAGCTGGGCGTCTGGACAGCGGCCTGGCATGCGAGTCTGCGCAGCCTCATGAGACTTGGGGGCGGCGTGGAGCGAATCATCACCCTTCCCATTATCCAGGTGATCAACGGAACCTGGACTCTTATGTTTGCGGTAGATGCGCAGACTGAAATTGTGAGCTTTTCTCTTGAACCCTTCCTTCTCATAACGTTGAGCTAAATTTGCCGTTAGCATATTCTTGACCGAGACTTTCGAATCGGCAACAGCAGCACTGTTTTTGGCATGTACCAACTTCAGGCTGCTCTCTCTGCCATCATAGTTTGGATGGAGGGTGAGTTCAAAGGGTGGATCACAAGAGTTCTTCAAAGAGCGTTGAGCTAGTGTCGATAGCATCCTCCGTGGCACCCAGCACAGGCAAATTCACCTTGTGCCTCTTCAATTGTGTTGTGCGGCAAAGGGTTGTTCCCCAGGCAAGCTGGCGTCCTGAGGTTTTGACAGTGAGGCTCTGATTGGCTTTTGTCTAATCACGGCTACCCTCTTCCGACGCGACTCTGGTGGGCAGCCGAGAACGGCGCACAAGGCAGTCGTGCGACATACTCCTCGAGGAGGGCGCCGATATCGAGTCAAAGGATCGCCTTAGTTAGACGCCGCTGTCGTGGATCGCCGACAATGGGCAAGAGACCACTGCGCCGCAACTGCTCAGCAAGGGCGGCGACGTCAAAGCGAAGGATTGCGAGTATGGCCGGACGCCGCTGGGAACGGGCACGATGACCGCCTAGTTATCGCTATCGGCGAAGATGGCGCACGTGCTGGACGCCTGCCGGAAGCCTGAATTAACGGAGCCTCTAAGATCGCTGACACGGCCCCGTCACCACCAAAGGGTCTGTCTCCCACTCCCCATCGTATTACTCATATTGGATAAGTGAAGAACAGTGAGGCAGCCACTCTCGCCAAACAATGGCTGCTAGTTCCGTCATATGTTGTTACTCTTAGTTCTCAGCCATTTCTATCTGCGGGTCGTGACCATCTGCCGGCGGTTATTTTCTGTGCAGGGACAGTGTTGGTTACCATATCAAAAAAAAAAAAAAAGGCACATCACCAACATCTTCATGGTGTGGCTAGGCAGCGGGTTGGCCCTACCCAATCAACCCAATCAACCATGGGTCAAATTGCGACTGAATCTATTTTAAGCGCCTGACATCAGTCACGGTGCCTCATCCCTTTCCCCATGTGATGATGCGCTGGTACTGCTATCTAGACGCGTATATATATGCGTTCCCCGGCACTTCTTGGGCTGGAGTCGCGATCCTCTTCACGCCCATCTGCCATTACTGGCATCATTCAGCTTTCAATCCGCCTGTTGACCATGGCACCCTACTACGATATCATCAGGAACCCGAGCAGCTTCGCGCGACACGCCTCAGATGCGGAGAACTTTGAAACTCTGCTTCTGAACACCGCTGACACTGGAGCAAGCAATTGGGGCACTAACCACTTCTTCGCGCTACGAGTTCTATGCTCGGAACCCACCAGCCAGCTCAAACTCCTGCAACCTTATTATCCTGCCTCTAGCAGGGGCTTCGATCCCTGCATCAACAGCCTAATCGATGGTTATCAGGGCGTCAATCTGGCCCAGTTGCAGGAGCCCCAGATCATCAGTCGTTTTCAGCCTGACAGTCTGGGTTACGTCTGGGCAGCCTTAGCTCACCTTTTGCGCTCCGAAGAGGTGGACGACCACCCTGCGGCTGAGAAGACTCAACGGCCAAGCAACCCTTCACAAAAGGACCCGGGGATGATGGACTGGGAGGGCATACAAATAGGCAGCAGCTCGCCCACCGGACCCGGCTCTTCTAGTGAATCTGGATCAAGCATTGGTTACACCGGGGCCCCTTCTGCACCTATTCTTGAAGAGTCTACCATCCGGCTTGGTAGCTGCTTCATTCGCTGCGTGCTCAATTATGGCCAACCTGGCCTGAAGAGCTCTTCCTTCAGTCATTTCCGCGATGTGCGACAAACCTACAAATTTCAACACTCAGACGTTGTACTTCAAGCAACAGATGATGGGGGCCTGTGCCTCTACGTTATGTACTGAGCTGAGCTCAGCATAGCGAGAGGGCATCAGTTCTGCAAGCAGGCGGTCTCGGAGTGATTCATGCGGCTCAATGGCTATATCCATCATCTGAACAGAGACCGGGGTTGGACCGGAAGGCTGTATAGACGTGTTTCTAAGCTTATTGAGAAAAGACGATGGGAAGTCAGCGCTATAGAGGTGTAGGTTGTCGCTATCCTTAGATCCAACCAGCAACTTAGCCTAGTCAGAAGGGAGCAAGGTGAGCAAAAGAAACGTCAACACGGACCATGTGGAAACACCTACGCAGAACGTGGCTTCTAGTCCTATTTTTTCGGGCCCTGGGCTGGAGCAGTTCAGGACCGCGCCTTGTTGCTCCTGTGCTATGGCGATGAGAATCGCGACAAGGTAGGGATCGAAACGAGGATCGGGAGGCATGAAATCCTTCCTCCTGCGATGCCACATCGCCCGAGAAACCTTGTCCCATTCGCCTTTGACCCACTTTGGGAAAAGAGCATCCCAGCGACGCTCCTCTATATCTGATCGGTTGATATAGGCGGCAACAGGAGGGTGCGCGCCGACGTAGGGGTTGCATCGGTCGTGAAATGAAGTGCATTTGATGGTCGTGCGGGGTTGCGAATTGAAGTTGAAGACGACATAATCTCTGTCGATGGATCAAGCCAGTCAGTCAAATGGGTCAACAGGTATCTAGAGCTCAGGGCGAAACTCACCCAAGTTGGAGGGGCAATCGGGGGAAGCAATCAGCTCATTGATAGAATAGTTACGAGAACAGGCTTTTGGCCAACGCTGCATGTCCCTCGCCGCCTCGCGTCCACTCCGCTCTCCAGTGAAGATCGATGTTGTATGAGGCGATGGAGATACAGGACCGGTGAATGAGCACTGGAGGAGTTCAAGTTGGCGGTTCGTCCAGTAGATTGGGTGGACGATGAGCCGCTCTCTGCAGTATAGACGAGTAATCTGGTTGATCGATATGCATTCGACGGCGGATTGGTATGCGACGATAGGGATAGTGATGAGGACAGAGGGGAGTCCATGATGTGAGCTTCCCAGTCTTTATCTTGGCATTGTTGTCATTGTGGTGGCGGTCGATGCGAAGATGGAAAGCGTGAATGGATTTTATGGAGTTTTGTTATATGAGGAAGTAGGGCGGCGGGTGCTTCGCGTTATCATGTGATCTCTATATATAGATATAGCTTAAATTATGTCAGTAAAATAGAGATACTAGAGATAAATTTATACTGCTAAAGCTTATATTAGCTAAATAATAATTGAATAATTAAACTAATTATATTTTTATTATATATATTTATATAATTTTTTATTAAATAATAAAATAAAGGTACTACCTGTCGACGCTACAACCTATCTTGGCAGGTAGGTACCTATCTCTTAAGTTGGAGTTGGCCAAGACACTCCAGGTGCGCTCCCTCTTGCCAGGACGCGCAGCCAATCAGAGGTCGTAATAGTGGAGACCGCTCAATCTGTCAGAACTGGCCCCAACCGTGTGTCATATTGGATCAATCGGCTTCCAAGAAGTCTTGCTTGTGTATTTGTATGCATCTAATAGTTCCGGCAGCTGAGGAAACTTTTACCGACCGAGAAAACGTCTGCCAAGAGGAAGCCACAACAGATTCCCTCACAATGAGAACCGCCACCTTCTCCCCTGAGGACCCTCCTCTCTTGCCTCGTATTCAGCCTCTTCCTTCTTGCCCAGTCTCTTGTTGAGCCACATATACTGCGCATTGGCAGTGATTCCAAACGCAAGTGCTATGCACGCGAGGGTCAGAATGACTGTGAAGCCCGTCCTGTAGAGCGGCGCGTCGTGAGCCTGAAAGATCTGCGCACCCGCAAGACCAGCAGTGTTGACCGTCATGATGAGCAGCGCCAACGTGATGGAGCGCTCTGCGGGATTGCGGATGTTGACGGCCAGCCAGGACCCGTTGAGCGGATGGGCCGCGGAACCCCATATCGTCGTACAGGTGAGGATCCCATACTTGAGATCGCGACTGGTACTGGAAACCAACTGCCGAGTCGCAAGCTGTGGACGGTCAGTATCAGCATTTGCTTCTGTTGAGACGGCGATGGTAATGACTTACGCAGAAAGCAAAACTCAGCACGACAAGAAGTAAAACGAGGCCGCCTCGCCTCTGCGTCTTGTCGGCAATCCATCCAGCCGACAGATTGACCACGATGACGATCCAATCGCTCACGGATGACAGCGCGTTGGCTTGGAGTCGATCATAGCCATATGTTGCAATGATGGACGGCTTGTACGTGCCCAGCGGAGAGATGACGGCGATGCAGCAAAACGACACCAAGAGCTGAGGGTAGATGTACCATCGAGAAAACGCCGCCTTGACATCAGCGAGGCGCACATATTTGTGCTTGGGTCCATCTGCAGGACTGTCATTCGCCACGCGATTGGTGAGAATGTGAATCTCCCGCGGCGTAAAGTACGAATGTCGCAGGATATTGGACGGACGAGCAGGAGAGTGAGGCATCAAGAGGGCAAAGATGACCCCGACGAGTATCGTGAGCAAAGCCTCGATGAGGAACATCCACTGCCACCCGGACAAACCCGCCGTGCCTCGCATCTGCAGGACCCCGTACGCGATGAGGCCGCTCGACGCGCTGGCGGTCATGTTGCCCAAGAAGAAGGCAGTGAAGCGCCTGCTGGTCTCGTTGCGCTTGTACCACTGCGTCAGGGTGTACAGCCCGGCGGGGATGAAGCCAGCCTCGAGCAGGCCGAGAAGCAGCCTCGTGGCGTAGTAGACGCCGACCCCCCGACCCTTGATGAAGGCTTGGAAGGTGGCCACCAGGCCCCAGCATATGATCTGGGCGCTGATCCATTTCTGGGCTCCGACGCGGTAGAGAACGAGGTTGCTCGGCAGCTCGAGGAGGACGATGCCCAGGCTGAGCAGCTGGTTGCCAATGTTGAACTGGAGCTGGGTGATGCCCACTTCAGCAAGGAAGAAATCGGTGAGGGCGTTGCCAATGTTGCCGCGGTCGAGCTGCAGGACGAAGAAGCCGGCAATCAGCAGAGGCATGACGAGCAGGTCTATCTTGCGAACCACGGCCGCTTCTTCTTCTGGTGACCAGTCATCGATCCTCGCTTGCTGCGTTGATTGGGACTCTTTGTCTGCATCTATCTCCGCCAGGCCATATGGGCTGGCATTGACCTGAGTTGTCTCTTTTTCGATAGACATTGCAAAGATGATTGAGAGAGAACAACGGTGATACTACATCGAGTGCTGCCATGAGCCTCTCTCGAACAGCTACTTATATAAAGAAGCATCCTTGCAGCTGGGGCCTACATCTCTGGCAGCAACTCTCCATGGGATATCGTCATGAACATCTACGATGATGCAATTGCTGAATTATCGAGCTACTCTTCCTCTTCTGCATCGGTTTACACCGTATAATTGACAAATTAACTTTTCACACCCGGGAGATCACGAAGCAAATGCAATTCAATCTGGTACAGAGCTACGTTTCACCAATAAGACCAAGATCCGAACCAGATCCTGGTCGTCAGGCACTCGATAGCTTGACAGGTTTGTGGGTCATTTGAGCCTGCCTGACCCTTGGTTATCTGAAGAAAATGTCTGTTTGGGCTTAGCGAGATCTGGGCAGCCTGGACATGAATCTTGCGTGATCTGGAGAGGGCTTTCAACTAATTACTGGGCCAATGAGAACATGATCCGAACCACACCACACTGGCGGTTCGTGGGGCTGCATCTCCATGTGGATCTTGAACGACTCCACGCCAATAAGTCGGTCTCCATCGAGCCGTTGCATCCTTGGGACAGTGGCTCATCGGTACCGTTCGGACATTTGCGAGGCCGATCGTGGTTGAGGATGCTACGAGACTCTTGCTATGAAAAATGATAAAATGGTCGCGTTGTTACTCCATCTCACATGAAAGTTCAACCTTCTCCTCATCATTTTCACTCTCATCAGACTTACTCTAGCGGACTTCACAGTCATGGCTGCGACAAAACGACCTAACTTCCTGATCATAGTCGCCGATGACCTTGGCTTCAGTGACCTCAAGCCCTATGGCTCCGAGATTGACACGCCCGTGCTGGACCGTCTGTCCAAAGACGGCATCCGCATGACAAACTTCCACACAGCGCAGGCATGCTCTCCCACGAGATCCATGCTCCTTTCTGGCACAGACAACCACATTGCTGGGCTTGGTCAAATGGCTGAGTTTGCCAAGATGAAGAAGAAGCTCACTGGCAAGGACCCCGAGTACGTCGGCAAGCCGGGCTACGAAGGCTACCTCAACTGGAGAGTGGCTGCTCTGCCCGAAATCCTCGCAGACTCTGGCTACCTGACGATCATGTCTGGGAAGTGGCATCTGGGCATGACGCCCGACGTGTCACCAAGCGCACGAGGCTTTAAAAAGAGCTTTGGGTTCTTACCTGGGTGCGGCAACCACTTCAACTACGAGCCGCAGTTTGATGCAGATGAGGATTCGATGCTCCTCACTTCTGACGGGTTCTGGATGGAGAATGAAAAACACATTGACAGAAAGAAGGATTTGCCCAAGGATTTCTACTCGACCAATTTCTTCACGGACAAGCTCATTGAGATGCTCGCAGACAGGGCCGACGAGGAAAAAGAGCAGCCATTCTTCTCGTACCTGGCATACACGGCACCCCACTGGCCGATGCAGGCGCCTCAGGAAGTCGTGGACAAATACCGTAAGTTCAGTCAACGAGCTGGCATTGCATTTGGAGACTGATTTATCTGTGTCTTTAGGGGGCAAGTACGACAATGGACCGGACAAGCTTAGACTTGATCGTCTCGCCCAATTGAAAGCTCTTGGTCTCGTAGCACCTGACGTGGAAGCTGCCGATCCCGTTGGCTTCGAGGCCGGTGTGAAATGGGAAGACCTCACAGATCACGAGCGAGCGGTATCTTCGAGGAAAATGGAAGTCTACGCCGCCATGGTTGATCTGCTCGATCAGAATATCGGCAGGGTAATCGATGCGCTCGAGGCGTCTGGCGAACTCGACAATACCTTTATTCTGTTCATGTCGGACAATGGTGCCGAAGGATCCACGTTGGAAGCAGCGCCTGTACGGCTCTCTCCCCCCTAGTAAACCGATGTTTCGATCCCTCTTGTGCTAACTGCGAGATTTAGTTATTGTCGTCTTTCAAAACACTGGGTGATTTGATTGCGGCTTACTACGACAATAGCCTTGAGAACATCGGCCGGCATGACTCGTACGTCTGGTATGGCTCGCGCTGGGCGTGCGCCGCCACGGCCCCTTCACGCGGCTTCAAAGGATGGTCAACAGAGGGAGGCATACGCTGTCCCTGCCTCATCCGTTTCCCGCCGCTCTCAGCCGCGCCGGACACCATTTCGCATTCTTTCACAACAGTCATGGACATTCTCCCCACCATTCTCCAGCTCGCCCAAGTGCAGCACCCCGGGACGACCTTCCGAGGCCGCCAGGTCGTCGAGCCCCGTGGCAAGTCTTGGGTAAATCATCTCGCCTCACCCAAGGACCATCCTGCAGTTCACGAGGATGCCAAGCACATCCATGGCTGGGAGCTGTTTGGCAATCGCGCAATCCGTAGAGGCAACTGGAAAGCCGTCTTGTTGGCAAAACAGGGCGGCGAAGGCTGGGAGCTGTACAATGTAGAGGACGACCCGGCCGAGCAACACAATCTGGCAGAGACGCGCCCGGAGGTTCTAGAGGAAATGCTCGTTCACTGGGCTACGTACGTTGCCGAGACGGGATTAGTTGAGGACGCATTTTAGGATGCGTTTTGAGGGAATGGCGTGCTCGGGATCCATAATCGCGCAAACCACATCCAACAAGTAGCCGCCCAACCGCCGTCGCCGAGAATCCTCTTGTGGGATCTCTTCCTGTGTGAAATTATGAAGAGCAATTGTGACAATCGACATGACGTATCGGAAGACACGGACCGGCTGCCTGGCCTGTAAAGCCAGGAAAGTCAAGGTAATTTCAATCGTAGACGTGCGTATCAATTGAAACATGCTTACTTACCTCGGTGATAGTGCGACGAGGCAATCCCATGCACTGCCTGTGTCCGGCGCGGCTCCGTCTGCAGTCTGAAGGCCCGGGACAGGTCGCCTCGCAGTCGGACACAATCACCTCGCGATCTCGCGAGGTCGCCGACTCGACCTTCCCAGCATCTCCCTCTGATTGCCCCATTGCCAACTGACAGGTTGGCGGCCGAGGATCGGGCCTTGTTGAGTCACTGGCACACGGTTGCGTTCAAGAGCGTCGTGACTCAGGAAGATGCTCAAGATCTGTGGCAGGACGAGGTCACGCATCTCGCCCTCGAGCACCCAGTTATCCTTAATATGGTGCTGGCCATTTCATCCTTCGAACAAGCGTACACTGCCCACTCTTCATCCATTGAGACGAAAACCAATCGCCGACAACGAGATGTATGCGCCCACCGAGGCTTCAAATACTCTCAGAATGCCGTCGCGATGATGCGGCACACGGTGTCCCAAGTGAACCGGGAAAACGGCCCCGTGTGCCATCTCGCCTCCATCCTCATCCTCATCAGCTCCTACGCAGAAGGGTGCCTCAAGGAGCTTCTTCGCGACAAGAAGCAGCCTCCGTCCATGCTGCAGGACCTCCTCGTGACCTGCAAGCTCACAAGAGGGTCCAAGGCCATCGCGGACACCTTTGGGGTCATCCGCCCCGAGCGGCGGGAAAAGGTCTTGTTCGTGAGCGAGGCAGAGCCGCCGGAGCATGGCCCCCTGGACCCGATACTGCGCCTACTCGACTCCCTGGATTTTCTCAACGACGAGAAGGATCCCGTGGTGAGGCGCGTCTGCCAGGACGCCCTCGACCTGATGAGGTGGCTGGTTGCCAAGGCGCAGACCTCGGAGTGGTGGCCTGCGCATAGAGCTTCGTTGCAGTGGGCGTGTTTTGTCAGCCAGGACTTTGTGAGGCTCTGGGAGGCGCGTGAACCTGCGGCACTGGTGGTCGTGTCGTACGGTTGCTTCTTGGCGAACGGTCACGTAGGTGATTCCTTCATCTTGACGGGATGGAAGGAAGGCGTTTGTGCGGAGATCCGAGAAATGGTTGGTCCGAGTTGGGCGTGGGCTGTGGCAAGATGAGGATGACATGACCTCCCATAGTTGAGAGTAGTCCATCAAGTCGGCAGCGGCTATCTTCTTTGCACTTGCAGCCTCGAAGCCATTCTTCAGCCAAGTTCATCGATACTCGAGGCATCTTCCACCAGGACCGTTCTTTTCCAAGTTGAAGCACTTCTCCGTCCGTGAGATGGGGCACGTCTGACTGTCACAGACGAACAGTAAAATCAACAAGCTTTGATTACTGGTCATGTGGCGTGCGCTTGGCCAATGCGAAGATGATGGCAGTGACGATATCAGCATGTCGCCATGAAGCATCAGTCTCTTGTTCATTTCTCTTGGGAGTGGCTGCAGTCTCGACTGCGGCAGCTTTGATCCATCACGACTTGCTCTGCTGCTTCTACTATGGAGAGTTCATCGCGATTGAGAGGCGACTCAGAGCGGCCGGAACTCTGGCAGGGTACGCTAAGCAGAGAGAGAGTTGCTGAGAAGCAATGGCGCGACAGATGTTGGCCTCAAACTTGCCATGCCATTGAGGCAATCGAGTCAATGGGGGTTACTATGCTGCGAGGGGAATTGGAGGGAGTCAGTCAGCCGTACGGTTATGCACAATACACCATTGTCAAGCGGGCGTGTCAAGCGGGCGACACATGCATGGCGAGAATGATTTGCCTTGCAATTTGGGTAATACAAAAAAGTACGAAGAACGTTTACCAGCCCAGCTAGGTACAAGGTTCAAGGTTTGCACTTCTGTAACCAAAACATCGTCCTCATATCAGTCAGTCAAAGCGCGAATTCCACCGAGAAACGAAACCATTGTTGCAACAACAGTACACCTCTCCCCTTTTCACCTTCTAGGTTTGGCCCTACACCTAGACCAATCATTCTGGCTTCAGATGTAAGACAGGTAGCTTGTACTAGTGCGAGTCATCGGCGGGGTCTTGGTGCGCTGGACCGTCCACTTGATGCTCGGTGCGTGCTGCCTCAAGGCCTCGCAGGACGCCGCGATCTGCTCCTGCATAGGGTGTTCTGGGTGAACCAAGACAACCTTCTCAAGTGAAGGGATATCCTTGAGTCCGCCATCGTGGAGCGTCTGCAGCATCTGTCCTGCCTGCTCAATGTTCTCGAGGGGGAGGAGGCCATTGGGAGTCTCTGACACTATCTCGACCGTCCGCAAGTCCGTGCAAGACTCTTTGAGAAGCTCCAGCACTCGGATGAAGGCGGCTTGGAGTACGGGAGGTCTTCTGGAGGCGAACGACTTTGGGAAGTTGATGCTGATGTGCCTCAAGAAGCGTGCATTGGGCCCAATCTGTTGGAGGAAGGGCGCGACGTAGGGCACGGCAGAGTAGAAGGAGAAGCAATCTCCCTCAGGCTGGCGGAAACAATACGCATCGGGGAATTGGAAGAGGTTCTCGGCATAGAGAATGCGCGTAGCCTCCCGGTGAATCGTCTTATTGACACGCAGAAGGGCGGAAGAGGACCCGCAGGTTTGCGAACGGGGGGTGCATCGAGATGGCAGCGCTCGAAACCAAAATTGACCGGGGTCTCTTTGACGAGAACTTCGTAGTAGATGCGGAAGCGGATCTCAACAGGAGCTGTGAGAAAACCGGAGGGCGGAGACTCAAGAGGCTCAGACATGCTGTCGGTTGATCGTTAGTATCAGAAGTACCGTGCGGATATTCAGGATCGAGTATGTAAACTGCGTGTAGGTATTGACGTACTTGAACTCAGGTGGAAAGTAGAAGGATATACTTGGTGGGGATGTCTTTTTCAACAACCAAAGCAATCAATTGCTTGTTAGTTGGCAGACAGTCGTCGGGGAGAATGGGTTCAGGTCTTGAGCAAGTGGATTGCCCAGAACAGGTGTCAAGGGTAGCTTGCAGGCGCGGGCTCGTTGAATTGGGTAGGTAGACGGCAAAGCATCAATTGATGGCAATGTACAAACACTGGACGTCAATTGTAGCTACCCTGTGGAGAGCGGTACGATGCAGTCAGCAGCTGTTCGTTGCTCAAGACAAGTAATTGAGCGATATCAACAGATCCGCGATCGAGGTGGAGAAATGGCAACCCCGCCTTGGGCGTCTTGGGCATCAATGCCTTCGGGACTGTGAGGGTTGGTGAAACAAGATGTCTTTGATTTCTCGGTCAGCTCACGAAATATACACCACGGACGCATAATGAGATAACGAGGCGTCTTGCAGCAACAATGCGAGGAGTAGGGGATTTTTGTCGGCCCCTCTGCTCTGCTGCAACTTGATTGCTTGATTACTCCCCGTCGGGCTCCATTCAGGCCGAGCCACGTCTGAGACACTTTGGCGCCGATGGCAAGAGGCAGCGTCGTTGCCAGCTGGACCGGCAGTTACGAGTCGAAGTGGATGGGTGCTTGCAGCTGCTCCGGGCCACTCTCACCACTCACCACCCAGCACACCCCTCCACTGCCCAGTACATGTGTGTACACGATATCGTGTGCGCATGTGACTCGGGCGGTGGTTCTGTTGCAGGCGGCTACAGATGGAACGCATCGCAACGCACCGCCGGCAGCTGGGGTAATTGACGTGGTCCATAATACTGCATGCTGCATAATAATACTGCATGCAACCCGGAGCTCCCCGCCTGATTGATGGCCATACCCCAGCGTACGGGACTTGAATTAATTCCCCTCTCTGCAATGATTAACTCTAAAATTACGCCTACACTGGCCGGGTGAAACAAATGCGCTGGGCGAGGTGGTAGCACAGCATCACGCTATTGAGGATGAGAGGCTTTTCCCGGCCACTCGCATTTGCCAAGAGGCGCCTTCGCTTCGAAATTGGTCAGAAACGCATGATAACGCGAGGCCAACCGGATAGGAGCGGGAAAGACAGCAGACTCAGACATCCAGCATCAAATGCAAGCCTGAAGCTTGAGCAGGGAGTGCGATATGCCCGTTCCGCTCGATGGGCAGGTGGATTGCACTTTCCCTTCCTGCAGATCCACTCCCACCGAACGGCTGCTTTCCGACATGTTGATCATCACATGTTTGCTAATTTTTAAAGTAGCTCATAATGCGACTACCTAATGGTGCGTTCATCGGTGTACATCTGGGCTCTCAGAAGAAGTGCCGCAATCCCTGCCCGGGAAGCGGACGGGAGAGTGACTGCATCAAGGCGTTTGGTGTCCCTCAGCATTCCTGAGCGAGAGCCGGCCTTGCAAGAATTCCATAGCTATAAGAATGATGCTTCCTCCCATCTTATGAACCTGGGATTTCATTCCTTTTCATAATATTGCAAATAGTATCCCAGGTCATTAGACATAGGGAAAGCACTAGATCAGACAGTCCTGCTTGCACCTCAGCCACAGATACTGAGAGGCAGCACCTTCAGCTCCAAGGCTGAGCACCCACCCTAACTCACCTTACCTGAGGCACTTAATTGGGAAGCAGCTTCATGCTTCCATGTAGCAGGTATGTTGACTTCGCACGTAGCTCTCACACTTAGAGCAACCTACCCCATCCATCATCCACCACCAGACCGCCCAGACACATCGGGCACTTCTATCATCTCTTTCCTAACGAGCAACCCAGGAGACAATGATGTATAATAATTGCGTCATGGAGAATTGTGATGTTCTCATTGCAGCTTTGGAGCGATTCCTCCAGGAGGAAGCCGATGATCGGCAACGCTCTGCTCAGGCTCCAGATCCGTCGGCTGCCATGCCCGCCGACGACGAGCAACGCTCTGCTCTAGATCTGTTGGCCGCCATGCCCGTGGACGGCAGACAACGCTCTGCTCTAGATTTGCTGGCTGCCACCGCCAGCAACAGGCGACGTTCTGCTCCAGATTCATCGGCCGCCACCGCCAACAGCAGGCGATGCTCTGCTTCAGGTTCATCTGCCGCCACCGCCAATAACGGGCAACGCTCTGCTCCGGGCTCATCTGCCGCCACTTCCAACGACAGACAACGCTCTACTTCCTATTCGTCGGCCGCCATGCCCGCCTACGATAGGCAACGCTCTGCTCCATCTGCTCCAGATTCCTCGGCCGCCATGCCCGTAGACGACGAGCAGCCCTCTGGTCCAGATCGGTTGGGTGCCATGCCCGCCGAACTCATGAACCAAATGATTCCAGAGCTTGACCCCATCTCACTCATCAATCTCAGCCAAGCCAGCCATGGGTTTCGGGCCATCATCAAACCGAGCAGGGAAGAGTTCGTCGACCGGCTTCTCGCCCTCGAGTGCACCGAAGAGTATGGTGGTGCCGAAACATTCATCCACCGGCGAGTCTGGAGACCCTCCAACAACTTGCCCATCCACTACAATCTAGAACGCTACCCTTCAATCGACGACACGAGATGGGAGACCCAGCGATTCGCGTGCAGCGGCTGTCTGAAGCTCCTGCCTCACTATCAGTTTGACAATCGCTCCATTCAGCACGAAGACTATCGGAAACCCATGTTTGGCACGCCGTCTGCCAAGACCCCAACGACGTGGAGACCGAGTTTGAGAGGCAAAGACCGGAAACAAATCAGCGGCCGCCTGAAGAGGGCTCAGCGGAAGGAGCTTCGCCTGGTGGAGAGCGAGCTGCCAGAGGGCCACCCTGTTCTACTCCAGTACACAGCAGCATTCAAAGCTCTTAAGCTCGACTTTAAACGCGAGCTCAATTCTCGGCGGGTGAGAGGAGTGGATGAGTACGTGATAAACGGACATGGGCGGCCCGTGACAACCGCAAATCCTCGGACTGTGACCAAGATGCTCACGGAGATTAGTCGCCGGGGTCAAAAACGCCGCAATCGCCGATGCAATGAATGTCTGTTCCAGAAAGGTCAATACAGAGCTCCGTCCACTATCGGGGACGTCAGAACTCCCATCATGAAAAGGAGTCGGCTCGTCCGTTGCGGAAGCGCCCTACGTCGGTACTTCCCGGGCTATTCGGAGATCTATGGCAGACCGTGCCCGCCGATCCCAACCCTGAGAATGCCATCCTTTGTTCGTTTTGTAAGGTTCCAGGAGCTGTGGAATTTGTGTATGATCCGATGCCCTGGATGCGAGGTCTGGCAAGAGATGCGAGCATTCCGACTCAGTGGGTCACTTCTGGGTTGTGGATTCGACACCACAGCGGATGCATGGGAGGGAATGATCGATTGGGACGCGACGATCATGGAGCAAGAGAGCCTCGGGGAGAGTGTTTGCAATCGCTGCTTTGTCAACAAGAATGGCAGGGACCAGCTGAAGCAGGTTCTGTTCCGATGGCTGTCTCATGAACAGTCGCAGGAGCTCGCACGCATTGAGGCAATGATCAAGGTCGGCTGGATTTCGATCACGGACGCCCTCACGAGCGCCAAATTCAACTCGGACCCTTGGGACAATCTCAGGAGAGCACATAGCATTTCTCTCAAAGGCATCGCTCCAATCCTCAGGAAAGATTTTCAACTGGACTTTAGCTCAATGACGCTTCTGAGGTCATGGTATCAAGTGCTCTTCCTCAAGGACCCGCGCTCCGAAGCGGAGACTTTTGCCGACTATTTCAGCCCAACGCGCAACTGGGAGTATCAATGGCTGATGAACTTCCCGCTTCTCCAGTCGCACTGGTTTCATCTCACGGACATGATAGATGTGGTCCAGGCCGATCTAGAACGGCTCGTAGATTGGGCTCTGGATCCATGTCTGGGCCTGCCATTGCATTATGTGGACGAGGCCTCCCTCAATTAGCAAGCGCAATGAAGGGTGACGGCACTTTCATCGACTTTGATCTGTCTCTGCAGCTTTCAGGTGAGGTTTAAATTTGCCGATTTTCTTTTTTGGTTGTTGTCCAAGTTAACCTTTGTGAAATTTTTGGGGGGTTTTTTTTTTCTTTTTTCTTTTTTTGCTCCGTTAGGATAGGGGTCTCCTTCGGCGTTCAAAATTTGTCAGTTACTCACAAGCACCTAGCACGGGATTCGCCTTGCTTGCGCCTAAAAGTTAAATTGAATTGATCCGTATTATTTATTTTCATCTTTCCCTGCGACAGACTGTGAGTGCGAGAATAAGGTAAGACCTATCCCACCGCCTCTCCATGCTCGTCCACCTAGAGTTCTACTCGCATGCCCATTGCCTTGCTTTCTGGCATGGCCATCCATTGAGTGCCGCAACTTAGCTCCCGTGGAGGCGAGGACATCTCGCTCAGTGTGAAACACCCGACAGTCGAGCTCCGTGGACAAGTTGCTTGATCTGTCTTGCGAGGGTCGCCTACAAGCCTTCGCTGCGCGTGGCTGACCCGGTGCCGTTGCTTGCGGACGAGCAGGAAAGCTGTTGCTCCCAGTAATGCCACACCAACAACCGCCCCGAGTGCTGCGCCTGTAGTAGTTTCAACAGAGAGCCCGCTAGACGGTTACAGGAGCCTACCTTTCACCCTTTTGAATTATATTCCGTTGTATTTATCATAGAGCAATAGCCAAGGTTGACTAATATCAGCCCTATAAACCACCAGCAGTTTTACTGCCACCCAATTAGCGCTCCATAGTACCCTTTGTAGAGGCATCTCTCCCAAGCCTTTCAGAGTATTAATTTTACAACGCATCGTGAGAAGCGACGCTATATCTTCGGATGATAATCCTGTAGCCATCTCGTGCAGCATATTTTGCCGCAGCGGTCTCGTGTTGTGTTGGGGGAGGAACGATCACCACCGCAGCGGTTTGCAAGCTTGAAATGCAGACTGCAACCACACCAAAATTTTAACAACCTTCCGCAACAGCTATGAAAAGAAGGTTTCGGGTTTTGTGTGCATTGTTATTTGATCAAATATTTTGTGTTTACAGCTAGTCCATTAGCCTGTTATGGCTGCTGCAAAGTCATGGAAAGACGCATCTTTCAAAGGAGAGTTTTTTTCAAAAGTGAATATGACAAGGGATGAAAAGGATGTTGATTTTCTACAAGCGATGAAACTAACTAATTGATCTAGCCCGGCCAAATGACAAGTGCGCCCCGACTCAGTGTCCCCAAAAGTTTCTTTGACCTTGCCTCAAATGCTATAGCATCGCTGGGTGTCCACGCGTGTCAACCAGGGCCCAACGCGTTGTTGTCGAGTTGACTTTCCATCTCCCTCTGGTGTCTGATCCTCCTCATCAGAATCCCATCCATTGATCCACTCGTGAAGATAGATATCTCGTTCAGCAACCGGATACCCATCCTCTCCACGTAGCCATAAGAACATGGACCTTGTAGCTGTTTCAGAACAGTCCCTTTCTCGGTCCAAGCTTCCAAAATCGATAGCAACACTATTCTCGAACGCATCGAATGAGACCTGCTTAGGTGTAGGTATCGCTTTCCCTACGTAGCTGAGGCCATCGTCGTGCGCCCAGGCCCAGTTTGTGATGTATAGTCCATGAGAACTCTTGCATTGTGAGTGAACCTGGACCTCAAGAATGCAGTCTGCGATATCTGTTCTCCCGAAGGGCTCGAATGGAACGATGGGAGGTGACTTGTGGAATTCTGCTTGGGTCAAAAACATAAGTCGAGCCTCATCCGAGCGGCTTATTTCCTTGGCAGTAGTCGGAGTCGTGGGCAACTGAATGAATGATATGAGAGTGTTTGTCCAAACAGCAACCTGGAGATCGATCCCTAAGAAGGCTGCGCGAGCCCGCTTCATGATTGAAGCCTGAATGCCGGCCAGAAGTGCACCTAGCCAGAGGAAGCCCAGCTGAGGGGACCGGTTGATAAGAATATGCAAGAGGACGTGAGGGTCTTTTGTATCTTGATTCTCAAGTACTGCCAAGGCTCCTTGTATCCATGCACCACAGGCATTGCAGGGGATCGATGGCTCAATGAATGCGCTACCCAGGAGCGAGATGATCCCTTGGCTATTACACCCCAGGGTAAGAAGTCTATCGAGTTGTCCTTCGTCACTGCCCCAAGGCTGGGATTCGGTCTGCGGCGTAAATGACGACTGCCGGACTGCACCGGAAAGTCGAGGTGTATGTAATACGACCTGTTTTATCATAGTCTGCGATGTCGGAAGTAGCAGGGCGGCCATGAATGCCGCATGACTTTGTTGACTGACATGGTGGTGGGCCACATAGTCAGAAATAAAACGCACTGCATCATACCAGGTAGGTGGAAACCCAGGTAGCAGCGAATTGTGTGTGTATCGACTGCATAGTATGAGATGTCGAGTACTCTGAAGCGTAGTGGACCATGGTGACTTGAGGTGTCTCTCATGAGGAGGGACATAGGCATTCCAGCCCTCTCCTGGAGCGAGAATCGCGGCCCACCACCTGAGGGCATCGCCAGTAACACCACCGATATCAATTATAATTGGTTCATCGTGTTCAGGATTACCGTCGCCTCTCCACGATGCCAATTTTTTGGTATATTGAATGCTTGCATTAGGCATGACGCTGGCCCAACGCGCAGAAAAAACATAGGCCCATGCGAGGGTAAGTGGGAGGAGGTGGTTATCCTGCTTGCCGAACCATTTTGTAAAGCCAATCGAAGGATCTGAAGATAAGGCTATGGTGGTAGGCCGGTTTGTGGAGACCCGGAATGTATAATTAGTCTTGGAAGAGGGCAATCCCCGTTCATGGTTGTGCCCCACGTAGAGTGTCCAGTAACATTCAAGAATATTGATGCATCATCACCAATCTCTATGTAGGATGGAAATTTAGGGTGTTGGGGGATCACATTCTCTAGCCTCAGGAGAGGTGCGTGTTGAGATAACGGTATTGCCTTCTGGTAAAGTGTATGCCATGTAGTAAAGCCTTGCTCGTAAATTTGTTTGAAGATTTCATCGCTGGGTCGAAGAGGGTCATCCATAATGACGAGATGGGAAAGAGCTTGAGGTGCATGTCCTTATTGCTGATATAGGTATGTGATTTTAATAGAGATGGCTGGAATGTAAATACCTGACTACCTACAGGCCGGCATTGCCTTTTCGGATAACCTGTATCTCCTATCACGTGACCTCAAGTACGTGTCTTTGACCTTCAATAACAAACACCACATCTTACACGAATCAACCTACTTAGAGCTCTTAAGCGCAGCTAACAGACCCGGGCAGTGATTCAAAGAGAATCTTCCAACGTATAGTGTGCATCATAGCGCGCAACTACAGGGTGGCCAGAAGCATCGTAGTTCTTTCCTCTCCCATGATCAGAACATGGTCTGCATACAACATAACCAGGCATGTTTTGATCAACACTTCCATTATCGTACACCACTGAATGATTATTGCAGGTACAGATTTTAATTTTCTTGCGACAATGGCCCTCTCTCCCTGATAAATGCATACTGGACAGTTGCTAGCGAAGGCTGTTCATGAGTGAATTAGGAGGCAAGACTGGAACAAAGGCTGACTCACAGATGAACAAAGTCTAGTCCGTTGTTTAGGACGCCGCTTGATTAATTCTACATTTCTTGTGCTTAAAGGTATAGCAAATACGAGAAGATTTACACTTGACCCCGTGCCCATCGCAGCGCTCACTTTTATGGTCGCGAATGATGGGAATCGTCCGTGATACCGTCACTTACATCTCAAATCTACCATCCTGCGAAGCATTCACACCAGCCAGCCAAAGTTTTCTCATCCCAAATCGAAACGTATTTAAGCCTCATAAGAAGATGGCCGCAGTTCGGTTGGAACTCGACAGACACCAGCCAGCAGGTATCTGTCTGTTGACAAGACGCCAAGACCATTACCTCGCTATGAGACGGAGAGCCTATTCACACTCCTCATCAATGCCAATGTCGCGCACCTCCAACCCGTACCCCTCATCAAAATCATGTCGATTCTCTGGGGCGCGGCTGCTGATGAAAAACTCGGTGCCTAAGTTTTCCAAGATCTTGCGGGCGACAAGGTCAGAAAGCTCGAGCTCGTCACCTCTGGCCGTGAGTACCTCGATATGCCGGGCTTCCAGATCGTAAGGCGCGTCAAAGTCGCGGGCGTCCAGGTCATCAACCTCATCCAGGTCACGTTTGCACTTCTTCTTCTTCTTCTTCTTTAAGATGAATCTCATTCCAGGATACTTGAACCATTCTACCATCTTCTGAACTCTCTTCTTGTGAATTTCCGAAGGTGTAGGCAGTTTGATTTTCAAGTGGTCTCCTATTGCCCTCTGCACCGCCGTGTCAGCGTCATCATCAAAGCGCCAGTGGACCGACCGGCTTTTACTTACCCGCTCATGCTTGGGGTATCCATAGAGGAGGCTGCGGGTGAGTAGGTCGGAGGCCTCGTCGAAATCTCGGGTCCCAAAGTCGCTAACCTCATCCAAGTCACGTTGATAAGCCGAGAAGAACAGGTGCGACGACAGCACTCTGGATCGATATCGAGATGAACAGGCTGGACAATTGCCACCAATTTGAAGCGATTGGAAGAACTTGGCTCAATTGATGTAGGCAGGCAACAATAATTGGACCGACTGTAGCGAGGGTGTAGAAAAGAAATGCAGAAACATGCAGGAGGAGAAAAGAAGCGAGACCAGCTCAGAGCGATGTTAGTTGGGTTGGGTAGTTGAGGAGAAAGGTCGACAAGATCAGACACAAGCATGAATTCTAAATAATTTACCTGCATCTCAATGCGCAAGCCATGGTTCCTTAAATTAAAACAATGTCCCTGTATTTGACTCAGTTGTAGTCGGGCTGTTCTGCTTGCCTGAGAAAGAGCACGGCAGACTGGTGTGGCGCGAGGGATGATGCGAATGCCGAGAACTGCCGTTTTGGCTACTAGCAGTATGTTAACATCTTGTCAGAGGATCAACGTCGCGTTGTGATACGACCTACACCCAGAATTCCATGTCCAACTGTCTGGAAACACAGTTTTCGCGGTAACGGCCGCGGTTGAGGGACGTGGTGAAGGAGTCAGGATGCTATTGGAGGGAGACGATTGTTTGCAAGAGGGATACCTAGTCGCAGGAGTAAAACTATACTTAGTTACAAGTTAATAGTAGCAAGAAAGAATTGAATATTCTACCATTAGTATGCCTCTGTCTAAGATGTTACTCGATGAAGAAACCAGTCACTTAACAAACGCTATTGACAAGGTGGCTGTTACAGAAAGACTGCAAAAGACGCTGCCCCTAAAAGCACAGTGTGCTACAGTGACCGAGGACGCAAAATAATGCTTGAAAACGTGTCGGTACTGGTGATTTTTCAGGTTCACTTCAGCCTGAGGTACCTTCCCGCCGCGTCCCCCCTCGCTCCTTCCACTCACTGAACACTCCCGCCACACTTTTCACTCTCTTTCCATCTGAAACCGACAACTTCCTTCCAGTCATTCCTACAGGTATACTATCACCAGACGATAGCCATGGAAATCCAAAAAAAATCAGCAGTATCTACAGACAGTACAAGAATGATACTGACTCTTTGGCTTCATGGCTAGCTTCTACAGCTAGACATCACGGCTACCCGTTGGCCCCCTTGCTCAGGAGTTCCGGAAACACGTCGACTGCAAAGTCTACCGGAAGACTCAAGGGCAAAGCACGCCGGGAAGCGCACAATGCTGGACCAAAACCCGCCAAGTACATCATCCCTCTGCACGACTTCACGCAACTAGCCAACTTCATCGCGAAGAAACGCCAACGTATTGACGTCCCATCATCACTAATCTCGACACTCAACCGGTTGAATACCCTACGAGCCGGATTCGCTAAGCTTCTGGCACAGCACGGTCAAGCGTTCAACTCCGAGTCGGAAGCGAGGCATCAGCATTTCGTGAATGCATTAAAGGATGTGAGATCCATCCTACAGCCTCATCCTTCTGTCGAAACAGAGGAGCAATCAAAGCCAGCGTCGGAGGATGAGAAAGCCCCAAAGCCTCCGGGGGGTGGCTTGATGAACCGATTCTCCGCACTCTCTGTCGATGAGCCGAGCCAAGATTTCCTGGAGAGATTCGCCAAGGAGTGCGACCACGCCGCCCGACCTTCACAGCTGGTAGACGACGTTTCAGTTTTCGAGGCGGACTTGGAGAAAGCAGAGGAGGAACTGATGTTTCTATGTAGTGCGCTGCTGAGAGATTCGAACGAGATCAGATCCTACATCCACCCCATGTGGCCCCATAAAGAAACGACTTGGGATCCCGGCGCTTTCTCCGTCTCCACGAACGTTGCGATATATCACTCGGCCGCGGACTTATTGATGAAGTTGAGCCTCTCCTGGCGAAGGCCAAAGGAGGATCGCTGTTCATGATGGAAACAATGGCATCAGTTATGGAGAAAACAGCCCAGGACATAGCCGAACCAACTCCACCAGCTCCAGGTAGCCCGAGCGGTGCAACGCACGAGGCAGTCAAGCGCATACGAGATCCATACTTCTCATCCTTCAGCAACTCGATTCGATCTCCCAAGGCCCAGCACGGCGCAATGGCCATCCGCGATGGGTTTATTATCCAACGATCAGATTGATCTCGCTCGTCTGCCCAGAGTTCGCTCCAAGGAAGATTGGTTTGACCAAGACGCATTGCTCATCGAAGCTTACATCCCAATTCACTACCTCTCTACTGCCATTGCCATTATTGGCTTCGGCCTATTCACTCTCCTCGATGAAAACTCATCCGCCGGTACTTGGATAGGCTTCCAGATCATCGAAGCAATCGGTATGGGCGTTATAATCCCCACCTTCTTGCCCGCTATCCTGGCACCTCTCACTGATGCCGACACAGGGTTCGCAACGGGAACTTGGTCCTTCTTCCGCAGCTTCAGTATAGCCTGGGGCACCGCCATCCCGGCAGCCATCTCTAACAATCGATTTGACGAGCCGGCGGGCAATACCACATATATATATATCGAGCACTATTTATGTGATATGATGCTGGTGCTCCAGAGAATGGGCGGTTTTCCCGTTGAGGATGAGCTCTTCCGAGCAGTCAGAAGGTAAAAGAATACAAACAAACTGTCCATATCACTGGTGTTTGCGCTCCAGATATTTCTTGATATCAACCGCCTGACAGAACAATCATTTCTACCCAAATTCGAGCAGATGAAAGCCGAGATGGATCAATATTCATGCGACATCGAAGAATATACCCGGGTCATGAAAGAGCTCGTCCACCTGTCCTCTGATGGATTCCAAACTGCGTTGGCCAGCCATAATGGCGTCCGAGAACATGTAAAATCCTTCACAGATGACAAGGTGTTCCAAGAAAAGAAGCGCATCTCCAAGGTGACAGATTGCTATATCTATTATTATTATAGTAAATTAGCCGAGCTTTATTAGCATAACTACTGTAGAGTCTGATAAGCTTGCTGATAAAGCTTCACGGATATCTTGAATATCTAAAATTCCTATCCCGCGGTTTCTATACTCTAACTTGGTCTTAGCTTTGCAACTCTCTATGAAAATTACCGACATACGTACGGCTAACCTCAAAGGGATCAACCAAGATTATTTGACCATATTATTTAGACCCTTCCGTATACAGAATAAATATATATCCGTAGATCTATCCTCAATCACTGCTAATCTCTAACCACGAACCTCGGAGATTCTCGTCATCTGCTCGTGTCGAGATTTCCAGTGTAGGGTAGGCTCCTCGCGAGTGGGTTTGAGTGATTGAACCCTTGTTATGATTTTGGCGTTACTACGTGACATTAATCAACCGATAAGCGATAAGGCGACTGACTGATAAACGATAAGATGTTTGTCTGGTTACACTGCTTTGCTTGCCCCAGGCAGATCTGGAAGGTATTGCGAGTAATACAGCCGACGGGCACTAAATAGAGTAAGTGCTAAGAATAGAATTGCAGGTCCCAGTCATGACGCCATATTACGGGCGGTGGCAGTGCTAAGGTGAGGTATTAATGCAGGGCGACGACCAACGTGCAGCAAACATAAACAGGGTAACACCTCTTATATTAGCTATGCAAATCACGACCTGCCCAAGCTGCCCTACATGCTACTGGAATCCCACATCCTCATCTCCCTCTACCCTCTTTACACCTTATCACAGCCTTTATAGAACAGCATTAAAACCTCTACTACACCCCTCTCCATATCGGCTTAGTGCTCTAGTTTATTCGATTACCTATGGAACAGCTAAGCTACTCGGGGCAGGTCCCAGCACCAGAGGGACTTGGTATAGAGTCTTTGGCTTTAGCAGTATCCAACCATAAGCTGGACTGTCAAGATAAACCCACACAGATCACAGAAGCACGCATCATATCAGCGGGTTGTCTGGTTGGGTTACACCCTACGGAATCTCAATCTTCGGGGCAGACAAGGTCTGCTCTGATTCTCCATCTCCCAGCAGAGATTCTAGCTCAAACCTTCAGTCTCTTCCAGCATCCAGGTATTCATATGGGGAAATTGGAAATATACCGTGCTAGTGACGATTTCACATCAAGCCAGCATACAATCCAAAATATACGCCTAGTATGCCGGGTATTCAATATTCTCGCCTCTCGGTTTTTACTGCCAGTTCTTCATATCCAGAACAATAAACGATCACTACATCGGATACAAGCTCTTATTAAAGCCCCTATCTTACAAAGTGGGCTACACGCGATTCAGGTGCACTTTGAATTTTTCTTCTTTGAGCTTGCCGGCACTAGATGGAAATTCTTCATGCACACACGAGATAAAGCCTGGCATCTTACCCACCGTATCACCTCGTCCCTGAACGAGGAGCATAATTCGGATCCTTCATCAGTAGCAAAATACAAGATAATGTTGGATAACTTGCTCGCCCTGAACACGGCAGCTCATCATCTTCTCGGGGGTGAACCGGATGCTATTTTCGCCGGATATACATCGAATAATAAAAGACTTGTAGCTGAGTACGAGGGAATGCTCGAAAGAGCATACACAGAGTACAGGTCAAAATACATGGAGCATCGGGAAATGATCGTTGGGAGGTCGATCATTCAGGAACTGGAACATTTGTTCCGTGGTCTGAAGCATACGCAGCCTATATCACTCGGGTTTATGCAATCTCCAGGCAAGTCATTCTCGAGTGGGGTACTAGAGGGAACTGAGGGTGTTTACAAGAGCCTAACAACTGCTCATGCCTGGGGGGATATTGGCAGGTCGAGGTTTGAGCTGGCTGGGAAGGAATTTGCTCTACAAGCTGAAATGATGTGGGATATTCCTATTATCATCCATCAAACCGGTGGAACCCTCGTCAGCTTAGGACTTTGCGATACTCTTGTTACCAGAGACTATTCGTTGATTTGTTCGAAGAAGGTCACCTTGCCCTTTACAGGCCCATCTGACTGGCTCGCTCTCTCCAAGGTATGTGGGTCTCTGGAGAGTGTCCGCCTTGAGGGCTTAGCCTATAACTTCAAACTTGGTGACCACAGCCTGCCTTTAGTTGCAGCTCACAGCGGTTTAGCGGAAGGTCTCGCTTTCCCTCTTTCTGAGTATCTGGGTGCAGTTCTCTCCGGGAGGTATCTGAGGAGCGTTATTGTCAACACCGCGATAGAGGAGTTGGATCTATATGTTGGCGAGAGGGATCGATGCCCCCTTGGTCCGGTGCTAGCCCGATTAGACTGCCAGGGTGTGACGATATTATCGCTATCGAATATCAGTATATCTCAAGAACACCTTGAGGCACTATGCCGAAATATGAGCCAGATGTTGGAAAGCGTCAGCCTTGTCGATATAGCTCTAGCCGATGGGAACTGGGGTACTAGTATTGACTTGCTGCGTGAGAAGCTGATGTGGCGGTGTACTAAAGCCTATTGTACTATCTACATGGACGGACTAGTAGGTGGTGATATTAGCCTGTGGATGGTGAGAATTAAGGAACTTAGTGGTATAAACGATGCAGATACGACTGAGAGGGCGAGAGAAAGAGCTGCAAATAAGGAAATTATGGATATTCTAACGGGCTATATTAACGGCAGTGGGGCTAGTTCTAATCCAATACCTATATTATTAGGGTAGAAGTAAACTAGATAGGCGAGTCTAGGCTAGGCGAGCTGGATTCAAGCTAGATTTTCCTTCTTTTATCCTCTTATTCTTATACACCATGGGGTTTTAGTCTGTTACATCGCAGGTACTTATACTACACCTGTTACGAACAAGAGCCTCGCAGGCCGCTGTAGGGGTATAACTTAGGACAGCACGGGCACAGTATAATACTAGGTGGTGGCTATCGAGATAGGCTGGCGGACTCAGGGGCTGATCGTGATGCAGTTAGAGTTACGGATGGAGGATGAGGACAGGAGGTAAGTATATCGATATCGAACCAGTTATAGGGGAGGTAGTAGACTGCTGGGCCTGGAATGATATAGAGGTCGAGGAAGCAGGCTGAGAGTATAATGGTCAGGGTAGGGCTAGGGCAGGACTATATAACGATTAGCGTGCTGCTAACGGGAGCCGGGAAGAGCATACTATCTCTATTACTGGCGGTACTACGAAAAGAGAGGATAAGTATTGTGATAGTGCTGGCCATGGTGTTAATAGATAATATCGTAACCCGAGCCGTGGCTATAGGGGTGTATTCTATATCCTGTCCCGGGTGTTCCTGAGCGCCGGGTGCGAGGGAGTACTCAGGGTTATATGGATAGTAGTTATCAGCGCTGTTGTTGTAGGCCGCGGCGAGTTCGCACTATATACTGACGGATTGCTGTACGCAGAGCTACTACGGCGGTTTTTTATGGACGAGTGCTGCATAGTGATTATAGATATGAGCTACTGAATGAAACTAGCGGAGTTAAAGAGGCTATATCGGTACCAGTATCCAGTGGTACTGCTAAGGGCGTGCTGCCGGTAATGCTCGAGAACTCAGAGTCAGTCCGGCACCGTATCTTCCGATACTCCCCGCTCCTCTGCGGCCTTTACCTCTTCTTCTTTCGAGCATGTTTCAGTGCCATCGCCCTTCGAGAAGACTCTGCACCCATCATAGCATGTGCACATATTTACCACGCTCTTCGAAAAGAAAAGCTCCTTGACTGCTGCTGGCCAGACATGGACACAGCCATAGAATTGCTTGGAGACAACAGTTTCTGGGAGGGCGGCAAGAGACCAAAGACAACTCACGGGTACTGGAAAGCGATGCTTTTGCGATCGGGAGTCTCCGCTACTTGATTTTCTAGCAACGCAAGGCCTAGTACCAGTAGACCTTCCGGGTTCACCTCCTACAAGAGGAAGATCCACAGCCAAGCTGGCACCTCGTTCGGTTTTCCCATGGATACTATTCGGCCATCCGAGCCGCTGCGAAATAAGACGCATCAAATGCATGGAGCCACCTTAAACAGAGAAGAGTACGTCTGGACGCCCGCGGAAGTGAAGAACTTGCTGGTGGGGAGACCTGGGGCCGTGAGGCGTAGTTGGCAAGAGCGCAGATTCCTTGAATCCAACGATGACAAGTCACCATCCACTCGAGGCCTCCTGGCGAGCATACTCAGCTACAAGCTGTACAACGAAACATTGGATCTTGCCTTCCCATACCCTAGGGTCCATCGGCAGTCCAGAACTCTTTTGATGGCCCTCTGCGAGACCTTTAAGACAATCATCCCCCCAGAATCTGAGATTTTAGTGCAGACCGACAACCTTCCGTTCATAATCGTCGCCATCTTTCAGCTCTCGATCCGACCCGAGCCAGAACATAGGGAGACGCTTAGCAAGGCTGCTGCGGTGGTCAACGCATATCTTTCGGCCGGTGAAGGTAGTGCTTGCGTCGTGGCGGCTGCAGAGGCAGGGCTTCCCTTTAAATTTGCATCACCGGCCGAGGAGGGTGGGGATGCATCGATTGACGCTGAAGCTTTGGATTGAGGTTAGACTTGGATTGTAACGCAAGACGGTTGATCGATTTGGAACTGGGCGTTGGGCGATAAGATGTCGGTGCAAGAGTGAAGATTTCCTGCCTCGTGGGCAAATTGTTAGACAAACTCGACAGTCGAGGGCAATTCGCCGAGTAATGATTGAAAAGCTTCTTTTTCGTTACAAGCGACTTTTTTTTGCCTCCTGTGTCTGGCAGCTAATATCGGCGGAGACTGGTGCAGGTGCGGCCTGGCGATCCCTCAAATGAGAGAGTTCGAAAAAAAAGTAAAAACAGCAATGGAAGATGCCAGACTCGATGCCTCAACGCAATGAATATCAGCGCTCCTTCAGCTAAGTAATTGAGCCATGCGGACAGCATTTCTTGAGAGGACCCGAGGCTGGCTCCGGAGGCAGTCGAGTACCGCGCCTGCCTGAGGAAACAGCCCGCCTCGCCATGTCCACCCGGCCATGTTCACCCCGCCATGTTCACCCTGCCATGTTCACCCCGCCACCCGTGGATCCAGCCACCAACCAAGGCCTCAGCATCGGCAACAATCTTCCAATCCAGTCTGCGATGTCCTCTCCCTGTCAATGTCGTTGGCCAAAAATGAATGCTAGTCATCGCTGGCGCCTTAATTATTGCGCATCTGCAAGCTCTCGAAATAGCGTTCTGCCGCATTTGGAATGCTGGTTGGTAGTAAAAAGGGCATTCAATCCACGCCGTACGTTGCCGTGCATCGTGCATCCTCACGCATTGCCGTCAAATCTACTCGGCCGCGAGCCAAGAATGCCCATTGTGGCTGCTGCACGAGTCTTGCCGATCATGGCCGTAGAACCACGAAGCATTACGCCTCCAAATACTTGAATTGCCTCAATCGGGCCTGACACCTATGTCGCCTGGCAAGATGAACCGCCATCGCGAGCAAGGAGCACAGGGCAAAGCGAGTTCAGGTTTTCTGGAGTGATACACTTTTGTTCAATTTCAGTCTAAGAACTTCAATAACTAAGTCACAAAGTCAAGTCCAAGGCCTTTTCCCCCCTGCTTTCAAGACAAACCCGCTCTGTTAATGACCAGAACGTGATGTTTCTCCTGCTCGGTGTTTGACCAGCAAACGCGGCCTCATGTTGAATGTGTGCCGCCCAAAGCAACAGGCCCGACCCGTATTACCTCCCTCTGGAGAACGCCTGCACGCGACCATAAAAAAAGATTCTGACACTGGAAGCATATGAAGAAAAGAAAATGCACGATCTGAATATCCCAATCCCGTTCACAAATCCATGCTGCGAGGGCCTTCAATCACGTCATAAGCGCAGGAGTGAAAGACCGACCTGGCGTCTGGCAGAAAATCCCGTGCTCACCCACGTAGTAATCTGACACTCCTTGCCATTGCTTCGCTCTTCTTTCCATGATTACCCACCTAATACCTAACTCACATTACTTCATAACGCTCCATCGATCCCCGCCATCTCGAGACAGACCCATGGCTCAAGCCCCAGGCTTTGCATCAGATCTTTGACGTCGGGGCTCAGACTTTTTAAATCCATCAGATGCGGGCGAAGGCGAGGGAAGTGTTCTATGAAGTATTGCGCAGCGGCTAGGTCGAGTCCATTATAGCTACCACATGGTCAGGACGGGCATCATCGCTTTGCACTTTTAGTCTGCAACCTACCTTGATGCTTGGATGGGTTTCCTTAATAAGGGTTGCTGCAAGTCATCGCCGGGAAAGAGCGCGAAGTTGATCGCCTTTACCTCTCTGATCGGGAGCGTCAAGAGAATGTGCATGCCAAGCGCATTTACCATCTTTTCGAGCATCACGCCTTGATTTATCAGCTTCTCAAAGTCATCGGCTGAGCAGTTATGGGTTTCCGCAACCTCTTGCAGCGCCCGCTGATAGGCGCCCGTCCGCCCCAAGGCTGAGCCTACGCGTGATTTTAATTCACCCATACTCCGGCGGACCATTTTGACACGTGCGACAGAGGCGAATAGCCGCGCTTTCCTAGCTGCGTCATCGCTTCCCCGTTTGATATCATCCGAGTAAGGCCACTCGCATTGCAAGATCAACTGCAAAACCCGCGCCTTTCCTACGCTGTCAAGGTCCAAATTATTGTTGTTGAAGGCCTGGACAAGCTCTCTGCCGTACGGGGTAAGCGATCTGCCAAGATTCGTTGCTATGGCAGGATCCTGCCCCTTCTCGCTTCTGAGCTGATGCTCATCTGCCCTACCCGTACCTCCTCCCCTGTCGATGGACGCCTCTGGAGCTCTAGCATCGACAACGTCAAAATACATGTCGTGAGGGTCGATGGGGTACTCAGGGCAGCTGCTATCGCACCACGGGAGCTTGGAAGGTGCCCACTTCTCGTCCGCGTAGTTGATTGCCTCGGCCCTGGTGTACCCCGGGGTGAAGCCCTGGTGGTATGTTCCGGGGAGGAGAACCACCACCTCACCGGCTTTCTGGTCGACAATTGTGTATTCTATTCCCCAATCCTCAAGCAGGGATCTGTTGAAGTAGAGTCGTGCATGCCGAGCGAACTGGCCGCAACGCAAGGTCTCAGCGTCTTCGCCACGCACTCTCGCAATCTCCTGGCGCAATCTTGCCTCAAACTGTTCCCTGGCGCCTGGGGAGATGCAGATCCACACTCTCCTCCCCTCATAGAGGTAATGAACCAGGTGTAGGTTGCATTCCTCCAAGCTCATCACGAATGGTGTCCCTTGGGCCGTATCTGTTTCATAGCATCGTGGGTTATGTATACCATCGATGCAGCGTGGCGTTTGAGCAAGTCGGCTACCGTCCAAAGGGTGAATGGGGCTTTTTGGAGGGAGACCCATCCCCCGGCGTTCATTGTCGGACCTGAGAGGGACTCCGACTCGATATTGAAGCCCTGAAAGCCGGTCGGATGCGAGCCGATCCTCCTGCTTCTTGACCAATTCCAATAAAGATGGGGGATCCTCAGAGCGCCCATTGAAGCCACCTATATGGGTTGTGTTCTTCGTGTATCTGAGCTCAACACGGGACAATCCGTTGCCAAGCCCCTGGGACGAATACTCGAGATATGACTTTGGGCGCCAAGTTGTGACATATCCAAGTCTTCTACTCTCGAGCGGGAGGGTGATTTTGAACACTCCCTGGGCACGAGCATCTGTCCCGGCCACTCTAGCAAGTACACGAGGGAACTCTTTGAGTTCTTCCGGTTGCATGGACAAGTTAACAACCTCTGTTCGTGCGTTAGCACGTGGTGGGCTGGCCTGTTGAGCGGCATGGGCTTCAACAGCACTGCCTAGGCTCTTGGATTTTGCACTCTTCCGTGGCTTCTTCTTAACACCCGTGGGCCGGGGAGGACCCGCGCTTTTCCTCCTATTATTATGATTATTATTATCATGAGAAGTGCCTTGACCAATTGGCTTTCCCTTCGAGTTTTTCTCGGTCGGAGTCCCACATGGCTCCTTGTTGGTGCTTTTGGTAGTGGGGGGAGACGTAGTGGGGGAAGACGCTGCTGGGCCGCTGCTGCTGCCACTGCCGTTGTCGTTGTCGTCGTCGTCGTCGTCGTCGTTGTTGTTGTTGTTGTTGTTGTTGTTGTTGTTGTCGTTGTCGCTGTCGGGGCCTCCGGTGAGATCTATTACCACCGAGTTTGCAGTGGGTAGACTCTTAACCCGTGGTTTTTGATTTTGATTCGATTTGAGCATCGTGCCAGGAAGGAGAGCTTCGTCAATTCTGCCTGGTCCTGAGACCTTAGTCTCCATGCCTTCCCGGCGTTGGCACGTTGATAACGTCTTTGGTGGGGTCTCGGGATTCAAGTTTATTTCGAAATTGATTCCTGTTCTTCAATTAGACGCACCCTGGTGCATTGGGGATGTCTCAGCAACCCACCTCAATCGCTTGAACAGAGGACTCCTCAAGCCATCAAGTTCTGGCAGAGCCTGTTTCAGCAATTTGATCTGGGCCCCCGTAGGATCGCCGTAGGACTAACAAGTGACTCCCCGGTGGCTGTGACGCTGTCTCCTGGTTCTGGTGACGTTGGGTGTCGAGATGCGAGATGGAGAAAGATGATGCGGGGAACAAACGCAAGCAAAGACAAAGTGCATGTTCGGCTGGAACATTTATTACATGCAACGAATCGCTTACTTACATATTCATCTCAGCCACATTTTTCTTTTGTTACACAATTTTCTGTTACCCTGGATATCGGTGCGACACCATAGGCCAACCAGATCACGGGCAACTACAGACGAGCCAGAGCACATACTACCTAGCAGCCAGCTTCCTGACGGCCGATTGGGCATATACAGCTAAAACATATATCATTCTGTCGGATGGTGAGGGACGATGGAACTACATTTTCTGACGAATGTGATGGGTGCACGGCGTTAATGGTTATCATCGTTATCGGTGCGAGTACCCATCGGGAAATTGTTTTGGGAGCGCCCAAGTCAAATAAATGCTTGTTATTGTCGCCTATTCTCTGACATGATTATGCTTGATATGCTTGATTCCCCCCCTAAGAAGACTAAAAATCCCGGTCGCAGGTAATAGTCAAAATAGACTCCAACTGTCAATGGAATAGAAGATGCAAGCGTACGAGGGACATCCAGCGGCGATGCTACGGCGCCTCCAACCCCCCCCCCCCCAAATGATGTGACCCTCTCCCGGTGCCGGCCTGGAGAACGTGCTGTCAGACGGGGGAAAATCTACCCGCTCTCTTAGCGCCCAAATCTCCCATGGTGGGTGGGATCAAGGGTCGAATGCGCGCCCCGTGCATTATCACAAGCATGGATGCGTAACAGGGCTCGCAAAGATGGACATTTTAAGTATCCACCATCGGATGTGAAGGCCAATGTCAATGCTTTGACGGCCGTTCTTTCGGCGATTAGGTGCAGCGTGCCATCTGCGGATGGTGTGTTGCATTGTGTGCTGTAGGATGTGTTGGCAGTGGCCGCAGAGGGTCACGCGCGCCTTCCAAATACAGAGCCGATACGGCGCTAAGAGCGGGCGGGAAGGACCTTGTGACCGACCGCTGAGAGAAGCCCCGCTGCCCAAGAATCTTAGCTCGTTGTCCCTCCCCCCTGCCGCGCATCATAAATACCCTCCATGGTTCACGCAATGTCTTGTCTTTCTTTGTCTTCTTCAGACAACTCACTTCACAACTCGAGAGCAAAACCCAACCTTCGCCTTGCGAACCCGCCAGCAATCACTCCCGACACGGGATTACGTGATCGGCGTTACTTGACTAACATGATGTTAGCAGACACGAGCCGCCCCTTGCAACGACCCCTTTTCTTCGCCTACCATCACCTGAGACCGAGTTGACCCAGCAAGAAGAGTCCTGACGACACACGATGCAGCTTTCATCATCCCGACGGTACTACGTAGCTCGCTGACCTATACTCACGCAATGTCTGACAGCCCCCTGGCCTTCAACCTACGACACAACTTGGTTTCCGCCGCCGAGTCTTGGACGACGACAAACATGCCTAACTAACACGGGCCGTCCCGGCTAAACGCCAGCATTCCATCGATCCGCCATCGACCCGGCGTCCAGCTATCCACATTCGACTCCGGAAAGAGATCATTCCAACGGGCCAATTTAGGACTAAGACCTTGTAAGAGAGCCTCCAGAATCGCTAAGAAAGAGTCTCAGTTAACAGTTATCTAGGTAGATCCAACAGTACTCGAGTTCCCTTCGATTGTTCCACTTGTGACGACTCTAAAGCGACCACATTCCCTTGTCTGCGATTCTCGGTCCTCCTTCGACGTGCCCTCCAACCTTCTGCGTGCCTTCCAACCTTCCATGTGCCCTTCAACCTTTTACGATGACTAGACCACGCCCCAGTGCCCGCTTCCGTTGATACTTCTATCTGACCTACCCGATCTACCGAGCCGATGAACCACCGAAACGCTAGATGATGTTAGAACGCCCCGACCCGACAGTGTGTGATGTGAAGAGGACTAGTTGCGCTCCCCGATGTACGAACCTTTTGCCAGGACCCAGACGACCGCTCCATCAAATGAAAAGTCTAAACTTCTATCTTATACGTGAGCCTTGTCCAAAAACCAACCCAACCTAAACATCGTGCAAGACAACAGCTTACCACAGGCCAGGCCGAACAAGACTATTTGTCAAAACAACGCGAGATGATTGGTGACTGGCTTGGACAGGCGGAGAGGGATTCATCTTTTGTATTGGATAGGGCATCAATTTCTTGAACAAGTGGAACGTGGATTATTTCCTCAATCAGCGGCTAGTCTTTTCCACTCCCGAGCAGAGTTTGAGCGAAGGTTGCATATGTAATGGGCGACTTCGCCAAACGCATATCTCTTTTGCAGCCTTCTCTCAAACTTTGCTCGAGAGTGGACGAGCCTCAGCCCCTGGTTGAGGAAATAATCCACGTAACACTTGTTCAATAGGTTGACTGGGAGAATACTCGGACAGGCAAGGAGGGCCATTGAATCAGCTAGTTTTGTTATCTGTAGAAAAACAGCAACCTTTTGACCTCTTCTCATATTTTCTGTTCACCATCCCTTCATGTTCTTTTAATGACGTCTGTGGTGTTGTGTTATCCCAATCAGTACCATCGGCGAATCAATTCGGCCGCACTGGAAAACACCGGGCATGGCAGGAGCTACGCCGTCATCGTGCAGGCTGTGGCTGGTTCAGTGAGGCGGCCTGGAAGCGAGTTGGCAGCCACAGATGGTACGTACACGCAGTGGCTGTCGTGGGATGCGACCGACCGCTCCTGCCAAAAGATTCCAGCAGCAATATGTATGACCCTGCCGCCCGATCCAAGTCCTTGCTTCGTGCCATTGTGCCCTCGACAATCGTCGCCTTCGGTCCAGTACCTAACTCACCAACTACTACGAGAAGCGAAGGCGCCGTTGATGTTTGTCCGCCTGCGTCTGTGCCCCTTCGGTTGTTAGTGGGCAATTCGAACACCATTCTTTTTTTTTCAAGTCTGTATCAACAATCAAGAACCTCGAGCGATGGCGACGTTTGCGACCGTCCATACCGAAAACCAATCTTTCGCTTGCCGACCGAAGGGCTTCTTTGCTCGACGCAGCCTAAGACCCAAATAGACGACACTATCGACGTGATCCATTGGCGCACCAGCCTCTCGGCCACTGTTCCTTCATAGCGCAGGGCGCCAGGGCCTCAGTTCAATGTGCTACGGAATTCTATCCCCTCCTCTTTTAGCTCTTTCTCAAGCTCATCCTGCTTGGTTATGATATATATCCTGGCCGCCCGGCCCACGAGACCGTCCACGTTGTAAACGGCCTCCATCGGTACATCGCGAACACAGCGCTCATAGGCGTCACGGGTTCCTCCGCAGAAGACTTCGATAATGCTCCCATTGCCATACTGAGGATTTGTGTATACCCCCTATCGACACATTAAGCACTTTGTCTAAGGTGAGCATCAGGTCGTCAGACTGTGCCCGTTCATGGCTATATCAAGCGTGCAAGATTGGTGTCTAACAGGTGAAATAGTTAGCTACCGAGTTGGCAAGACGGCAATGACGAGACGCAAGCGACACCGAAATAAACATGGAGCATACATCGACAACACGAGGCATATGGCCACGTTACAGATCCCAGCAATTTTGTTCAGCGACCCCGGGGATTTGCACATGCTCACGACCGCCGCTTGGCTCGAATAATAAAAGGGGTGGAGGAGTCCGCGGATATCGCCTGCCATGCTTGTCACCCAGACAATGCCGCCCTGGAGCTCGCGATGCTCTGGGCGCAGCCAGTACTCAATGGAAATCTGGGCCAGCCTGACAGGTGCAATTTTGTTCACGGCATACGTCTTGTAGACGCCGACCTGAGCACCGGCCAGATCTTGAGAAAGCGGAGATTTACCAGGAGGATTCCCAGAAGTCACTGAAGGGAGGCTCATACAGTCCGGCGCTTTTGACGAGCGGGTTGACTCGCCCAAATGTCTTCAGGGCACTCGCCCATAACGAGTTGATCTGAGGCCAGTCGCCGAGGTCGGCCTGGTGAAAGATGGCGGATGGGACCAGCATCCTTGACCGGCTCCTGGTATTCATTGAGCGTCTCCTCGACTTCGGAGCGCAGAACCAAGTCTGCCATTACAACTGAGCATCCCAGCTCAAGCAACCGCTGGGACAGTCCGTGGCCGATGCCTATCTGTGGGCAGAGGCACCATAATGTTTGACAGTCCCGTGCCCTCCAATCTACGATACAACTGAACTTCCGCTGCCGAGTCTCGAGAATGTCTTGAAGATCCCGTACCTGACCCAGCGCGGTCACCAGCGCGACACTGCCTTTGACTTCCCAAGCTGCCATCCTTGTTGGTCTGCAATTGAAGAAGGTCGCAATGATTCACCTTCACAAAAAGGGGCATGGTCTAACATAGAGGGGAACTGGGTGGCCTCAAGCTCAGCGCATTATGCCCCCACCACTTGTCTGCAAGGCGAGATTGGTGCGTCACATATCCCACCCTGAAAGTGGAAAACAAGCCCAAGAAAAGATCGTCGAGGCTGTTGGTGGAGGGGTTGTTACCCCAGATATAGTGGAGAGCACCAGGGGCAGATGTGCTCTCACCCCTACTCAGCTCAACGGTCGAATCTGGGGCTCATTGCAAAGGCAGACACCGATGGACATTTCTGGTTCTTCTTGTGTGAACTCTCCGCGACCACACGAAGGAAAGGATGTCTGCCTTCCACACATTGTTTCTCGGAGAAACAATTAGCACCGAGAGGCGTTTACGTTTGGGCGTTATTTGGAGCCCTTGTGATGAGAACTTTTTATGACGACAGGGGACATGAACCAACACGCATTTTTATCCAACATGTCTTACCAACTCGGGTCAACAATGCACATTGAAAGGTGCTGGATACCAATTAGGCTGAGGACCCGTCATAAAAGATTCTGCCCTACTCTCATTTTACCTAATGAGATCTAATCGAGTGCTGCCACTCCCTTGGTAGTCTCCTCTCTCGCCCATGATAGTTGCCCCATGCATAAGCCTTGCATGGTTGGTCCTAAATTGACTCCGACAAGACCCAAGGACGTCTGTTGGTCTCTGCCTCGTTCGCTTATACATCATTCCTCCCTTTTGTCAAAAGAAAGGCTAGCTAAGTTTGCTAGCTGTTGAGTCTAAAGTGCGCTTCAGTCGTACTTTTCACCCATTGAAACAAAAGCACTCGAGAGGCCGCTTTCCCAAGTTTTGGCTCGATAACAGCATCGAGATACCATCTAGATGACAACCACCGTGGACAATGGACGAGTCTCAGACATGGCATGCAGTCCAACCTGAGGGTCTGGCGCTTCTCATCGTGGTAATCACAATATTTTTCACTGTCCTCAACCTCGTCGTTCTTCTGCTCAGAGGCTACATACGAACAATCAACCATTCGAACGGCATCGAGGATCACTTGATGTACATTGGGGGGGTTATGATTTACCGGACCCCTTATCAAGTTTTCACTGGGCTAACTGACTATTTCTTCATAGATCGTCAACTTGGGTCACAATATCGCGGTCGTGTACGGATGCTATACTGGTATCGGCTCGTTTGATTACAAGCTGAATGCCCCCATCGTGACGGAGGGTGCCAAGGTCAGGACAGTTCTTGTGGATTTTGGCAGAGCCACCGGTCGCTAACAGAGAACATATTTGGGCACTGTAGATGGTTACTATTTGGCAGCTCCTCTACCTCACCTGCTCACCCATCATCAAGATCAGCATTTGCGCTACGTTGATCCGAGTTGCCTCACAGCGGCGCTATACTTACCCACTCTATGCTGTCTCTATTCTGGCCATAGCGATGAGCGTCATGGCAATAATCTGCGTCTTCATCCAATGCACGCCGTTCACAGCCTCCTGGACCGGCAAAGGTAAATGCATCCCAGTGGACGCCATTATGATCCCCACGTACATATTTTCGGCCGTCAATATCGCAATCGACTGGACTATTGCAATAATACCAGCATTCATATTGTGGAACCTTCGAATTCGCAGAAACTTAAAGCTTCTGGCCTCTGGTATTCTGGGAATATGGATTCTGTAAGCTTCCAAACTCTTGCTGTCAAGATAACTTCTCACTGTGAGGAAAACACGAGACAGGGCATCTACCGCTACTATTGTTCGCATGATGTACGTTCTAGGCTATACGGACAATAGCAACCAGCTGCGTAAGTGCTGAATCCCAGGCTCTCTGATGCGTGGCATTGACAAGAGCAGGCAAAATCGGCAATATTATACTGTTCACCGTTGCTGAGATAAGCTTGAGGATTCTTGCCTGCTCACTTCCTTCACTTCGCGAATTCAAAGGCCGCTCCAAAGACAAGAGCACCAGGCGCCGCGATTCGTACGGAACCGAACTCCTCTCGATTGGAGGGATAAGGAGCAAGCCGCCCCCGATCGTGCCTACCTATGACTACGAGGTCACCACCACAATTGGCCAAGGGGGTGATGGGAACAGCGACACAGGTTTCGACAAGGACGATGACAGCACGCGTCGAATGATTTATGTCACGCGGGTCATCCAGCAAACCTATAGCTAAGGGTGGCTCAATGCCCGGATCACAGCTTCACAGTGGCACCAAATCGCAGCTGGTGTTGGCATTTTCGGACGGCTTCGAGGTGCGGCCCTGTATGTCACGCTGCACCATCTCGAGGAAGAAGATAAGAGGTTGGTTTGTTGTTGGTGGTGACATTTGGCAAGACCTTGTCACGAGGAGCCGCCAGCGCCAAACGCCGCATGGATGGAGCCTGTGCTGGGTGCAAGTCGGGGATGCTAGCCAGGGGGAGAACACGGTGTAGGCCATCAACATTCATTAGACTTTAGACGGCCATCGCTGGCAAATAGAATAGGTGGAATAAGCGATGCAACTTTCCCCTCTCTGGACCATTGCGCGTCGACACTCCGAATTTGAGTTCGCGGGATCATCTTAGCCGGGTCATGTTTCAGGCACACTACCAACTCGGTGTAAGAAGGGACTTCTGGCGACCTCAAGATTCGTACGGTCAATTGAGTGTGGGTATTGCCAGCTGGGTACTTTTATTACAGCCAAAAATCAGTGAACCATCACGTAGCCTTTACCTCGCTTGGACGTGCATATGCGTGTACATTCAAGTCGGCCGGCCCAATGTCGCTGCAACCCCCCACCCTACATAGACGCCGTATAAGCCAACATAGGGGTACATTTAGGACTGCATTGTCCTGCTGCATGTGAACGCGCAAACCCGATTACGATTACGTACCATGCATCGTTGCATTTTCAAAGGTCGACAGCCGGTGGTTACTCGGGATGTTTCAGACGAAGGGGGGTTTTGCTCCCACCCACACACTCGCCCAACTCATTGGTGCCTCAGGATCACAGCAACACTTTGCATCATAACGACAACAGTGTGTTGATTTACCGGCCGCCCAAGACGTAGCACTCAGGTGTAGATCTTGCGCATACGATAGCATGAGAAATATTACTGTGAGGTCAAAAAGGGGCCGAGGCTTTAATTTTTTTAGTTAAAGTTTAGCGAGAAAGTACGTACGCAGTGCTGCCAAGTAGCACGGATTGACTCTCCCCTACGTCGGCCCTAGGCCCGAACCTGCGAGGTTCATGTCGCCCCGCCCTCTGCGTCGTGGCCTGCACCCCCTTTGAAGAGGAACGCCATCCAAAGAGAGAGTTTAGTTAAACTTCAAACCAGAATTAGCCTCGTAGAACACGAAAACCATATGCTAGGTAGCCTCTCCCAGCAGTGAAAAGCGAAATTGTCAGGAGAAAGCACAAACATCTTGAATTGAGCGAGCGAACTATAGTAGGAGCAAAGAGTGACAGCGGCAGAAACCACCACGACTTCAACGAGCGACGACATCAGCAAACAGTGACAATATGAAAGGCAATGACCGCAGCAGCAAGTGTGAGCTTAGTTGACGAAGCTGGCCCCCGGAATCCCCTGGACCTCGAAAGGAGCCCGCTTGTTCTTCGAGCGGAAGCCTCTTCCTTTCTTCCTCACGTGGGAGCTTCCTCCATTCTGCGACCCGTTGGCAGAATAAACTTTCTGCTCCTCCTTGGGGCCAGCTTGCGCTTTCTTGCTGTACGAAGACGCATCTCTCTTGACAGAGGCGCCTTCCCGGTCTGCTTCATAACCTCGATTTATTCCTTTCTGCATGGACTTCCACTCCTCTCTCGCCATCAGCGTTACCTTTCCACTCCCTGACGACTCTCCCTGTCTTCTCAGTAGTGTCCCTATTGTTATTGTTAACGCCATCCGCGAGTAACCATGTTTATAGACGTCATAGACGTCATAGACGCCATAGACGACATTGTCTTTTGGACCGTGGACTTATTTCTTACCTCCTTCATCAACATCTTGCTGCTGCTCGGACACCTGTATTTTCTTGCTGGGAGGGTCTTGCTCCTTGCGTTTGCCTTTGACGTCTGCCGTGTTTTCAGAAGGCTGGACATCTGACCTCTCGCCCTCGTGAGCGCCGGCGTCCTCCCCGGCCTTCTGTGGTCGTAAGGCAGCGAGCTCCGAAGCGTCAGCCCCTATATCTACTACCACCTCAGCTTCGTGAGCGCCCTCGACGTTAGTCGGGGCGTTCGGCGGTGAGATCCAGACACCGAGAATTCCCAAGATGATTCCGTGCTCGTCCAGGGCCTTCTTGACCGCCCTTCCGGCAGCTTCGCTCAGCCCGCGGTAGTCTTGCTTGGCCTGCTTCACGATTACATCCTCTGCATCTTGCACAGGCTTTCTCTCGGCCGCCAGAGCTTTCTTTTGCCGGCGACTCATGTCGGCTCCATATCGAGCATCAACGGCTGCCAACTCAAGCCTGATTGGCTCCATGGCTTTTTCATGTGCCTGGAACTTGGCCATGGTGTCATGCATCAGCACTTTCGCCTCCTTTCCCATCGCCTGCCACATCTTGGAAATGGTATCCAGCGCTTCCATATCACCCATGAGGATCGTCAGCTCTTCGGCGCTGCGGAAGTGTTCAGCCATGGTATCAACGCCGACCCGCTTCCGGTGGACAACATTGTGTCTAATCTTCGCCACACGAGAGAGCAGGGCTTCACGATACGTTGCGATAGCCTCGTCTCCGCTCCAGAATGTCTGCATCTCGGCGAAATCGGTCGTTCATTTTGTCAGCTCGCATTCCTCGGAGCAACCGGTGTTCCTCGCTGCCACGATCTCGGGTGCGTGAATCACGGCAAAGTTGTAACAGGAAACCTCCAGCAGTTGTACCAAGTTGGTTAGGATAGGGTGCTGGATCCCCATTGGCAACGCCACGGGTTGCGGAGACAAAGGGTCCTTGTTATCATCAATCGGAATCGGTCGGCCCTTCCATTTCTTGTTGCAATAAACTCCGGTGAGGTCTTTGAGCAGGGGCTCGCCTCGCCATTTATCTTGAGTGTAGTTATGAGCTGGAATAGAAATTAGCTCTTTGAACCCAGGTTGCTGAGACTATGTGAGGCTATAGTGACGGGGCGGATAGATGCGCCATCACAACATGTGTAACTCTGCCGGGAAAAGGAAGCAAACTTGGGGGTGAGTACTTACGCCAAAAGTCGAGTCTCCCCTGCATGGCCCCAGACCCCTTTGGTCGTGGCCGATTCCTGGTCGATCTCACGGTAACAGAACGGTTTTCTAGAGCTTCTTCGGCCTCTGACTCGCAATCGGTGAAGAAGACTGTGTGAGAGAACTTCTGTTCCGCCGCTGCCCTATGCTTGAATACCCTTGCAACCAGCAATCTGCGGGTCCCTCCCACAACGTTTCTAAGGCCGTACTTTCTGATGATAGCCTTGATATATTTGTCGTGGCTATCCCTAAGCTTATGGAGGAGCTCCAATCTCGATATGTCATGGCTGGTAAGATCGTCCAGCTCTTTCTTGAGAGCGAGATAGTTGAGTTCCTCGGGCGGGTAGAATTTTGCGGCGAAGGGTGGCATGGTTGCTCTGGTTCGTTGCTGATACAGCACTTTGCGGGTTGCGAGTGGGAGAAGAGGTGTTGCTGTGCGGGTGGTGAGAAGACAAAAGCCTGAAGGGGGGAAGTGAATTGGGAGGATTTGACCCCATAGTTATGTAGAAGGCAGGCGAAACTCTCTCTCGCCATCAAGGAGGGTTCTAGGTTGTGTCGAAGCTAGTGGTATGCGGGAGGTATACCAGATGTGTTGCGTTGAGGGGCTTCCCGCATATCTCGCGGGCTCCCAGTGGCCAGAAGAGGCAATCCGCGCAATGCAGGCTTGGAATCAGTGGAGAATCACACGCACTGACAAGGAATCGTGGCACGGGGGCGGCCGTCTGGATGCGCGATAGTTTGGCTGATTGGTGAGGGATAGGGAGGTGGCCAAGTCGGTGGTCGGTTTGGTTTCATCACGGTTCAGCTGGGATGGAGGGGGTCTCAGAGAGGGGTTTCTCTTCATTGCAACGTGCGAATGACGCTTAGAAAGAAATAAAGGGCAAGGAATCAATCCTAACATTTCCGCTGTTGCATTGGTGCCATTTGGTGTTGCTGATGGTCGACGTTGAGGAAAATGAGGCTCTCAGGAGTTGCGTTTAGTGACTTGTCCGTGTCACAGGGTTCTCAGTCGACCTGGAGGGAAGGACCATCCTCGCCCCACCACCCAACCTTGCCCTCAAGCCGCCTCGCAGCAGGTACTTTTCAACCAGGGAAATGCGAGAAAATACTTCCTCTCTGCTCGGTAAGCACTAGCAGGAGTCGCTTCGGTTGCATTTATGCGGTATTGTGATGCTACCTGGGTCCTGCACCACCCGTGGCCGATATCACATCCGTTCTGTTCAATGACGTGGGGGTGGTCTTTGGGATGGCCTCGCACATGATTTCTGTGGGACAAGCTGCACGCGCTGGCCTCTCGCTGCGTCGAAACACCCATGCTGGAATCCCTCCCCATTCATGGCTGGGCGATACGCACACCGGTTGAAGCCCAACGGAAATTGTACCAATGGAAGTTGATCAGTGTGGCTCTATTTCTAAACCTGGCAGAGCGGTTCAGTCGCTACATCGTCGCTGGCCTATCTGTCGCCGGGATGGAGCCTACATGACTGCATTGGAACTAGCTGCTACTACCGGAAGCAAGCCGGTGCAGCACCCGAGCAACCAACCTCGATGTCTCTACATTGGCACTGCCCTTGCGGCCTATGAGCTTGCGTGGTATCTATCGTGATGATTATCAGGGACGTTATCTTGCAAAAAAATTCCGTCCAAGGAGCCATTTTGTACGGAGGTCGGGTCAACGTTAATTACGGAGCCCTGTAAATGGAGCTGGTAGATACGCTCGGTTTAGCAGGCACGGCCCGTTCCACGGCACTACGGTAGTTCCTTCCTGAATGGAGCAATTGCTTATTCCCACCACCAACTCCAGACCTTTCTGCCAAAGCATCAATGCAGAAACAATTCATCAAATATCATCACTGCGCTGGCAGACGGCGATCGTTCCATCCACGTTTAAGGCGAACCAGATTTTGCAACACGCGACGTTTATTATTTGCTGGCATTTTACAATCTGACTGCCATCCAACCGTCCCACCCCTCCAACACTGGCATCATTGGCTCCAGGCAAATTCAACCTGCCTCGAGACAAGCCCAAGAAAATAGAGACACACAGCCGAAACTCCCTCTCGGCCTGTTGTCAAGAGTGCAGACCATTAGCGCCCACAAATGTTGAATTGTGGTGGCCACCTTTTCCTTCAGAACCGCCTGATTCACGTTTCTCATGATCCTTTGGCCAGCAATGGGCTTTGGAATCATCCTTCCGTGGTGTGTCTCAGGGAGATAGGAAAGAAATACAAAGGAAAGAAAATCACTCCAAGTTCAGCAGGGGACAGACTGCTAACTCACATAGGTGTCGACGCCATCCTTGCCCATCCGTATCCCTCCAAGCAACACCGTTACCATTCTCGCGATGGCTCCACCGGTCGAAGCAAGAAAACAGCGCTCAGCTCAAAAGCCTCCCGCAATAAAAGCACTGTCATGCCGTAACTGGGCGAGCCAGCCAAGGGAAGCAGTGCCTGGTGCTTCAACTAGTCTATTGCGCATCTGGTGATGGATGACCCTGTCTTCTGAAGAAACGGACCGCATCTCTTCGGCCACGCTCAGCGGCCTTTTGCTGTGCGGTGACACCATTGACATTGATGCTCAGGTCAGCTCCACGACTCTGCAGAAGAGTCAAAATTTCGATGTTACCGAGTTCAGCAGCGTAGAACACCACCGGTATGCCATCAGCATCAAGCATATTGACATCCGCGCCATTGTTTATGAGAATAGTGGCAACAATCGTGTATCCAGACTTGAGAGCGGCATGCAGTGGAGGGAGATGGTCCCTATCGAGACCGTCGCCGTCAGGGCTCCATCCCCTTGACAGAAGCTGCTGAACGATGTGATGCGAACCTTGGGTTGTAGCCGCGGTCATTGCCGGACAATAAGCCCTCGTTACAGGGTCTTCATGGGCCCCAGCCTCGAGTAAGGCCTCGACGACCGACGTATTGCCCTGTGCCGCCGCAACGTACAAGAGTGGCCGTCCGCCCTGTCCGATTTGTTCAGGGTCCGCGCCGGTTTCGAGGAGAAGCCTGACGATTGCTGTGCGTCCCATCGCAACAGCAAGGGGGAGAGGGATGTTCTCACTCGCACCGCGTCTGATCAGAGCCTCGACAGCAGTGAGGTGGTTGAAACGCGTGGCCTTGACTGCTGGAGTTTCCATTCTCGAATCCAAAGGATCGATCTCGATGCCGGGAAGCTCAAGAACATAATTCAGGAACGCAGAATTGCCCTTTTCCGCTGCCTTGTGCAGCAGTGTTTCTTGGCTTATCGGAGAACGTGAATTGACTTGGGCTCCTCTCTCGATGAGGTATATGGCGATTTCGAATCGCTCGAGAGTAGCAGCAACAATCACAGGGTGTCTCAAATTCTCCGCCCAATAACGGCACTCGGCGTCTGGCGCGAAGCCATTATAGTCGGCTCCATTGACATCGACGCCCTGTTGGTCGACGAGATACCTGACAAACACCAGGCTGTTGTCAACAGTGGCTTTTGTCATCTGCCACGCAATACTTTGACGAGGGTTTGTGGTAGGGTTGAAGTTCCGAACCAACGTCTGATCCATTGCAATGTAACCGAAGGCAAACAGACTGCTAATGAATTGAGGGTTGAAGAGCTTTCTAAACAAAATACAAGATGATCTGATTATTTGGTAACGGTGAAGCAATGTAGGAAACTATGGCTCAGAAAAACGGATTGCATTCCCAGGGAGAAGCTAACTTTATACCTAGGGTCTTCCACATGCTAAAGAGAGAAGAAAGACAGAACGGAACATTGACGGGAAGGTGTATCGTTAATGTGGCTGTCCTACCACCGGAACGCTGTGGCGTTAAGCTTCTGCGATCTGGTTCGTTGGATGCAGGGAAATTTCATGCTCTTTGGTCGTTGCGCAGGTTACAAACGTTGCCCTGGAGTTACACCATCTGCACAGTATCAAACTAATGGATGCATGCTCGGGCCCCTCGACTGAAACCATCGGCATCGAATTGATTGCAAAAATCAAGTGGCCGTATGTCTATCTCCATAGTGACAAGCAGGCATGCCGTCACGAAGTTGGTTGCACCAAGCAGGCTTCCGCCATCGAAGGCTCACTCCCACCCTCCAGTACGCAGCCGGTCAGGACTTTGAGACAAACGCATGAATCTCCTCATGCAGCTCGCCGCCCTCTTGCGGGTTTTTTCACTTTTGGTCCGCGGCCTAGTGCTTACCTTGCTTTTCGCACATGTCTCAACGAGCGAGGCGACCTCGCGAGGCATCTGCCCGCCTGCAGCTTCGGTGGCCGTATGGATGCCTAATGGGTCGCATTCATGCCCAGCAAGAATGCCCCGGTCACGTTGTTCTGCCAAGTTCTCAGTTCGAGGAGCAGGGTTGATCCCAGCCTTCGGTGATTACTTGGATGTCATGATTTCATCACAGCCATGTCAACGTTGTTCGTTTAGGCCATGCCATTCCTACGAGCGATGAGGAGAAAATCAACGTAAGTCATTGGGGTAAAACAAGATATATGTATATTTGTAGCGTTTTTTTTTATTAAAAAAAAGGAAGGAACAAAAAAGTAGAAAAAACTCATAGTGTGAACTAACTACACATCAAGGGAATCAATTAATCAGAAAATCATTGTAGTGCCATTGAAGTAAAACGAAATATATGTATATTTGTAGCCTTTTATTGAATTTTATTTTTTTTAAAAAAAAAAGGAAGAGAAGAAATAAAGAGAAAATAGAATAGAAAAAAGCTCATAGTTTGAACAGACTACACATCAGGGGAATCAGTTTACCCAAATCCTACATTTTCACAAGCATCTTATACTTCAGCTTATACGTTGTTTTATTTCAAGGAGCGACAATCCATTACATCAAGAACTAAAAATGATTATGAAAGAAAAGGTGACGCATGAGGGAGAGCCTGAGAATCGAAGTAAGCCAAACAGCTGTGCACCCCTGAAGAGCAAAGGGTAATCATGAGAGAGAAATGCAGAGGAACAGTAGAGGGTAAAGAGGACAAATAGGGGAGAGAGAAAATAGTAAAGGAGCAGCATACTCCGCGGCGACGGCCCAGCTGGAAAGACCGACACATGGAGCAATTTGTTTGAGAGCCAACTATGCCAATCAATCACAGAGAAATGCGCGGGGGAATAAAATTGCATGGTGGCGGTAATCGACCAAAGACCAGAACAAAGATTTACACAGCTTTTTGGTAAAGTTTGCAGGCAACAATCGAAAGAATTCAAGAGAAATTGATAAATGTTCAGAGAAGAAACCGAGAAAAGTGGTATAAGAAGGAAGATGGAGAGTATTAAATTAGTGAATTCAGGGACAGTGGAAAACCATGCAGAGAGAAAGCGCGTGGGAGAGAGGGAAGATTGCCAAGTGACCGGTCGACTACAATGGCAGATGTCCATGTTTGACGGCAGATGTGAAAGGCAGGGGGAAATTAATTGATGGGAACCAAATTTCGCATCTGTGTGTTACATGCTCTCTACACAACATATTGTTTGTACGGAGAGTGGGGAGCCCAAAGTTTGCGTGGACGCAAGACGCTCCTACTGAATGCTGTGCGCTGTGATGCATTGCGCGCTGTGTTGCGGAGGACGAGGGAGTCGTACAAAAAAAACAATCAAGTGCCAGACCCGACATGCCAAGCGATGAATACGGTGTGCGATGCTGCGATAATGCCTTGTGCGTTGGGGTGATTGATTGACTGCTGTTATGCCTGGTGTGTGTGGTTGATTGATGCTGCGACGTAGGGTGCGCTGCGATGGTGTGTGTGGTTGATTTGGGTCTCCGCCGCATTTGGACCCGCACAGCTGACCCAATACGGCAATGGTCAGCACCAGGGTGAATCTGGCCAGCCAATGAGCACCCGCGATTCTCGGAAGATTCTTGGAAATCGCCCGGAAAACATCCTCTTCAGGACCGACGCAGCAAGACATCTGCTCTGGCCGGGTCCTCTGACCACAGCGTAGCCAACCTGCGGAGGCTCATTGGCTCCGCATCAACCACCGAGCTGCCCGTCTCGGTCCGCTGCCTCTTGCGGGGTGTTCCCCGGCGAGTCGTGGCGGCCTCATCGCGCGCGTGCTTCGTCCCAGCGACGCCGGCCGTCTCGCACGGCGGCTGCGGAGCCTCCAAGATCCTCGCGCTGCCGAGGCCCGCGACCGCCACCGTCTCCTGGAAATGGTCGAAGAACGTGTTGCGGAGCGTCGCCCTGAAGGAAACACCGTGCGCGTGGAAGGCGCGGACGATATCCCCGGCCTTGCGCGCGAGCACCTCCCGGTTCATGTCGACGAGCTCGGGGCTGCCAAGGAGAGGTACGCCCGCCGACGACATGAGGGTGTAGTGGACCAGTCCGGTCTCGGAGGGCTCCCCGACGCGCTGCCGGAGACTGAGATGGCCCAGGAGGATGGGCACGTGCTTCCCCTGGAGGGTGGCGAGTCTGTTGAAGATGGCGACCTCGTAGTCCATTTCCGGCTTGTGCTTGAAGCGCTTGCACAGGAAGGTGTACTTGTACTCGCTCAGCGTCACCTTGCTGACATCTCCACAGATCAGTTTGTGGCTGTTTCCGTTTGCCTGGAGGAAACTATTAGTTACGAGATCGAGGAACTTGGCGTAGCTGATCTTGTGCCTCCGTTTTTTATGATCTGATGTCTCGTCGGCTCGGCCATGACTGTCAACGTTGGGGCAGTCGAGGTCGGTAAACTGGCCCGCGAGCAGCCCAAGTAGGCAGAGGTGAGTGCAGTAAGGGTTCGAGGAGGCACCAGGTGAGGACGTAGCAGAAGCCGCGGCCGTCGATTGCCGCAGGGCATGAGCGAGCACGGCTTCGCGTCTCTGATATTCGGCGCTACTGTATTTCTTTTCTTCGCCATCATCTCCACGCTCCAGCTTCACGGCTACCTCGTCAAACTTCACGACTGCCTCGTCAATCTTCATGGCTGCCTCGTCAAGCTTTACGGCTGCCTCGTGAAACTTCAAGGCCACCTCGTCATACTTCACGGCTGCCTCGTCAAACTTGACGGCTACCTCATCAAACTTGACAGCTACCTCGTCAAACTTCACGACTGCCTCGTCTGAGTTAGACTTGATGTAGCCATTTCGCCCTCCATGGAGAGCATCCTCTCGACGTTGTTGATCATCTTGGGGTGTCTGCGGCGATTGAAGTCCTCTTGTTTGGGGTGTCTGCGGCGATTGAAGTCCTCTTGTTTGGGGTGTCTGCGGCGGTTGAAGTCCTCTTGTTTGGGATGGCCCATTGGATGCCACTTGCCTGTGCCGAATGTTCACAGCCAGCCGCCGAGTCATTTCTGCGTCAGGGCTGACGATGTGTACATTCCGATAGGCTTGGGGCTGACTTCTGGCCGATGGTCTTGGCAGCAACGTAGGGAGATCCGAGCCTGGAGATCCAGCTTGCACCGCTCCAAGTGCGACTGGGAGCTTTGGTGCCGGGATCCCCATCAGAATCGAGGCTATTGGGGGGAGTTTGACCAAGTTATGAGCCTCGACCCCAGCGGAACGGAGGGCGATGGGGGGGACGGCAGGCTGGTGCGAGGCAAAGGGAGTTACCGGCCAGGCTCGCGAGGCCTCTACCCCTTGAACAGTGGTCGCGTTTCTATTGGCGACGGGGAGACATGGAGTGTTCTGTCCAAAGACCGGGGAACTTCTGGTCCAGACAACCGTAGAAGGCGACATATGCTGAGATTTAACGGAGGCCACAACCCCGGTGTGAGGGTTTGGCGAGGACCCAAGGGTCAGCGGGACCTGTAGACTCTGTGTATATACTGGAACCGGCGGTGGCTCCGGAGGCCAAAGATGCGGCGGCCAGTTCGCTGTCAAGCGTGGAGGACTGGGGATGACCTCGGGAGGATGACCTGGTCCACGCCGCAGGACGGACGGGCATACCCTTTCAACGGGATGATTGCAGTAACACCCTCGGGTGTTGGCCGCACGTGGATACCTTTCCCTTTGGAATGCCTCCAGAAGCACGAGCAAATAGAAAGAGAGGCATTGTGCAGCGGCAGCGCTGTTGGAGGAAATGCGCCCGCCTTCCATCTTGATATCATCCACGGTGGGGTTCATGAGCTTGAAGAACAGGGTGCCGGGATGCCCCGAGTCCAAGGTGAGGAAGAGAATAGCGTCACCGGTGGCCACGAGGCCAAATGTGAGATTGGACTTGACCATGACAGTGTAGGCATTGGTCAGTGCCAACAGGGTCTTCCTCTCTTCAAAAGACCAGTTGGGACTGCCTCCAACCTCCCTGAATCTTCCGAAATGAGCGTTTGTGAGAGGTTCGCTTAGTCTGCTCAGTGATTCCAGACCAGCTTGAAGATGAAAGAAGTTCAGGTCATCGGGCGAATGATACTGGTTGACGCAGATGGGGACGTTGGTTCGTGGGCCATTACCCTCTCTCCGATAGACGTAACTCTGGCTGGGGATCAACCAATGGATACGCTGCTCTCGCTCCTCCACGTTTCTTCCGGGAGGTGCCATGGAGGTTGAGGGGGTGTCGAGGTGTGAGGGGAAGAACACATTGCCCATAAGATCCAAAGGTCTCCACGCAGGCAAGCCATTCAAAACACCTATGATCTGGGCAACGGGCACCTCGACAGCGTAATGAAAGAATATCTGCACCAGCTTGGAGCCTACATCTGCATTCTGGGATTCAGAGAGCATCGAAGACTCCAGGTTTGCAAGGTGATCAAGGGATGGCAAGACTGCGGCAGAGTCCGGCAGATAGGCATGGCAGGATTCCAGCCTGGCTTGCTGGCTAATCTCAAAGCCATTCCAAGGTCTGATGAACGAAGGCACAATCCGGTCAGCGGGACAGGAGAGCGGAGCCTGATGTTGGAGGTGGAATATTGTGTTCACGGGCGACGGAGGAGGGGTGGGAGGCATTGATCGTCTGTAATGTTCCGAAGGAGCAAGGCCCAAGCTGGCTGGGGGCCGCATCGGCGCCGGCCCCGGGTGCTTCGAGTACAGAACCCTCTGAAGCACGGCGAGGTAATATTTGATGTTCGAGGGCCGGCTCCGATGTAGTGATTCCGGCCTCGGCGAACCATTGCCGTCCTGTGCGTCTGCGCGTTGGTTCATGGTGTATGGTAACGGGGATCGTGCTCGATCAACGTCTCGGCCGGGGATACACTCTAGGAGGATACAGGGGTTAGCCACTTGCAACTTGGAACAGAAGTCAGGGTGGCATCGGGCATAACTTGGAGGGAAGAGTGTTGCCAAGGTATGTATCCGATGCGTGCTGAGGAAGCAAGGGAAGGAAGAGATGGTGGGGCAGGAGAGAAAGATTGATGGGCAGAATCACGTACCTGCGCAAGCCGGGGAAGATGCCGCTTGGCCAACAAGAAGCCGTAAGCCCGTCTGCCCTCCCTTTTGCACGGTTGACCGTAAAGACTAGCAGAGGAAGGTCTCGTCCGGGCGAGTGGATGAAAGATGGCAATGAGTGGCAGTCTAGATATAGACGTCAGTAGATGTCTTAAGAGTGAAAAGGTCTGGTGGGTCGGAGAGCAGAGGGTTTACCAAGGAGCCAGTGTAGAGAAGAATGGGTTTGATTGAGAAACGAAGAACAGACACAGAAGGGGAGATGATCCAGACGGAAGCTATGGAACAGGTGCTGTTATATAGCCCGAAAGAAATGAGGAATTATCTGGTTGGAGAAGCAATGGCATGCGATGCGGTGGTGGGCGACAGATGAATCCCTACCACCAGCCAGCGATGAAGGAGGGTGGGAGGAGCAGTCGTCCAACAGGACTGTGCAAAGATGGTCGAGCACATTTCGTCCATCAACCCGGCCGTGTCGATGAACTCTGTGCAATGTACTCTGCCCATCTGTCGGATGCCGCAAAGGCAGCAGGGCAGCAAAAAAAGAAAGGCAGCGCACGGGCTCGCTGATTGGATCTCGCATGTAGCACCGGCGGTTTTCTGGGCCGATGGCAGGCACGATGACCAAGAGTGATATCAGAAACGACGATACCCGTGTGGCATTCTTGCTGCCTCTGCACAACGCAACATGGATAATCGGGCAGCAGGGGGTCAATGCGAACGACGTATGGCCCCCTCAAGGTTCTGGGAGAGGAAAGTCTGATTTCCAACCTGATAGCACCCAACGTCAATCCGTGGTATAGCATTCATCTGCAACCTCCAAACTTTCAAGGTACCAGTAGAGGCCAACCCCTTGTCCGTAGGCAAACAATCCGTCCACTAAAGCAAGTCTCCCCAGACTGGCTCCTTCCGCCCACACCGTCAACTCAATTGATTGTGTTACATGAGGCAAGAGGGTGGTGGGTCGTGGATAAGGGCATCCAGCAATCCATTCATGCATGGGGACACCATCATCCACCCACCATCCTCCCTGCACAACGCACACCCTCCACCCATTCTTCCCCTTCCACTCGCAGGGTCGGTCTCCTTCGCGTTGCCCACAAACGAAATGTCTCAACAAGTACCGTATCACTGCCTGACACTTGGCCTCGACCAGCCCACGGATGCAGAGCAGAAGCCAAAGACACCTTCCTTTCTGCCATGGAAGCACACGGACTCGGGAATGGGCGTAGGGCCCGTCCTGGATCGACCATGTCTCTGCTAGCGCCATCAATTCAGAGAACACTACTGTACACTTAGACTGACCGAAATGTCCTCCCTGCAGCACAAACGAACCCATGGCAATAAGCTACTCGCGGATCAGTGGGCTCGGTAAGTATAGCGCTTCCCCACCGCCACGAGGCTGGTGTTGGTCCCTGTGAGATCTTTCCACGGGTGGGTAATTGCTGCTAATTACAAGGACCCAAGCAGTACAGGCTTGTCCGAGGTTCAGCTCCGGCCGTTGTTTCTTTTTCCTGTCTCTCCTGTTCCATTCCTTCGCGTCTGCCCACTCTCACGGCATCCACTCCTCCATGCGTCGAGCAATCAAGCGAGCCGTCCACCATCCATCAGCCCTCGTCCGACACGGATGTGCTGCCTGCGCCGCCGCCACAGGTCTCACACTGGCCCGGTTCTTTCTCGCACGGCTCGACCTGACCGCCAAGCAGTTGCAGATGCACAGCCGTGTTGGAGGGTGTGCGGTAGGAAGAGAAAAGAAACGCGACCCAAGACCTCAAGATGGAAACGAGTCTCGGCTGGTGTATCCCTGTTGCGGCCAATCAAGCGTGAAGGGGACGCTCCGGATGCAAGAGGAGGCACTGCACCACTGCAGCTATCCCCAACAGACCGAAACAAAATGTTCCAGGTTTCGGCCAGTCCACAATATGACTACGACAGGAGATGCAGTGACCAACTTTATCCCGTGGAATTCCCTGCACGAACAAGGCCATGCACATCCCCTCATCCTTCCCTGGCCTGTGGAAGTTCGGGTTGGGTCGCAGCGTCGACAGGCAATGCTGTTGGCTCTACCTGGGCTCGTGGTGTGGATGGGTTGCGCTGGCGGTTGACAGAGTCGGAGCCGTATGCAGAGCGGGCGCTTACTTTGCTACAATAAAAAAAACACCCACCTATTGGATTAATCGTTGGAGCTGCACAGTGTTTGCATAAAATTCAAAATTGCCAAGGAGGCCTTGGATGCTACTCTGCGTCTGCAATAATAATACGATGTGTGACTGGCATGCACTTATTCCATGATTCCGTGCTGGCTGGCGGGCGTGGAGGGCTTGGAGGAGCAAGATGGTTGCAGCGCGGGGGTCAATATGGCACGTTGGGTAGTCGTTGGAGGCAGGCGAGGTATCACCACATGGTGCCATGGGATTACGAAGAGGAGGGGGAGAAAGCAGGCATGATTCATGCTACGATAACAGCCATGTGGTGGTGGTCTGGCCGGACCGGCGGTTCGCATTGACGTCGCTGGTCGTTGAAACCTTGTTGTGTGATATTGCGTCGTAGCAAGGCAGCGACTGCACCCACCGCCAACCGCCCAATATTGGAGTTTGGACTTGGATGGCCAGAACGGGCGATGTGATTGCTGGCAGAGCCTCTCTTTGGAGCTCGTGAGAGGGCAAGCTCTGGGAAGCTGGCATTGCATGATGCAACCTCGGTGCCAGCATCCGACATGGCACCTCCCACGGACTGCTAGCTGGCAATAATCCATAATGTGATGCAACGATTAATACCCTGCACACCGGTCCGTGTCTACCAGCCCGTTGAGTTTGAAGGGTGCATTGATTGATGTGACAGCTCCGAAGCGGAAGGGTGGGAAGCGCAACGGCGTCCAGTGAAACAAAACGAAGCTTGCCGATCGAACTTCTCAAATTGTATTCCTGCTCGCCGGCTTGTGACAAGTGGTAGCCATGCTGGTGCGAGCCTGCCTGAGCATCCCGACTGCACCGTGGACGGATTCACAGACACACGTTCGGCAAGCTGAGCCCTTGGTTGGACGATGATGCATTGTACACAAGGCGGCTGGCAATATGAACTACTTCACATACCTCCAGAGGTGCAACGTAAGCAATTGACATGACATAAGAAAGAAAAGAGCAAGCAAGTCAGATCCTATCTGCCGCGATGTTGGTAAATGCGATCAACACCTGCAGCCTCGAGCAGCTGAGTCAGATCCTACCCACCTGCCTCCCCTACATAGCTTCGCTTGCCCTTAGGACTGCTTTGCGGGCATTGACTTGTAGCTGCAGGCTTGGAAGTCAGCTGTCGCGATATCTATTTCATTGGAAGCCGACTGAGCTGTACCTGGTCGGCCAATTAGCTACTGCTAGCGACTGCCTCTTCGTATGGGTGTAATACAGCCGTCTAATGGACCTGATTTATTGACTGTAGCTCGTGATAGCCTCTTTGCGTGTGCGTGATATGACTGCCCAGCTACTATAAAGTTTATGACGCTTACGTATATTAAATACTGTTTTATATGGTATATAAACGGTGCCCTACTTGAGCGGTTCTGAACAAGATGTTTCAATGTTTCTAAAATAGATGTTTGAATACTTCCAAATAGATGAATATTTCTAAATAAATGCTTGAAACTGATCTAGCAGTATGCTCCAAGCGACCCTCTCCTTCTTCCGTGCCCGGCCATGGCCAATCCCACGCCCACAAGATGCTTGGGGACACGAGGTAAGACACGGCTGGCGATCGGCATTCTCTTTCCCTGCTGTCTAAGAATCTTGTCCGAAAGCCAAGATTCTTGTCCGAAAGCTAAGGATCTTGTCCGAAAGCCAAGATTCCTGTCCGAAAGCTAAGGATCTTGCCCGAAAGCCAAGGATCTCGTCCAGAACCCACAGGCAAGACCCGACCGCTCGATCCGACCAGCACTAAACGAAGTACCAAGCCACCCACGGTTGTAAAACAGACTATTGCGCCAAGGACAGCCGTAAACTTGCTTGTTGCAGGATTGGTCATACGGCAAGGGACGTGGAAAAAGGAAAAGCAAGGGGGGAAATCCCTATTCATGTTGTCAGCTGGTTGACCAATTTTTCCCTTTGGCTTGCGACGCCAGTCTCAACATGTCTTGAACCCCGAATTAGCCTGCGCAGCTGAACTCTGCTACACCCCAGTGTCAGTACGTATGGATGTGGTGTGCCAGCCGCTAAAATGGAGCGAAATGCAAAAGTGCAGATCACGTATGGAGTCATGTGTGTGTACAGAAGGTACTTGCCTATCATGGCACTTGACGCTCAGTCGTTTGGTCCCTATCACCACATGCGACAGGTTAGTGTGAAGTGGCTTGGCGGACATCTGATGAGAGTAGCTTGGCTTGCCTTCTTTTTCCTGTGGCTGCTTCGATTCGTCCGATGACAATGGGAAAATGTAAGCACTACTTGGAGCTGCGCATCGGCTCATTCCTACTGGCTGTCCGGTGCCAACAAGCTACGCAATGGCGGGGATGGGCCAGAGGAGAGTTCCACGGTGAAGGGTGGTCCTGATCCAGGCTGCTGACAATCGATCGGATCTTGGTTGGCTCGATGCGGCTGAGTTTTAGCGGAGGAGAGCGATGCAAATGCGATGCCTCGATGACGGCCTGCTGCTTGGTCTTGGGCCGAAGTCAAACCAAGGCCAACGCAATGATGGATGGAGGAAAGCACGCCAATTGCTCCTTCCGGGCGGGACGTGCCGTGCTCGGCCCTTTAGCTGGCGCTGCTTCACTCGATTACACTGTGCTACCTCAGGTACTCGGTCCACTGGGACCACATCAACAGACCCCAACATCAGTGGCCACAGTGCGCTCTCTCTGGGGCATCGCTGTGGGCATGTGGGGGATTTGCCTCGGCAGTTTGAATTTGCCAGTCGAGTCCAGTAACTCCTCCGGCCTCCACCCCCACCAACACTAGACTAACCATCCTGATGGGGGTCGAGGTACATGGCCATATTGTTTTTCTGATCGGCCCAAAGTTTGTCCAAATCAAATCGAGTCCTTGCGGCTGAACTTTCTGTCTCTGCCTCGTCCATTATTCACGTTGGGACAATGAAGCCCTAGTGGTGCAACCATGAGACAGCTTGCATCTCCACCCTCCCAACCACACCCAAGAAAAAGAAAAGAAGAGGGAAGCGCAGCACGTGCACATCTGTAAAGCCGCTGAGAAAACCAAAAATTGAGGGCTGACACTGGGGCGCATATGGTAGTTTTCCAACGATCCGGCCGTGTTGTGCTCAAAACACCCCTCCTCCTCGACACTCAGCCGTACCCCGACGACCTATACGAATGCGTGTTTGACCTACGCTATTGCTCCTCCGCTGGTCTCTGCCGCGCCTCGTGGATGCATATTTGGCCCCATTGGCTCGCGCAATGGAACATGTCGCTTTTCTCAAGCCGCGATGCAACCCGTGCGCTGTCGTCGGCCACCAGCGGGAGAGACGAGTCGACTCGGACGGCCGCCCATTGGACAGAGACGTCGATGGCATAAGTTAGATGAGGTCTGGGAAAAGGGGATGGGACATCTGTATTTTGGATCTTTTTGCTTTTTTTGCTGTTTCCACCACCACCGTGGCCACCATCCATCAGCACGGCTTCAGGTGGAAAGGGAAAGGGGAAGGCTCTCGTTCGCAGCTGGTCAAACGCATCCTCGATCGTTCACACCTACGAATCCCCGTGCAGACTGATCGCATGCAAGGATGGGCCACACGCAAGATGTATCACTTTCCATCCAAACTCCTGGTTTTTCACAGGTGGGCAAGGGCACATGGCTCTAAAGTTGCCGGCCGCCAGGGCCATCCTTACCAGCGGCCGAAGAACGACTCGAATGGTTCGAGAACAGAATGAAAGGAGCTCTGCCGTGTGAATATAATGCGATTCAACGCAACCTAGTGCTTGCCTTGATCTATCTAGTGGCTGCATGTCTTACCCTTGGGATTCAATTGAAAAGAAAAGTCAATGGGGCGGGAAACAGGGCCGTCGGTGAGCCCTCTGGCCTCCGTCCCCGAGTCCAAGATACCTTAGTCCGGGTTTTACTCCTCTTTTCCGCTCCTGACCAGAATATAACAAGATCTGACATCTTCCGTCCATGGGGAAGAATGCTTTTGCCTGTCCTTTCCAACTCTCACAACAAGTTGAACCCACAAACTGTCTCGTCCACATGCTCTTGAAAGTTGGTTGATTCACATACTCATGCCCCACTGCCGCCATGGCTTCGTTCGCTCCTTCCCAGCAAAGTGCCGGCCAGCATCAGGGCAACAACAGCAACCACCTCGCGGATGCCGCTGCCCCTGCGTTATCGATCAAACCATCTCCTTCCCAATCTATAGATCCATATAGATGTTCCCTTCCCAACGAGCAATTTGGCCCACGTTCCAACAATCATAACCTCCGAGAAGTCATCCCAGACTATATCACCCACCCATCATATCCTTTCAACTCCCCGTTTGTATACGCCCGAAACCAGCCCAATACTTCATTCACACAACAGACTACAATCCAGCAAGCTTATCCTACAGGCCAATCCAACCATTCTTACAGGCAGCAGGCTCCCGTCCAACAAGCCCATCCCCCAAACTCCCACCTTGCTCCTTCATATTCATACCCTTCAAACAGCCATCTCGGCCCTAGAGGGCAGGCTTTCCCGCCCCAATACCAAACATCTTATAATCCCTCGGCCGTGACGCACCCACAGGCTTCCCTTCGTACTACCGCTGCTCCTCCACAGCAGCCAGAGCGACAGAGCATACAACCAAGGCGACTAGCCCCGCGGACTGTGCTCCCTCCAGCCAGGATGAGCGATGGAAACAACCCTGCCATGCAAGGACAGCAATCGGTCAGCCTGGCTACGCATGAGCAGCAGCCGACAAGCTTTGCCATGCAGAGACAGCCGGCGACACCAGCCCGGAACATTGATCACTACAGCAGCGAGGAGGTCTCTCCTCGCTCCAGGCCAAATAGGGCCCCTCAGGTCGAAGATTACGGCGACCTCATGGGGGCAGCACAGGCCCACCTGGCACGACTGAGCCAGAGCGTACCACAAACCCAGGGGATAAGCCCTCCCACAACTCGGTCCTCGACTAATTCTAGCATCCCTCCTTTGTCACTAGCTGCTCCTGAAGAATTGACGGCTGCTGTTGCCAACGCGTCCACGGCCGAAACGACACAGCAGTTCGCCCATCCGACTCAACCTCAGCCCAGCAACGCACCCTCTCAAGAGCACCATCAACCAGAAACCTTTGCAGAGTTCTGGGACAGCCTAGATCCCTCAGAATTCGACTCCCACATCACGCCAGTCAACAGCGGTGATCAACAGGAGCTGCCCGTCGACTTCCCGGACTTCCTCAAGACGAATCATCGAGCCGCGCAGACAGTGGCTGGCGTGCTGAACCAATCCAGTAAGACTCTTTCCATCCCCCTGAGAAGCAGAGCTGTGAGGGACGTGTTGAACAGTGCCCTGGCCGACCCGTCGATGGTGGTTGTGTCAGAAGTCTTGACATCGCTGGGTGCCATCAACGCGGCGCCGGCGAACCAACACTCGTCGGCTCCGCCCACGGGAGTCTGCCCTCGATCTTTCTTTGGGATGGACGGGCCGCTTACAAGTCTCGTGGCCCCCGGTCGCTCCGCAACTGTGAGACCAGGACATTCTGCTAATGCCTATCCGCGTGAAGGGGGTTATACGCCACATGATAGTCTACGGTCGCCACCCGGCGCAGCTGTAAGCCAACAAGTTCCATCGCCCGGCCTCCTGTCTCCCCCGGCTCGCTCAGCAGCCGGCATCACATCTCGCCCGCCAACTTCGACAACCGCAGTCATGTCACCTCCTCCCCATCCTCCGGCTGCCATCAATTCTGGCAACTCTCCTGAGCAAGCCAGACCTGCTTACATGCAAAACAACACTTCTCATCTGGAGCATGGAATGAGAGCCAATGTCACTCCCTGGGAAGAGCAGTCCTATCCTGAAGGCTCGTATAGCGTACGAACGGGATCAAGCCAGTCATCCGCAACTGTTTTTACTGTTTCCACGCCACCGGAAGGACTCAGAAAGCAAGCGCGCAAGAACTCGCTGGAACGGAAGCGCAAGTATGTCATTGTACCCCGAATTCTATCTTTCTTTTCAACCGTCTTCTGTTTCAAAATTTGGACGCCTTCTCACGTGTCCTCGGATACTAGGAGGGAGGAGGAGGCGCTTAGAAGCGTCACCCCGCCTGAGTCTCCCCGTATGGTTGGCGAGGTTGGCTTCCCCAGCGTCGTGGCAGCATCATATGGCAACCAAGGCGAGCCCAGCAAGCGGTTCCGGACCGACTCGGGCCTCGAGCCGTTCCCGAGCTTGATGGGCACTCATCAGGCAAACGAGTCACGACCACGGGGGCACTTGTTCCCAGGCTACGCGGGCACTCGATACCCAATCCCGCCGGCCACGGCCTACACGAACATCCAGCAGGCACAAGCAAGCATACCACACTACACGAACATCCAGCAGGCACAAGCAAGCAGACCACACTACATGAACATCCATAGGACACATGAGCCCAGCCCACCCTACATGATCAACCCGCAGGCACAGGAAACGAGCCCACCCTACATACTCAATCAACAGACACAAACCGCAGCGCCAGCGCACATGACCCATCAACAGACTCAGGCAGCACGCCCCGACCGCCAGCCTACTCGGGTGGACGCGGAGATGGTATGTATTGAAACCCCTCTCTTATCGTTTCACTGGCACAACTTCACTGTCCTTCTGCCGATCCTCTCATGTTGGATAATGCCTCATCATCAATGGCATCGTTCCATCACTGGGCCTTGAGGGCTGACGCCATCTACAACCACATCACCTGCTCACCAATCCGTAACCCCCCCGTACTTTTGGTCACAGCCAACTGATAAACCCATGCACGGCAGGGCGAGTAACGACGTACGGGGCGAATACTGATCTTCTTTCACAGCTTGCTGCCATTGGGCCCTACGCGTCGCTGTTCTAGACTGGCGTTCACGACATTCAACCGGCTCGGGGGCTTTCAGGCTGCTTTTACTTGGCAGTGGCATCACACAACATCTTCCTACGGCAACTCTTCTCTACTCCTTCTTTTCCTATCAAGTTTTTTTCTTTATCGTACAAGGTTGGCAGGTTACCGGAATGGATGGGAGTACCGCCGTGGACAACTAGGCGAAAGGGTGGGAAAAAGGAAAAACAAAAAACAACGAAAAGGGGTGATGGGCAGACGGCGGAGCGAGCGATGGGTGTGGCATCCGACGAGACATGGATGCAAGGTCGTATTGAGGGGGCTGCATCGCGAGGACAATGGACTACGGGTGACTGGATTACGGGGAAATGGGCGGAAAAGACAAAAAAAACAAAAGGAAAATTAGAAAACCGCAAAAAAAAGGTAAAAAGAAACGAAAAAGTGACTGCAAAAACAGGGAGGGAATGAAGGGCAGAACAGAGTTTAGCACTGCGCTTGTATGTAACCTTTCGAGTAGCCTTAACAAATCAGAAGCAGGTATTCCCTATCTCGGCTGTTGTGTTGGTTTCCTGTAGAGTCTTGGGCATCTTTTGCATGGTGGAATATTTGGTGGGCGGCCATGTAGGTCGGCCTGCTTGTGCAAGTCAGGGTACCTAAGGCAGGTCGCAGCGTCGATGATACTGTGAGCTCTGTGCAAGTCAAGTCAGGGTAAAGGTAGGTAGGTACATGAGGTAGTAGGGGGATCGCGTTCTAGATCAATTGAGCTCCCCAGGCCGAGGCATCAGCTCTGGCTTTTTATTTGGTGGAAAACCACCCAACCACCTCTATACGAGCAGAATTCAAACTTTATGCACAATTGACTCTGCCGATTGAGTTTGCTACAAAAAAAAAGAATAGACGATCTTCCAACGGGCAAAACCTAAAGATTAAACAAGTAAGTTCGGAGACCTGTATCAACCTCTTACAGATGATATCGACAATGTTTGTGGGGATTGGAGATGGTATTGTCCGTGACGGTCATTTAAAGGACGCGAGACCATCGAGTGCATTTGACTGGGAGAGGGGATAGTTCGTTTGTGATTAACTGCTCTTCACGGATGTTTTGAGCTCATCATACCAAGTAAATCGAATCAAAATCAAATCAAACCTGCCTGACCAGAGTAGGTCACTTACTTTCTTCGCCATGTCCCAAACAACTCCAATTAGCCTGGATCACGGCCTGGATCACGAGACGATCATGCCTCTGGACCAGCTTGACGAAAAGGGCGACGGCCTCGAGATCATCACGGCTAGCATGTTCCGTATGGGCACCAGTTCCATGTCGGAGGCCTTTAAAATCCTCGGCTACAATCCGCATCACGGCCTGGATGACAGCCGTAAGATCCCCTGGGTCCAAATCGAGGAGGCCGCCGAGGGCAAATGGCCCAGCACATCTGACGCGTCTGGCGTGCGGCGTCGCAGACGCAGCGGCAAATACACAAGGCAGGAATGGGATGCCGTCTGGCACGAGTATGACGCCGTGACGGACATGGCGGCGCCGTTTGCTTCGGATCTCGCAGCGCTGTATCCGGAGGCCAAGGTCATCGTCATCCAGAGAGACTTTTACTCGTGGTGGCCCGGCTTCCTTACGATCAACCTTGGATGGCGTTTCTTCTGGGGCGCTGAGCTGATCACGACACTGCTCGGTATATTCAACATGCGGGCCGGGCATGCAGTCAGGAAACTGTACTTTGGCTTGTTCCAGGCCCATTCGATCGACGAGCTCCAGGCCAATGCGCGGCGTGGTTACGAGGATTACTTTGCGGAGATTCGGCGTGTGGTTCCCGAGTCCAGGAGGTTGGAATACAGGCTGGGCTCAGGTTGGGAGCCATTGTGCAAGTTCTTGGGAAAGGAGGTGCCGGACGTGCCGTTCCCAAAGGTCAATGACGGGGCGGAGCTCGAGGCGTGGTTGTTCAACGCGTTTGTCGACGCCATTATGCAGACGCTCATCATACCTCTGCTCTATGGGTCCGCGGTTGTCGCTGTATTGTATCTATCGTGGTCTCTGTACGGCTCAGCAATGCGTTAGTTGCTGGATCTGATCGGCGGAAACGTGCGTGGAAACAGCCAACGGCGCGGCTGTTGTTCGGTGTAAGTCGAGAACGTATCAATGAAACCTGCATCATTCCCGTTAGATTGTGAATTGTGATGGGCCGCCTGGGCAGAGAGAGGTAAAAACCAATAGCCGTAGCCTCGCGCTGTGTCGAGCACAAACTGCGCGGTGCGAGTCGAAGCGTCTGGCCGGAATCCTGGACGTTTTTTAAGAATCTTGCAAGAATCCCGGGTGCTCATTGGCTGGCCAAAGCCACCGTGGCGCTGACCATTTCCGCATTGGGCCAGCTCGGTCTTGGCGGCCCTCGAGACCCCTGTAAGTTGACCCTGCACCCTGCCTCTACAAGCAAGTAACGCTGCACCCACAGTATTGCAAGTGCAGTAAGTTGAAGCAAGCATTGCAAGTGCAGCAAGTTGTAGCAACACCCTGCCTTAGGTACCCTGACTTGCACAGGAGACTTGCACAGGTAGAGCCAACAGTATTATCGACGCTGCGACCTGCCTAGGTACCCTGACCACCATGCAAACGATGCCCAAACTCTACCGACGACTTTCGGCGAGAAGCTTCCGGCGGCAGGAGCTCCTGGAGACCGTGGCCGTGTAAGTCAATACGCAAGTACCTAGGTCCACTCGTTAAGCGAGCGACAATGCTCGCAGCAGGTGCGCCTTCCCTGTGGTCATCCTGCCTGATCAGGAAACCAGATGGACTGGCTGTTCTTCTTGTAAAGTGTACGGGGCAACTGTATAGAAAGACCACCACCACGTTGGTACCTAGTACCTGCAGGCTTCTCGACCTTCGTGGCTTCCTCATGTCAGGAGCAAGCGAGAGGGCTCCCATTTGAAATCTAGAAGATTCCCAGTTCTCGCTCCATCTTTCTTCTCTCTCATCTTTCTCCTCATCTCCTCATTGTCCTCTTTTCTACTTCTTCCATCTCATTGTCGCCTTCAATGTTGCAGTGACGAATTCCATCGCCGCCCAGCTTCTATCCATCCTTGAAATTAGAGCTACCCTATGGTCACCACCATCTTCTGTCTACAACTCTCGCCAACGAGCATCTGCATGCCGCCGCCTCTTTGTCGCCGTGGAATCTCTTCCTGGCTACTACCTCAGTTGGGTCAATGTTTGGCATTGATTGTCACGTCCTGCTTCGGGTTGCCCTGTAAGTACAGCGATTTTCCATGTTCTGATCTGAAATGTCAGAGTTCAATGCTGACTCCGTACTCAATTGAGGACCATCCCTGCGCTTTCCTCACGACAACTCGGATGAAGAATATTTGGCATGGTTGATTTTGCTTCTTCATCAACTTCCATAAATCATTTCCGTGCTCTGCTTCAATTGAATCACAAATCGGTCGGGTTCGTCGTGAAGAGCGAGGTCAGGTACCCTTGTTTTACAACCCCTGCCTACAGCCACACTAACAAGCATCGTGTTCCAGCAACGAGCATCAACCAAGTTCGCGTTCTTCTGTGTTCTGCCATTTGGCCCGGCCCAATTGCCCCTCAAACTCCCAGACCCCTTGCCGATTACCTCTGCGAATATCTGGACGTTGTTTTGCCAAGCATTCTCTTCCAAGATTACCTCTTGTTTGCTGTTACTCCCAGCTAGCCACGTTGGTTCCATGTCATCGGTTCCATCCAGGGGGTCAAGCAGTTCACCCCCTTTCTCCTTCTCAACCGCCGTCTTGCCCTGGCACTCTACGACGGAAATTTCCAGAGCCTTTGGTGGTTTTCTGCATATCACACGGCTTGGAAGAAACGGCCTTTTCGGCAAACCTCTCCATTCATTCTGGAGTACAATACATTTGTTTCCACTTGAACCTGTCCGAGGTTTTCTTTCGACAGACTGTTACATTATTTGCGATGCGACCGTCATGACCAGACCAAATAAACTCCCGACGCTAAGCACGAAATCAATCAATCTCATTGTACACAAAGCCCTCTCATCAGTTTTGCCCTGACTGCAGATGGTGCTGCTTGTTCAGCAAGATCTTGGTTACGGTGCTATTAAAGTTGTGTTAGCATGAGGGCCTGAGTGTTTGCATTTGAGGGCTCGGCTGCTCTTACGTTCTCTCCACACCAAACTTGTCGGCAATGTCCTTGTGGGTGAGAGACCTGTGGTGCTCGTGGAAGAGACATATGTCAAGTTTCTCTCTGTCGCTAAGCGTCCGGCGAGTTTGCCTCGGCACTGTGGGTCTAGAGACGGACGAACACACGATGTCAGCCCTTTGACTTGGGGAGGATGCTCAGAAGCAAGAGACTTACAGTTTTTCTCCGGGTCGCCCAGTAGGCAACGGATGTCGGACTGGTCGCTCCTGTTATCAAACTTGTTAGTTTGCGTGTGTACAGAGGAGCGTGCCGAGAAGAATGTTGTTGCTACCGAGAGACAAAGAAGGGAAGACGATGAGAAGATTGGTGGAGGAAAGAAGCGACTTACAACCACTGGCTTGGCTTGGCGGACCCCGTTGTGCAAAGCAGCACGCATCGCGGCTTGGCGAAGAAGAGTCTCGTGTGCTTGGAGAGAGAAGTCGGGTTTCTGTAGCGACGGGACCGAGAGATAATTGGACGGGGTGTTGACATTCGGCATGCGAGGTGGTCTCTGAGCTGAGCCATGAATGGAGGGATAGGGAGCCAGGATGGGCTCGTTTCTTGGTGGAGAGCCAGAACCCGAACGGTTACGCTGATGTCTGGGATATGACTTGTGGATTTTGTGCTGCATTTGAGAGTGCTGCATTTGAGGGTGCTGCATTTGGGGGTGCTCAGTTACCCGAGGGAGAATGTAATGTTGATGCTCATTGACTCGAGGAGGGAGCACGGGGTGTTGTGGAGGGTTCGTGACCGGGTTGCGGTGTCTGAAGAAGGGGTCATGCGGCGAGCGTCCGTATGGGTTGTCATAGAGACCTCCCTCCTGGGGGTACTCCATTTGCGGTGGTTGTCGGCGGACGACGGGTTCGGGCTGAGGTTGTGGTGTTGCCATGAGACATGGAATTCGGAGAATAGGAGTATCGGCAACCTAAAGAAGAACAGAGTCAGCGGCCTTGGAGGATTACATCCTGATCAAGAGAACTGGAAACCACACACCATTCCGGCTGGGATACCTGGTGGCATGGCAAGCATCTTGGAGGTCGGGTACTGTGGCGGAGGTTGGGCTGCTGGTGGGTTGCGAAGAGGCAGAGACGTCATAAGAGAGTTGAGACGGGATGAGATGAGAGCAAAGCAAAACCAAGTTGGAGGATGGACGCGATACACCCTTTATCAAGAGAGTTTGATGAGAGAATTGTTTTGGGGGGGAGCAGAAGACTGAGGGAACGCATGGCCCCGCCTGACCATGTTGTTGTGCGGTGAATATTGTCAACACGGGCGGATTGGCTGCTGGGAGCCGGTTGGGATGCAACCATCTCGAACCAGGCGCTTCCAAGAAAGGCGCTTACACAGATGCCCCAATGCTTGTCATTCCATCGTCGGGCCCCACGATGGACCCCAGTTACCCGGGCAAAATCTCCACAGAACTGGCGGTGCAGGCATCCCAAGTGGAAGGGGGCGGCTGTGGCCACTTGCTGTTTCTGGCTGTAGCCCGTCTGCTGTTGGTGCTAACATCAAGATCGATCTTGACGTTGGCTGTCCCAACACGACGGTTGCTCTCCCAAGCTCTCCCAGACGTCGTCGCCGTCCCCCGTATCGCCAACTGCCTCAGCCAGCTCACCTCGCATGATTTCTACCCAACCGCCCTCCCACGAGACCATCACCACCCAGTCACCATTTGACTGCTCGAGCGGGGTCGAGCTGCTTGGCGGGGTCAAGGCGGTTTGGCTAGCCGCCGAACCCGGACATACGCACACCAATCATCAGTCAACACACCAGCAGTCGGTGACAGGCGAGGGCCAAACTCATCTTGTGAAAGGCCAAAAATACACCTGCCTTCTCCACACTTGCCGAATTGCCCATCTGACGTGCGCCCATGTCCCGTTCCTTATCGGGTCCTCCATCTCCGCGCTTGCTTGCAGGAGCTCAGACAAGCAGACGGGAGGCCGATGTGGGCTCGGCAAGCCCTTGACTACCGAGCCAAATGTTGAATGAATGGCCAGGAAACACCAAGGAGACTCTGGCACGCGCCTGTGCCCGCATCGGAAATGGCATGGAATTTTCTGGGGTTGGCCATCTCGTTTCCACGGCCGCTACCTCAGGTAGACAAAAATAACCTCCGGCACTGGCAGCGGCACTCGCAGCACTGCCGTCAAAATCCAATCATCCTCAAATCGAGACAAGCCACACAGCAAGCGACGCGCGCACCAGGATTTAGCTCTGCTACATGACTATGAATGGCGCAGTCTCTAGAAAAATAGAGCATCCCCAAAGTAGCAGTATGCGCCATGCCGGCAAGGGTACAGGCGTTACTACGGCTGTCGCTGGCTCTGTGTGGCTGTCACCAGCATGGCGAGCTTCGCGAAACAAGGGCACCAGCTGCAAGAAATTAATTTCGGGGCCGTCTGCGCGAACACGGCGAGCGATTGGCCAATGCTGGGTGCCATTGTGGTGGTGCGCACGCAGCTTGGCGCTGCCCATCTTGGCGGCCACATTTGATGTAAAGCTGCAGCCACACGCGCTCTGTACATACATGCAGTGTGCATTGGAGGTATCGTCTGGTCTTGGAATCCAATCCGAGCTCTGGCACAGGCATCACTGTCACTTCGTTTCTTATTCAACAAGGGAATGCATACTGCAGTGCAACTCTAGTCGTCACAAACGGTCAAGCTCTGGCGCAGTCATGGCAAATCAATTCATCTCGAGACTACAACATCCATCTCCTCCACCACTCCGATCCACCATCCGGCGCCTGCTGTGATTCAATGTGAATCCCAGCAATGCGCACCCAAAAGCCGGCCTCCACAACACCATGTTAGACACAAGATCCAGACCAGCATCGCCGAAAGAAGGGAAGAAACTGTCTACCGCCTCACCACGCCCCATCGCCTACCTGGATGACTACTCCTTCTCCGGCAGCTTCTCCTCGCTCACCTCCCCCTCGGTGAGCTCCGTCTCAGTTTGATTTTCGTCCGACTCCTCCTTTGATGCTGGGTCGGCATACAGTTGGTGTTCGGTCCAAATGACCGACATATCCGCACATTTGCGGTCCTCGTCCAGCAGGTAGAGCTCTTGGCCTGGAGCCAGGACCACGAAATCCCCCGATCTCACCGAGACTGGCTGCTCCAGCATGGAATCCCCACTCATCCTTGTGCGGACCATCCAGCGGGCTCGAGGCCCAGCCACGACATCTGAGCTGGCTAAGCCTTGTTTCTTAGCTGCCCTGCGGGCCATGCCTCTGGCGATGACCGCCCCAGCGCACTCATTCTTGCGATTGAGTGCAAAAACAATGCCGATGCGGTCGCGAGGCACAGCATAAACGTTTCTTCCCATGGGAAGAATAAGAGGCTCAGCCTCGGCCTCGCGCTGGACAAGTGCTCCATTTCTGGAGGACCAGGAGAGAACTTCCGTTCCCTAGTGCAAGAATCGTTAGAATTTTGCCTGACAGAGAACGAGGGTATAGATTCAATGAGAAAGGGTGGGGTAGTTTGAATATAACTGCCATGGGATGAGATGATGGTATACTTACGAGCACCGGATACCACTTATTGTATGATACAGCGGCCTTTGCCGTTGGGCTTCCCGCACCAATGTCACCGGGCTGATGGGCCCTGAATTCGCCCGTGGTGAGAGCCTTCACGGCTTCCGGAGCTACTTGTGAGATGTCCCGGGGGGCGATAGGGTACTCGGGCTCACGGGCTTGCAGATTGAAAGCCATTTTGTTCAGGTGGGGGTTACTTGAAAAAATGGGAGACGTTGAGAGACGTATATGATCTTGTGCGGCGACAACGAGGAAGTGCGGTGCACAGATATCGTTGATCAACGGAAGGTGCAGGCGGAAGCAAACTGTTCAAGGGCAGACGGTACTGCCGGGCGAAGAGGATGTGAGGAGAGGAATGAATCTGCGCAAGTGCAGAAGAGGATTTCTGAGTATGAGAAGGAGGAGAGACCGCAAGAGAGGATGCTGCTGAGGTGCAGATGGCAGTGTTCAAGTATGAAGGAAGAGTGAGGGGTCGAAGGCAAAAGAGAAAGATGTGTAGAAGACACTGGAAGATGTGAAGACTTGATATGATTGTCGAATGTTTCTTCTGTGTGTGAAGAAGGAAGAGAAAAAAGAAGACAGAGAAGGGAATCGAGCTGGTCTTTATACCTCTTCCAGACGCTGAGGACTGGGCTCAGACTGCTCTGAATCCTCTCCCAACTGGCGCTGGGCTCCTTGGCCTCCTCCTCTCCTTGAACGCGCTCTGACCGTCATGCTTTCTACAGCCAACGCTGCAAGTCGCTTCTTGCAGATGGTGATCATCTCTGGATTGGTTACGGGGGTGTGACAACAACGGGGCTCTTCTGCTTGTCATTTGCCTGGTATCCGTGTACAGTGCCATACGATTTGGTAGCATAGGTACCCGAAAAACGCACCTCAGCACACCAAACGCAACTAAACACATAAAAGTGCGAAAGTTATCACATGGGAACGGCTACTCAACACGGGGCGGGCTTGGCGTTGTTGGTAACCGTGTGATTGACTCAACTATGAATGACTCTCTCCCGCAGCCTCCACACACCCACAGAAGCCGCCTTGTCATTGGATGAAGGACACCCACACCAGTTTCCTTGGGACCAGGAACAATCGCTTCTTCTGGCAGATTTTACCATTCATCTGGGGTCCAAGGGTCGCAGAAGGCCCTCCCATCTTGATCGATCCGACCCCAGTTTTACCCGGTCCCCAAAAGCCAAAAATCAAAGGAGATAGCAAACAATGGATTGCACCGCAAGGCCAAAGAGCTGCGCGTGCGACCGAAGCCGAGAACACGCCCGCAGCTGAATGGGCTCGGGGCTGCCTGGCAATTGGTGACACCGACTTGGTCAACACGACAATTCTCCTCTTCCCTTCATGTAGGAAGCCGTCGCGCTAAACAGAAACGGGCGTTGATATTGTTTCGCCCCCCGCCTGCATGAGATTGTTCGTCGAAGCCAGGAGTCGGCCGTCGGCATTTCGCACGCCTCATCCATGGCTGATGTGCATGTGGGACGACCTGTAATTGGCCAGTGGCGTCTGCCTAAACGCAGTTGCAGCTGCACGTTGCGTTGAGCGTTCGATGTGAACGTTGAGCGTTCGAAATGTGCGATGCCAAGCGTTGATCCGTTGACCTTGGCTCTGATGATTGGGTGCAATGGGGGAACCTTCTACACCGGCTCCTGCACGCAGCCGTCGCAAGCCAGAGGCCGCCTTTCGTTTTCCCGTTCCCGACGCCCAAGAGAAGACTGTGGTCAGCCCGTTTGATGGACCTAGGTGACGACTTCCGAGCAGGGCGTGCTGGATGCCTCACCTCCTGGATGCCTCACCTCCTGGATTCCGATATTGCTGTCGGCTCCCGAACTCCACTCCCCCCATCGTGCCCCATCCTGTCCGATGAGTGGTTGGCCAAGCATGCAAGCATCCGACGACCCTCCAAGCCTCTCATCATCCTTTACGCTACGCCTGGGGGTAATGATAGACGACCAGACAACACGAGCAACAGCAGACGCATGAGGAGGCAAGCTAACGTCTGCTGTGCAACACACTCGGGCTGCCTCCTCAGTTTCAAGTGCGCAAATTTTTTCTGCCATGTGATCAGCAGATGGGCGAGCATTCTAGCAATGGCCTGCAAATTCACCTCCCGGAGCAAATGTGCCGTGGTGGGAATTGGTTTGTTCGTGGCTGGACGGGCGAACCTGATTCAAGCGAAAAGCACAAAATCACGAACGAGATTCGCACCCATCACAGCTCAAGCCAAGCCGCTCACAGACAACCTAGATCCGAAGGCCGTCTGGTGTGTGCCTATGCCCTGATGAGCATGATGCCTTATCCCCTGCCTGAATGGATCCTTTGCAGTCTCACTTGCGTGAGGTCTGCAGGACTTGTTGCACAGAGTCAGAAATGAAGTTGCCTTGAGGACGGAGAAAACTGTGATTGTTTCATTTAGACGCCGATGATGTCTTGAGCACATTCTCTGGCTGGCCTCGGTGGCTTCCAGGCTGCAGGGGGCGTTTGTGTTACTTGCTCCTTTGCTGCACTTGCATGCCTCCTACGAGTCTTCCGAAGGAGGTTGCCGCCCGACTTGATACCGAGCCCACGGCCGTCAGGTATCACACAGGTGTTGGCAACTCACTCTCGCTGCCTGATGGCCGTGCATGCATTCGTACCAAGGCCGGCGATGGTTGAACAGGCATCATGCACGTCGCCCATCTCAACAGAACTGACTGTCCCTTCGTATCAGCGATTGTTGAACCGGCACGAGGCATCAAGTACATTCATGGAAGCGTGGACAGACCGGCCAAGCCATCAATGCGTTGGATCGGCATAATGCATACATCCTATCTCCTGATGAGAGGCGGGCAATATGGTTGCACCTCCACAAAGCCGAGTAAACATGACGCATCGAGCCTGCTCTCAGGGGATGAGTGAGACGGCTCCCTGCATCGGCTGAATTTGATCGGCCGACGCCTTCAGCTCATCCTAGCAAGGATGAGCAAGCCCCTTGTGCCAGCTCACGGTTGAACACGCATGCTGCAATGAGCCCATCTCAGGAAGAACAGTGGCCTTTTTCCGTCCGCCGAGGGTTCAGTTGATTCGGTATGACGTATCAAGCTCATCACACGAAGTCCGGCGATACAGCTACGGCAGCTCAGTGCCGAACGGACATCAGGCATCCAGCACATCCTGCCAGGCGTGTTAGAACTCACCGCTACGGCAAGGGTCCCCAAGGGATTCCATAGTCAGCGTCCTCGGACACTCACGTTGATGGATGCGGTCGAAGTAAGATGCAGCTCAATGGATTGATCAATTCAGGAACTATCTCATCAAGTATGCAAAAAAAGAAGAAGAACTACCCAACAGATCGCCAGACCTTCTATCTGGCCCCAAAAATTTCCATAGAACTCATCTTGGTCGAAGGCAATGTCGGCCCAAGCCAAGTCCCAGAGCCAGACCCCTCCAATTAGCCACTGTATCTCTCCACAAGCTCTACCCTACCGTCAAAGCCAGGCGGTCAGAGCCACCAATATCGTGATATGCAACCAGCCCGTCTAGAAGAACTTGCCTGGGCCCTTGGTAGGAACCACTTCGTTCTGGGCGGAATACTCGACGGGCTCCTCGTCATGAGCTGAAGCTTGGGCGGGAGGGTCGAGAGCCGTGAATGGGTGACCAGTCATCTTGGAGCGAACGAACTGGTACGTGAGGCGTAGACCCAGAGCGGCGAAAGCCCAGATGAAGCTTCCCACGGGGGCGGCAACGAAAGCGCCAAAGGCACCCCAATCGCCGGAATACAGACCCTGCTGGACGAGCAGAAGCTCGCCTCCCGCCTGGGCGCTGCCATAGTAGATCGTGCCAAAGATGAAAACCGTGAGAAGACCACCGACTCCGCCGACGATGACCTCGAAGCCGCGCCACCAGTAGAAGCGGCTAGAGAGGCCAAGGAGGAGCACGGGCACAGTAGACGCGGACACCAAGTCGCTGATGAGGTAGATTTGAAGGACAGAGGGTGCCTTGATGGCGATGGCGACGACGGGGAAGATGATGAGGACGACGAGAGCGCGGATGAACCAAATGTTGATCTTGTTGCGGAAGAGATCGTTGGAGGCGGAGGAGACCATGGCGCTCTGGAAGCTGTCGAAAGCGGCGGTGCTGAGCGAGACGGTCATGACGAGGATAACGCCGACAACCCAGTTGGGCAGCTGCTCGAGGAGGGTGAAGAAAGCGACGGAACCGAGCTGAGGTGGGTCGCCGGGCCAAGCACCAGACCAAGTTGCGATTAGGCCGCTGGACCCCACGAGGGTGAGGATGCAGAGGAGGGCGACTGTTGCGACAGAGACTCCGATCCAGAGGTCCTTGTCTGTCTTGGAAGCGAAGGTTCGCAGCCAGAACTGGGATAGGAAGAAGTCGTTGGTGAAAATGGCGACGGGCAGGATGTAGAGAACCTGCCACCCGACAAGGCTGGCCTCAAGGTAGCCAGACTCCTCCACAAGACCTGGCTGGATCTTGACATTGACGCCGACAGCGATGGCGCCGATGATGATAAGGCCGACTACCATGGAGCCCTGGATGGTATCTGTGAGGAAAGAAATCTTGAAGCCACCCAGAGCTGTTTATCAAAGTCTGTTAGCAAGCTTTTACCAGCAATTGGGCATCACAAGAATGGGGAGCAAGTTGAGAACCTACAGGTATAGATGGTGGTTACGACGCACTGGACAATCATGACGGGCAAGCCATCAAGACCAGTCAAGAGGGTGACAATCTGGCCAATTGCAGAGAGCTCCGAGATCATGTACAGAAAGAGGGTGACGAGGGTCATGAAGCTGAGCCAGAGCATGGCAAGAGTGCCATATCGCTGCCTGACCCATTCGGTCAAGACGAAGCCCTCAGGACACTGGCGACGGATGATAGGGCCGAGCGCACCAAAGATGAGCATGGGCAAGGCAGATGAGAAGGCGTAGATGAGCATTCCCTGGACGCCGGCGAGGGTCGCCACTTCGGGATAGGTGGTCAATACTCCGGAACCGAGCGCTACACTTGGATGTCAGTCATGACGGGGGGGCAAGAAGGGGTCTGGGAGGAGAGGACAAAAAGCGGCAGCACATTTCCCACGCAAGCATTAACTTGGTCGAGTCTTGACGGTGCAATCTCAGCTTCGTTTTGCGGTCGGCGGCAGACCTCTCCCACGGAGCGAGCAAGCTGCTGCCATGGGTTGGAGATCATGCCGTGACTTCAAACTCAGCGCCCGTAGTGAGCCGCGTTCTCCCCCTGCTCTTCCCCCGTTCCCCGACTCTCTTTCTCGACGAAAGAAACAAGGCATTATCCCTCCTGGCAAATCAGTTCGTCCAAGGCGCGAGAGCCGAGGCCCTCACTCACTATGAGTCGATGGTGAATGAGGTAGAAAGGAGGGATTGTGTTTTGTTGGTTTGGCAAAGAAAGAGAGGGGGAAGGAGAGGGAGAGGAGGAGAATGCAAAGATCATGGGATACGAACCTGCTGCACATTGTTGTCTTGTTTGGAAGAGCCGAGTCGCATGCCTGCTGGACCGGGGTATGTTGCCGTCATGGACAAAAGAACGTGGTCTTGTCTTGCGCAGACGACGCTGCTACCGCTATGTTTGTTGATGTGGATTGGAGCATGCTGCTCACTCACCCGAAGCGATGAAGTTCAGGGCCAAAGGCCAGGCTGCAGGAGGGGTGTCAGTATGGCCATCGCGGCAATAGGGTGGAGGGGACGGCAAGCAAGAAAGAAAAGAAGCATCAAGAAGGAGATATCAAGGGCGTTTGCAGAGTGGGATGAGTCTGACCAGTCTGAGTTCCGTTGCTGGAGAGGAAGTCTGTCTTGGCTTGACTACGGAGCTTCCAGGCGATTGCAGTGCCGAGGACCCTACATGCATGACAGACGAACCGCTGCAGTCAGTTTCATGCATCTTACACTGGAGGCGGATGGATTGTGGGACACACAGAAAGGCTCCGTAGGTGAGGTAGATGATGGCATTGGATGCCTCAAAGGACGGCTGGCCCATGATGACGGCAGCGGAGGGTGAATGCGATTATGTTGAAGCTCGAAGAAGATCTGCAGTTCATGCAAAGATGATGGAGGAGCAGGGAAAAAAAAACAATGAAAGCAAGGCAGGTACGTTCCCAATCCCGAGCAGGCAATTAACAAATGTGGGAAAGCTAACCAGCTGGAAGAAATTTTGCGGATATTTGAGGGAACGGGGGCCAGTAAAATGCCTCTTGGATGAAGCGACTAACGGCTTGCAAGTCCCAGGTTTTTACCTAATGATGGGGCCTTCGATGCTTCGGTCGCTTGCCACCCTCCCTACACGGGCTGAAAACCACCTCGACCTGCTGGGCGATAATCCTGACAGACTCGACGGAGCCAAATGCTGCATTGATCATAGCGCGTTTACAAATGATCATCTCATTGATGACGAGCTGTCTAGTCACCTTGGTAAGTTATGTTGTTTGATTGTATTCTCATTTACTATGTGTGGATTGAATTATTCTTGGCAATGGTGATGGCTAACTCTACAGAGTAGGTAGGGTGTATTACGGGATCTTACCCGCCGCCAAAGACGACATTGTCACCAATTAATCCTGGTTCACCAATGCCTCAGCCACATGTGGCACACTAGAATTTCTCCTTCGCAGAATGTGCCCGGCTCAATCTCGGCAAAGCAAAGAAATGCAGATGAACGCTGCGTCATGATATCAATGGAGCAGCAGCATTGCATTCACGTGCCAGATTAATGAATCGCTTGTTCCCAATACCATGGAACCTTGAGGAACATTTATTTTAATATTCTACTCGGACCAGAGGCACAAGAAGCTCTCGTTTGTTCTCATCTAGAGTGGCTTTGCCTAAATAGAGCTTGTTCCAACCTCCATCATCTCTTGAGACGTACCAGTATTCGGTGGGCCCATCCCACACGAACCAATGCGGCCCGCGACTAATACACAAGCTCAATTGGTCGCGACAATTCTACCCGAGGCTCGTTTCACCGCCTACCCAATTCGATAGGCACAATTCAGTTGGATCGAATCGTTCCCATCAACATGACGGTGATGGCGAATTGTCCGTCGCTCGCACAACCACTGACCGCGCACACTTTCACTACCGGGTATCATGGGCTTCCCAAGGTTGCTATTTACGCCAATTTGGCGCCATGGTCTTCCCTCCCCTTTATCTAGCCAATTGACCCCTTCCACGAAGAACTAGCCGCATCCCGAACGAACATACGAACTGGACTCGAGAACGTCTTCAGGTCGACCCGAAAACCCGCGCTATATGCAGTGGCCGACTTACCACTCTGCCTCCCTTACCTCGGTACGCTAGCGATGAAAAATACCATTTTACATTCTCATGTTTGGACAAAGAGGGCTCTTGCAACGACAGGCGCTCAACTTGCCCCTTTCATGACTCCGTGATGGATTGGTTCGACCACGACAAGAAGCACCCGCGAGCACGACACGGCAACCTCTACGGTAAATTGATCGACCTGATGGTAAACTATGCCATATCGCTACCTCTGCACATTGCTTTCCACACCGAAACAATATTATAGGCACTTGTTGAATGGCAAAAGGATAGAAAGAAAGAAGAGTGTCGTCTGGACGCACGCAAAGCGAATGCCAGCCATGATGCTCTGCTGTAGAAAGCGGGAGCAGCTGTAATAGTAAAAGAAAACCATCTCCACCGCCCAGTTGGTTGGGTTCAAGTTTCAGGTGCTTCTAGAGCTTCTCTTCAGGCTGGCGCATTAGCCTTCGCATTTAGCCTCACGGCCTATCCTTCCTTTTCACTTGCGCAAAGCTAGCCTAGGCAGTTTCCCTGGTTTTCCTCGTGAACACGCAGCAACGAGCCCAAGATGACACCGGTTCCGCTTCCCTTCTCTTGCCACCGCGCACATTTATCTGCCAATACGGGCCGACCCGATCATTTAGACCATCTTCGGCGGCCTCCACTCTAGTTCCTCTTCGAACTTGAGAACCTGGTCTCCAAACTTAACCACAGCCGGTTGCTGTGTTCTGCTTCATTGCCATTCTTCTTCTTATTCCTATCCGATAGGAACAACTAGCTTCCAATTGCTGGTGTTGAGAAGCAGGAGCATCATGATCCCACGTTTGGTCTCACTGTCTTGGAGGATAGGCACTTTGCAAATGACTGTAATACGTGTTGCTCTTGGGACTTACATGATATATGGGATTGGACGGCCTTGTTGCTCTGAACAGTCACCACCCGGGTCGTCATTCTTCTCTTTTGACATCAGATCACCTTTCGACTTGAGGCAAGCTTGGTACAGTACAGCTCTGGTTCTGGTTCTGTTCCACTTCGCTGCTGCACGGCCCCGTGCTAGGTGTTCCTTAATGGCAATGGTTTATCATCCAATTCTGTCGAGGCCGATCAAACCCGAGTTGTGTCCAATCTAAAGCACCCAGAAGAAGGCGAGGCGACAGCGAAATCAACTCACGTCCGAGTCTCAGCCTGATCTGCAATTAAGAAAGGCACGGGCACTGTCTACACAGGGCGAGATATCAACAACTTACAAGAGGTTAATCACTTCGTCGAAACGATCGTGTTTCACTACGGCTCGGTACCAGATCACCTTCATCGCCGAGGCCGTGATTCCAAGTACGATGGGCTCATTGAATCACCATCTAATGCTTCTGACCGATGTGGCATGGCAAGCGGCGCTGTATCAAAACCAGGCCCAGCTCTTCGTCGTTGATAGAGCTCTAAGCATCCTGGAACATCAATGGAAGGATCGCGAACACGTACATGCTCCGGGCGTAGCCTAGCATGCATGCCTACAGTTTAAAAGCGAGCTATTGGGCCAATGGACTTTTTCTTAGCCTACCTTTTCGCATCAAGGTCGCGCGCGACCCAGCTTCTAGGTTCAAACTATGATACCTCTTCCCCTGATCTGAAAATCGCAATCTTCAACTGTCTACCTACCTAGACACACCACTACTCGACTAAGATCATTCTCAGAATTAGCCTAGTATGTGAATGGATCGGTGGCCCAACGTTGGAGTTCTGCTGCCATAACGACGCCTGGTCTGCGACCGCACACTTGTCCCCAGCGATTCGGTAATAAGTACGAAAGGCGATTGTTGTCTACTAAACGTAGTCGATCGAGATATCTGCCGCTGATGGACCAGCGGGACTTATCGAATCATCAGCCTGGCCAATACCCCTCCGACTTGTCGAGTCCTCGTTCGACGACAAAGTGGGTGAGCATTATTTTGGAAGAGGGGACCTCGAGGAGAGCGTGCTCCGTTTCGGCATGGCCATTGAGAGATGACCCCATCTTTGGACAACTTCTTGGTAGGACCTATCGACCCTCACAGCAAAGAGATGGGAATGTAAAGGGTCGGTTCGCAAGCGAGCGTTCGGTGACTCGATAGAACAGCGCAACTAATATTTCGGACGAGGTAGTCGCACGAGTGGCAGCGGCGGCGGCGGCGGCTCTGAATCGCTCACCGATGAGCATGTGAGTTGATCGAAATTCTACTAGGATCAGGCACAGACGGTTTCTGGTCGAAGCACCTTCGCTCGGGAACGGTATATTAGCTCAAGAAGAAGTCAAATCATGACTGCAGTTGCGCAATGGCATCGTGAAATGTCAGGCTACTGTCATTAGGGGGCGAGCTTACGGCGACCAATTCGCTTCTTTCACATTCCCGGAACGAAGCCTGCACATTACTCCCGGCCGCACTGAACTAGGAAGTGCACAATTCAGCTTCGAGCTCAACTGCAATGGCGGCATTTGGCATTTGAGTTCTCAGTCCAGACAGGGGAGCTCTCTGCCGACACGAGCGGCTGTTAGAGCGAAGTTCAGCTACAGCAGCGATTGTGCTGCCAGTGCCACGGCAGATGCCGTTAGTCAGAGAGCCAAGCACCATGATTGACGAGAGAGGAACCTGTGCCAGAGACAAGGAAGTCCCTTGCAAGAGAGGGGGAGGCAGCTGCTGCCTTGGTACATCCCGAGATGGACAGTTGGCACGCTGCTTCTCTGCAGGCGATGCCAGCCCATTTTCAGAGCGCCTGGGGAGGCACATGGATTGCACCTTCACCTCAAGGAATATTGACATACTGGAAGCGTGTCTCTGGCACCGCCCTTAATCATCTATGGAGACGGAGTTTTGTTGTCAATTTGGATCAAGAAATTTCTTCTAGTGCCTCTGCAATTTAAGAACAAGCTCAGCAACCTGGACGAACGGATAATCTCGACCAAATCCAGCTTCTGCTCTGAAGACTTTCGATACGAAGACCTGTTGATCACACGGTCTCGGTTGAAAGAGGTGCACTCACCGTCTGGCGTATTATCTTGCCACCTGGCCTGCGATCGTCACAGAGCCTTACTATTACCGCCGCTGCACCACCTGCGGTGGGTAGATTGACATTTCTTTTTTTTTTCTGGCGAGGAAAGAACCGGGCGATCCGCTTTTCACACATTGGTTCTAGACTCCACGTATTGCACAAAGGAATACGAGCTGTCAGTTATCAAACCAAAGCCTTTGCTTACCCAGAAAGAAAAAAGAAAGAAGCAGCTTCTGGTGTGAGGTCTGTCACACCACCCAAGCTACTGCGGAGTACTACGAAGACCATCATCTTTCCAGTGTCTCTCACTAAGATGGCAAATACGCAGAAGCTCAGTGACAAATTATTCTGAAAATTAGGCAAATAGAGCTCATCCCTACCACCCAAACAACGCCACTCAAAGCTTCAAGTGTGCTCCCACCTCTATCGGGAGTGTAAAATGCACGCACGCCCTACGTGCCTCCCCTTCCTTGTCAATGAACGGTAGTTATGGCGGGTTGAAGAGTAGCGAAGGCGGAAGAGGGCCCATTCATCGACTGCCTTGACTTTTAGGCCAGCAACTTGCCCAGTCTGACGCTGAAAACCAGCTGAAAGCCAGACGGCAGCCTATTCTCGTACAGGTCCGCACTTCTTTAAGGACACCCCCGCTTCTGTGGCGTTCCAGCTACGTGCGGCATACGGACTACCAAAAGATACACATCGTCAAAGGAAGGGGGGTCATTTGAGCTAAGCCAAATGAACATTCTTGCATTTTGGATGCGGCAGTATGTATTGCCCTGCTTATTTCCTCCTGCATTCGTGTGTTCGGTGTGCGGCATCCAGTATCACATTCATGCGTATCGACTGGGCTTCTACGCATTCTGCGTGATCAGCTACCATCAGCAAATTAGAATGTCTCATGTTAGTCATGCCGACTCAGCTATATATATCTGCGAAGCCTCTCACATTCGCTCGAGTTTGCTCTTCTCGCTCAACCTGATCTTATTCTCTCAACCAGAATCTTCTCGCCCAAATACCATCAAAGAACAGAACCAGTTATGGAGAGACAAGATGAGTTAAGGGCCAGGATGGTGTTTGAACTCTTCCGGCCTGCCCTGCCCCCAATGCCAAAATCGGGCGAGCCAAGCCCAATACATGTCCGACTCCATCCACACTGTGGTGCCTGTGGATTCTTGTTTGAGCCTGGTGCCAATATCACCGCTTGTATGACTATCAGATGCTCCCATCCAGATCAGTTACTGACTTGCTCCAGTGAAACATCATGAGAATGCCCTCATAAGGATTGATGCTGGGACATTCCCGTCGCCCAAAGATCAACGCTTCCACTGGGCAGTTGTCGAGGATGGCTCTTCGGCAGACAAGCGTTATCAATTCTGCCGCCTGGGAAACTGCCCCATCTGTGGTATCAACAGTGAGAGCATAACATGCCATTCCGATTGCTTCAACCTTTGGATGAAAAGCATGGGAGATGGCGATGGCCCCCACAAGCTCTGGGTTGCAGCCACTTGGAGATATCCTTGGGCCAACTGCCCGGAGTTGCGCTTACCCTCAGAGGATAATGTCATGAGTTATATGGACTGTGCCAAGGAAGCATTGGAGTGGCCTGATCTTGCGAAGCTTCCAGCTGAGCTGAAGACATATATTGTCGATCTCAGCGGCCCAACTGAGATTGGGCGCTGCGCATCAGTCCTTCAACTCATGAGCGAAATGGCCTCGGACCGACCATTTGTCGCCACTCTTCCCCTTGACAATATAATGCACTGGACTCGAGGTGGCCAGCCAACAGTATCTCATGCCAGTAACGGAGAAGAACTCCAACTCATCATTGACGCTCGAGGACTCAGGGAGATCCGCTGGGTTACTGAGCCGAAGGAGGACCTTGCCGCCCGCTCTGATCACATGCTTTACATATCTGGACCCATCGAGAAATTCTGGAAGATTCAAGTTGCTTTCCAGGTTAGAAGACTCCTGCCAGAGTTGCGCTCATTGAATCACTGACACCTGTCTAGAATGGTCTTGCTCGGTTGATACCTCTCTTTGCACAGGAGTTCAATCTTTGGGATTCTCCTGCTGGCCTCCGCCGTGGAACAATAATCTCCGGGGATGAGCCCTCGCGCCCCCCGCATCTTATGTACAAGCCTCCTATAATTCGCTTTACAACTCTCGATCTCCGGCGATGCGACGGCCTTACCTTTTTCATTGTTCCCGATGGAGTGCACGCAATTCATGCGCACACGCCGGAGAGCCCCAACGCCGTCGAGGCCTTTGAGCGCCTGAAACTCTACTACGATGGTCCTGTCACTTGGTTCTATCTTCCTCTGGCAGCGCATGATGAGGTTCTTTCTATTGGCCTCCGGCTTCGGCGACTTGGCCGCGATGGCTTGACTCCTACTTTTCTGGTGAGTGTTTGAAAGGATTTGGATAGACCGTAACTGACCAAGAAGATTCACCTACGATCTGGACACTACGTCATCGGACCGCACCGTGACAGGGCAGTGTTCGATGTGTTGCTTCAGACCCATGGACGGCCTGTTCTAATCTACGAACCGTGGTCAGATATCCAGCTTGCGCCTCATATCAATCAGATTGCAGTCTCTCCCCAGACAGGCGTCAAAGCACAATATCGCTTTATCCCTCCACGAGGACCGCGTCCACTTGATGCCAGCTGTCTCTCCTCGGCCCCATTGGACAACGTGGAGTCAATGGACGTGTTCCGCACCGCGGTCAACGGGCCCTGCGTAGGTTTTATTTTCACATATCGCAACGGGTGGCAGAGGTCTGTTGGCCAGTGCCGTTTGGGCCTGGACATTGTGACCACTTATCAGAAACCAGTCAGGCTGTATTATGTTTTCCGTCCGCACAATAGTATAGAGTGGAGGAGAGGAATATTGGGAACGGTTTATGTTGACATCTCAACTGAGGAACATCCTGATGTTGACAGGTCTTATCCGCTTGATGCTGAGAGCAGGCCTACGCATTTCTGGGCTCATTCTGAAATGCAGGGGGTTTTGACATTTTGGAGTAAGGCGGATGGCTCTTATCTCAAGATTGAGACGGCTGAGGAAGCTACACATGAACAGGTGCTCGAGTTTGACCCGGGGTTTATCGACGGGAAGCGCGAGGTGCGGGAACTAGCAGCAGAATATCTGGGTGGTCTCCCTTCCGATGCGCAAGGACGAGTCCTGAATGTCTAAGTGGATGTGAGGGTTCTACGGTCAAGATAGCTTTCCAGGTCCAATTGACTTTCCTCTAGCAGACTCCGACGGGAATCTGCAACGAGGGTCGTTTGTATGTCTCAAAGTTTCTCAGCAGTAAGTTGCCCTTCACATCTTGTTAGGTCAGTATCTACTGGCTATCAGGTGCTTCGTGAAAGGACAACGATTGATCCCAGCTGATGAACGCATAGCTTGTTTGATTGGTTGAAGCGAGCAGCAACCAACAGGAATGCGAGAGGAACTGATCGGAATCTCTGTAGCCTGGCCTGTAGCCTGACCTGTGGCTACTGGCTATAGATAGCACGGTCGTCTAGGATGAATTGATCAGCCGCTGGGACACACCCTGTCGCCGAAACCATGGACAGAATCGGCTGCTGGCTGTCTGTCTGTCCCCACCCCTTGGGTTGCAAGCACAGAGCCCAAATTGGGTGTGTCGGCGTCAGACCCCTCCAACTTCCCCCGTCTAACGCGCAGCTCATGCAGCCGAATGCGGAGTGACAAAGGCTGGTGGCGCGCTTCCGGTGAATGAAACCACCCCAACAAGTGCGCTGGAACATGCACGGAGTGTCCGGCGAGGGTCACTTCCTTTCATTGGCACCTTCCAACCTGGTAGAATCTTCCCCAATTGTACTGTCTACGGGGTCCAACCACGGCGAGGGCTTTTAGTACGATGGATCTAACCGACCGACTCCTGCGGGCCGCATCCCCCCCTCCCTTCACGTGTCCATCGTGGCAGAACGCAAGCTTACGGTTCTTTGTGCGACAGGGTTGCATTGCAGGGTTGGAGGCGTGGGGGAGCATTACTGTACAGGCAACCTTGGAATGGAACAACAGTCGTGGCATTGAGGGTGGTATTTTCAGTGACGATAGCATGATGTCTTCCAGTCGAGGAGGCACTACGACACAACGATGGGTTCCCTGGTGTGTGTGTGTGTGCTGGCTGGTTGGAAAGTGGGCAGATGCAGCGCGATGGAGGTGTGCTCGAGCGTGCACCGAAGCATTGTGAAGCGGAACGGCCTGATGCCGGACTGCTCATTGGCCAGGTCCCCCACACTGGTGAGCCGATCGATGCCGGCTTAGGCTTGTCTCACTTGTCTCTCAATCTTTCCTCGCAATTTGGTGGCTGAAATCAATCTCAGCCGGGCAAAAGGAAGGAGGTCAGCCGACCGCCGTCGCATTGGGCTGGCAGGTTGCCGCTGGAGTCTCATTGCATGTTCTGCGCCAATATTCCATGGTCTGTCTGTCCGTCTCGCTGTCTGTCTCGGATGGGTGATTCTGAGTAAGTCGGCTGCCCCAGTGTCAACCAGGATCCAGACCAGCACTGGGTACCTTCGCCCGGTTGACCAAGTGGGCCTCGTCTGCCTTGGCCTTGGCCTTGGTCCGGCCCAGATCCAGCAAACAAGGTTCATTGCCCGCTTCCCCTGTCCGTCAAGATCGACCCGATCTAATTAGGGGTCTGGCCAAAGGGTCCTAAGCTGAGAAACTCGGCCTTTACGGGTGTGGCCTCTTGCGGTGGGTTGACACCTCTCGGTAGCTGAACAGTCAGAGCACCCGCAATGTTCCATGAATGCGTGCTCTGCCTCCAAAGGCGTGCCCCGCAGTCAGCCAGCTGCCCCTGCAAAACGGAGGTGCCACACAGGCCATCTGAGCGACCCGTGCTCTGAGTATCACATCCAACCCACAATTTATCAAGGTTGTCATGGCTCCAGATTCAATAAGGCTGGCTAAACATACATTCAATATCAGGCAAAGAGCTTGTTAGAACTGGTAAGTCAAACACATTCTGATTTATAAGCGGCTACTGACGCCTGCTAGTGCTGAGGGGACCCCTGTTATGTACTCAGAATTCATACCCAAACTCCTCCCAAAAAAATGACACGTCGATGCGAATAAGTCCCAAGAGTCGGTAAGCATTCCTGGTATGGACAGCGAGAGCAGCCTTGATGCAGGAGGCCACGACCCAGAGGTCCAAGCCAATACCAACTCGGCTATACTCACAGCAACGACGGCGGCAAAGGAACCTTGTCTTGTGTGAGAGACCAGGCCTGCTCAGGCGAGCAGTCGACCACCATGGTTATTTTCAACCGAGAGTAGCTGTCTGGCGTTAGTTCCAGGCGATGGTTGAAAGTGTTGAACGTCCAGGCGATCCGCATCGCCTCCATCAGGTCTGAATTGTAGACCATGGGAGCAGGCACCGCATTACCATAAGGACCGTGGGTTTCGGGAGTGCTGAGACCACCATCGCTCGCCGACCCTGTCCAGGGCGAGCCACTCGAAACTGACTGGGCCCAGAAACCCTCGTTTGTTGGGCCATGGTCCGTGGGAGGGTCATTGGCGGGAATGATGGGAATGAGTTGAGTACTGGCTTGCTGTAATGGCTGGTACTCTGTATTGGCTTGCTGTAATAGCTGGTACTCTGTATTAGCCTGCTGCAATGGCTGGTACTCTGTACTGGCTTGCTGCAATGGCTGGTACTCTTCTTTAGGCTGCTGCAATGGCTGGTACTCTTTGGGCTGCTGCATTGGCTGGCACTCTGCACTGGCTTGCTGGAATAGCTGGTACTCTTCGCTGGGCTGCTGCATTGGCCGGTACTCTTCTCTGGGCTGCTGCAATGGCTGGCAGTCTTCTCCGGGCTGCTGTAATGACTGGTACTCCTCTTCGGGCTGCTGTAATGGCTGGCACTCTGCACTGGCTTGCTGTACTGGCTGGCACTCTTCTCTGGGCTGCTGTAATGGCTGACGCTCTTCTCTGGGCTGCTGTAATGGCTGGCACTCTGCACTGGCTTGCTGTACTGGCTGGCACTCTTCTCCGGGCTGCTGTATTGACTGACACTCTTCTCCGGGCTGCTGCAATTGCCAGCAGTCTGTTCCGACCTGCTGTAATGGCTGGCGGTCTCGTACTGGGGCACGTAGGCCGGCTTTTTCTAGACGAGTATGGTCGAGTTTGCGCAGTGCTGCCACGAAGTTCTGGTCGAACACATTGCGGATGAGGTCTTCCCCCCTAAAGTCCGCCGAGAGCGACTTCCATTCGTCGGTTGACTTCCACTCCTCCAGCCCATCAATCACCTTGGATATTCCGCCGCTGGGCATGCATTTTATCATCGTGTGCGCGTTAAAAGCCACGCAGCACAGAATGAACATGAGAGGGCCACATTTGACATATATGGCCGAAAAGACACTCTCAACCTTTTTGTGCACCTTTGTGGTCTGGCGCGAAGCTGGATTTCGCTCCCTTTCAGACTTGATGAAGGCTTTCTTGACGACCTTCATTTTGGCGAGGTCGCGCCCCTTCAGGTGGCCATTTGAGAATCTGAGTTTTTCTACCGCCACCTTCAGCTTGTCTGAGTCTGAGTCTGTGTCTTGTTGCTGCATGTTGTACCCTTTAGTGGCGTACGTCGCTTCATGCACGAAATGGGGAGGAGGCGGCAGGGGATGAAGGAATGGGAGGCATTGGCATGCGAGGAGGGAAAGTGTTTTTTTTCTTCTTGAGAACGCGCTGCAAGCAAACAACGTGCGGCCTACTCGGAACACACCATCTATTACCACAGCCTGACGTCCCCTCTTCTGCGGTGCGTAAAGACTTTCAATCGGTCTGAGCATACCTACCATGCAAGTATCAGCGGCACAGCCTGAGACACGTCGCCAGAGCTGAGGCCGAATGTACATTACAGGGCATGGGACGGCTCAATTCGGTCTGCGACCCAACAAAGTTCGCCTCCCTACGTCTCTGCAATGCACCGCCGCGATGCTTGGGTACAAGCACGGAACCCACCAATCAGCAGATCCTCTTGGCAAGTAGGATGGATAGTGGGGAATCAGATATGTGATTTATGACAGCAGCAGAACTCGTTCTGGTCACTCTTGTCGCAGCAGGTTGTCGAACGGAGACTCCTTTTGCTCGGGTATTGATGGGAAACTTACCTCTATAGCTGTCGAGCTGCTCTCGACGATCGCCGAAACAAGTCAGAATATTGATCGGGGCCCTCAACTCGCTCCATGGCTAGGTCGCCGGCAAATCGCTCCTAGATTGGACGGGTCTGTCGCTCGCCTCTTTTGTGAGAATGCGCATTAACTCTGGTACACTTCGGATTACCGTCCTGGGGATGCTATGGTCGGCTGCTGCACTCTTCCTCACACACCTCCCCAAGCACCATCCGAGAGTAATATTCGCTAGCCATCAACCAATCACAGTGCCCTAGACGCTGTGAAAAGTCGACCTGTGGAGGCGTTGCGGGCGTGATCGAGATGCTCTTAGCCGATCGGATGAGCTTCACGGCACTTGTGATAGGCTGATGCTTGTCTTGTCTCCCGTGCCGCATTTATGCCTACAAGCTGAGAATACTGTGCCCGCGTTGGCGTAGACTATTTCGCATATGGTCTTGCCAAAGGGGGGTGTACCAAGCGCAACAGCTCGGTTCCTCAGAGGCTCAGTGCGGAAGTTTAGGGAATGGTGTTGCGCTTCGACCGCCTAGCCATGGTCTTGCGTCCATTATGTCTACTTGGCTATAATGTCTGTCATCTTGATGGTCATGTTTGCAATTGGTGGTCAAGCCACGGAGGCCGCACATTCCCCAGGTATCAAATGCTAAGCTTTACGGCCCACGACGACGAGTAGCATGGTTTGTCTTGAGCTGGTTGTATGATCCACTCGCTACGGCTCACACGGCTCATCTTGTTACAGCGATAAGCCTTTCCGTCCTTCAAGTCTGCTTCTCACCATTGACACCAAACCGTCTCGTCTCTGCAGTCTGCTCTTCATAAGCATTCATTCTTCCAACCTTCCAAGTCTGTTTAATCAGCAGCACACACCGTCCTAGTTTCATACTGATTCTTTGCGTGCTATTGCAAGCAGCCATGCTCGAGTGTATCTCTGCACCCTCCCAAATACCCACGATTCATCTTCCCTTCGACCATCGGTGCGGTGCCTGTGGGAGGGCGTTCGAATATGAAAGCAGCGTGACCGCTGGTATGATTTTCCCTCCATCCAGGCCCTTGCAAGCCAGTTACTAAATCGCCATAGTGGCCAGAGACAACACTACTTTCACGACATATAGGATAATAGGAACTTTTGCCCCATATTATGCGCCAAAGGCCAGCGTACGAGAGTACGAATCTTATTACCCCTGTGAGGCCGATGGCTGCGCACTCTGTGAAGATGCTCCCGAGGCAATAGCATGCCACAACGAGTGCATGAATATTGTTTACGATAAAGGAGCACCTCAAGATTGTTTGTTGAAGTTATGGACCGCAGGTACTTGGAGAAATCCTTGTTATCGCTCCCCGCCGTTGCTCTTGCCCCCATCAGATAACCCTACCTCCCGTATAGAAGCGGCTACTCGTGTGTTCCCTTCTCTTGCAAGGCTTCCCCACAATGTGCAGCACATGATTCTCGAACAATGCGACGACGACGACTATCTTTGGCGCTACGCGGCCGTCTACGAGCTTGCACGCCGGGTGAACTGGGACTATTTCTGTGCTGGGACCCTTTCCCTTGATGGAATACACACCTGGTCTCGACGCCAGGTGCCAAAATTGCCGCAGACCCTGAATGATCGCCAGCCATGGTATGCAAATAGCATCATCCCAGATCTACCAATAGCAACGGCCATCAACGAGGGATACATTCTGCTTGTCATTGATTCTCAAGGGCTCAGGGACATCCTCCGACCTCCTGAACTGGTTGACAGTCCCTACTACCGCTCAGAAGGACTGCGTTTCATCAGTGGGCCTGCTGAGAGCTTCTCCGGGTTTTCTGTCGACTTCAAGGTGAGGTCGCTTCTTCCTCGAGAGCAAAACTCAGCATATTAATATTCGGCCAGTATGGTCTAGCTCGTTTGATCGTTCCGCCTGGACGAAAGGTCCAGATCTGGGGAACCCAAGTTCCTCCAAACAACCAAATGATCATTGATTCCGAGGGACCATCACTGGGCCTCGAACTGCACACAGGCTTCTTCTCAGCAAGCCATTTCGTATCAATCGACTTAAAGAAATGCATTGGGCTTACGGTTTTCAGTTCTCCCCATGGTGTGCTTGGTGTGCATGGGCACACAGGTGAGAGTCCCCTTGCTATAACGACCTTTGAGCGCCTGCGGCCTCTCCAGCTCAGGCAGTCGGCCATTTGGTTTTATGTTCCTCTCCGACCGGGTGACGAGGTCCTTTCGCTAGGCCTTCGGTTTCAATACAGCCAGGGAAGGCGCAGGCTCCCCAGCTTTATTGTGAGTACTTGTTTATTTCTCGATGGAGCGTGGCTAACGTAAAAGATCCGTTTGCAATCGGGACGATATACCATCGGGCCATGGTATAACGCAAAAAATGGACCAGCGGAAGACCACACGTTCCAGGTCAGAGGGAGGCCTACTCTTCTCTACGAAGCACCAGCACGATATTCGCTTTCTGGACTTGCCGTACTGCCTCAGACACCAGTCTGCAAGGAAGTCCAGAAGCTCGACGCAAGGATGCCTCAGCTCTGGAATCCCCATTCCCATTTTTCCTCGGCTCGATTGGAAAATGTATCCCGAGTCTTGGTATTTTCCGATGGAGCCCCCGGATTCTGCAGAGGGATGGTCTTCACATATAAAGACTTGACGACCAGATTTGTGGGTGAATGTCGTTGGGGTCGGCAGTCATTCATGGTCTATCAGAGCCCATCAAGGCTATTTTATTATCAGGGAGGATTTCGTGCTCATAATGCGCCGTGGTCTGCTCCACGGGTGGAAGTGACGGACGTGTTTTTTGAATCCAAGAATTTCGTTACACCCGCTTCTTGTCACGGGGAGGGTTGGCGTTCTTGTGAGCTGAGGGGGAACCTTCACTTTTGGTTCAACGCCCGTGAGTCTCATCTGACCGTTCATCAAGAGTGAGGAGGCGTATGGACCACTGAGCTGGGACAATTGTCCAAGACTGGACTGGTTTCATTTGACAGAGCCTACTTGAATACATCCAGACCTCGAAAGCCCTGTATAATTTGTGAAAACTGCAAGCAAAGACCAACACTAGAGAATATTCCCATCCTCATTCACTTCTTGGGTTTGGGGAAGGGACGCGATGTGGTATTATCGCGATAGCGGCCACAGTAGTTCCAACGCAGACGAGCAGAGTCCTTCCGACGATAGCTTCGATGTGTCGTATATTTCGAAGTTAATGGGGAGTTTGTGGGAACACTGCAGCCTTGCCTGCTTGCCACCGGTCCGAGGAGCCTGCCAACGGTAGCATCCGTACGTATGCCACGCCCAGAGCACCCGGGGCATCCCGCAGAGTGAACCTCATGTTGCAGTATCACACTGTCTTGGAACATCACGTCCTCCCAGGGTACCATGTCCTCCTCGAACGTCACATTCCCCCGAGCACCATGCTCTCTCTCAGGCAATCAGGTTTCTTGAAAACTGCACATCCCGCCACCCACACTTGAAAAGCAAAGAGACATCGGAATACGACGGCTGCCGAGTTGAGACAAAAGATACTATCCATGTTCCTATCATCCCCCTTCATTGGCCGACGGGGGGACTATCCTTCCCGTGCAGCCAGCCACAAAGTCAATAATCTAGGCAACAACCATTACGACAATCCGATGGTCATCGGCTTGGGCATCACGCGCGCTGTGCCGTGGTCGAGGAGTGTCCGTAGTCGGGTCTGGGACTTGTTCCTCCTTGGTCATCCTCCGAAGGCTTGCATACGCCTCAGACATTGCGAGAAAAAAGCAACAAGACAACTCGCAGACGACAACTGGTGTGCAGATCCCAAGGTCCTAGCTTGCTTTTTGGTTACACGAGCAAGCAAGCCATCGATCCACGAAGCAATGCCAGCTCATCATCGGCGTCTTTCAGGTCGGCCGACCAAGCCACCACTGTCGTGAAACATGTCTATCAAAGACGAATATCATATAGGCCGAGGTACCAGTACATTTGGAACATGGGCGACGGGCGTTACGACGAACCCTGGACCTGGCAATTGACGCTTGCAATCTCTGCCTGCTGCCTTTCTGTCTGCCTCGCGAAACAAGAAAAGAAAAAAAAGAAAAAAGAGACAGAGCGGAGCTGTTTGTCCCAGAGCTGAGCGGTATCGTGCATCTGCCGAAACATGTCATCAAGCGTATCACTGTCATTGTGACAACTACTAATCTACGCCGCTCCGGCTAGCGGTCAAGACTGATGCGGGCTTACCGGCCCTGACCTGGGAAAGCGAGCAAGACCAAGGCCAGACATGCCCAATTAGCACGGAAGGCCTACCGTACTCCGCGTAGTATATGTCTCAGAGCAATTACAGCCCAAGCCCAGCCGTCTCGGCGTGTTGTGTTGAATAATATTGCAGCTTGCACGGGCGATCGACAGACCAGCTGCCCGTCTCGGCGGACAGGATTGTTGGTGGGCGACGGATCGTTTTTGAGGAGGCAGCTGGCCCGTGCGCGGCTAGTCTTACGCGGAGACCGGCTTGGCAGCTGGTACCTAGATACGTACCCAGTGCGGGCGAGCCAGCCCGCTCGAGCCGGTGGAGGGGAGGGAGGTGAGGGATGGCAGGGGGTGTGCGAGGGCCTGGGGGGGG